GTGCTTTTTAGACCTGAGTCAGATGTCATCCTTTTGTGCAGAAACTGACAAGATCCCTTATTCCACCTAGAGTAGAAGCCAAAGCTCTCACAGTTTGGTGGCCCTTGGTGGCCCAGCCTCTGCCCGTTTCCCTCGACCCACCCACCAGCTTCCCTCATTGCCCTGTCTTTGGCTGCAGGCAGACTGCTGGATGCTCCGACCCACTGCTTTGCGGGTCTCCTTTCCCATCACCCGCAGCAACAGCTGCAGCAGCAGCAGCAGCAGCTCCCCTCCACACTGTAAGACTCACTTCTGTACTGCAGTGTTCATTTGCAGTCCCATCGCATGTAACCTCTGTGGGAGCAGACATCATTATTAACCTATTTGTTCAAATGAGTACTGCCTGAATTTATTTTGAAGAAGAAAGGATGGATGAATTTGGACCTCAGATTAAGGAAGAGCATGGGAGAGGAGGTGTTCCTCACTTGGGAAATTGGGAGGTTACTGGCAGTCACTGGCCTGCGAGACAGAAGGACCTTAAGGCTCCCTGGGTATATAAGTAGGTTTGGGGCTGGGGAGGCAGCCCCTCTAAGAGCCCTTGTCCTGTTTGTGTGTGGCCACTCCCAGTGTGCACTGGTATTGAAGTAGGTGGGCCTGGGCTGGCATCAGTGTGAGGCTCGGAGCATACACTCTGACTTCCGCCTCTCGTTCCTGGCTGACCCCCTGAGTTTCATAGCTCCACTGATTCTTCAGCTCTGTGTATTTAGAAAGGAGCCTACCCTTTCCCAGTCTCTGCTTGTGCAGGCTGAATTTCCTGGCCGCATGTCACAACCTGATAGCAAAGGTGGCACCCCAGCCGGAGGGCACAGGTCCTGCTGTGCTCTCCTCCCATGCTTACCACAGAGCTGCCTGGCCTGGTCCATAGAGGACCCACCTGTGCGTGAGGTTGTGTACTAAAGGCGTGTCCACTCACTGCTTTCTTGGCAAGTCAGAAGTCCCCTGGATTGGCATTGCTTACAGATATAGGACTTCATTCCTCTAACCTGAGCTCAGTGAGGCCACACATGTCTTGAAGAAGCATGGCTTGTTCTGCAGTTGCTCTCTGGTGTTCCCAGTTCAAACTTAAATATTGTTGATGGTGGTGATGTACTTTTTTTTTTTTTTTTTTAAATACCTTTATTTTATTTATTTTTATGTGGTGCTGAGGATCAAACCCAGTGCCTCACATATGCTAGGCAAGTGCTCTACCTCTGAGCCACAACCCCAGCCCCGGTGACGAACTTTAAATGAACTTTTTTATTTTGAGTTCCTGTGTACTCTTCGCCATTTTCCCGGTGGTGAGCTTGGGCACAGCCTCAGCATGGTATCTCACCCAGGATGCTGGCACTGTTCCTAATCAGTGTCACAGCATTGCTGGCTCTGGTGTCTTTGTGGATCACGCCGATTCCTCTGTGACCCTTGTAGTCACCACCATTCTGTTCTCCATATCTACATCGGCCTCATTTCAAGAATGTTAATAAATGGAATCAATGGAAGCCCTTTCCTTTGGGAAGGGCTTTTTCCACACAGCATAGTTTCCTGGAGGTTGAAACTATGGTTTAGATCTAGAATGTCTCCCAAGACCTGTGTGTTAAAGGCTTGTTGTTGTGTGTGTCAGAAGTTGTTTCTGGTTATTGCATCCTGGTGTGGGTGTGCCATAGCATTAGTCCTTTACCCATGGATGGCATCTGAGTTGTTTCCTCTGTAAACGTCATGGACAGGTGTTTGTATGAACATAACTCTTAATTCCTCTGGAATAAAAGCTGGAGAGTGACTGTTAGGTGATATGGTTATTGTCTATTTTCTTTTTTTTAAGAGAGAGTGTGTGTGTGAGAGAGAGAATTTTTTAATGTTTATTTTTTAGTTTTCGACGGACACAACATCTTTGTTTTGTATGTGGTGCTGAGGATCGAACCCGGGCCATACGCATGCCAGGCGAGCGTGCTACCACTTGAGCCACATCCCCAGCCCCTGTCTATTTTCTTAAGAGACTGACAAACTCTTCTTCAGTGTGATTGTCATTTTAAACGTGACAGCCAACAACATGGTCCAACTTCTCCCTACCTCTTAATGATCTCCCATGGATAGTACGTAGCCTCAGAGGACCCCAGGCCTACACAGTGCTGACAGAGGCCTGGGGAGGCTTGTGTGTGAGGTGCTCTTCCAGGACCTGCGAGTCGCTGACCTGCGCCTCACAGTGATGCCACTGTGTGACTACGCTGTTCGTAGGCTCAGTTTTCAGATGAGGAAATGGAGGCGCAAGACAGAGAAGCACCTGCTGCAAGTTTAGCAGCCAGTGAGGGCTTCAGACCAGGGACCTGAATGTGGTGCTGCCATTCCCTTGCTAGGTGGCTTTTTTCATCCCCTTTTTAGAAGAGGAACGAACAGTCTTCCCATGTGTCAGCCAGCGAACAGGTGGGATTCAGATCATGGTCTGGCTCAGGCTTCTTCGGTACAGGACAGGCACAACCGAGAGTGAGGGAATGGCAGCAGCTACCATCTGTTTCATTAAGCCATGGCCTTTAAACATAACGGTGTCTGCAGTCTGTTGCCCAGGCCTGCCCAGGAAGCTACTCTAGTAATGATCTCCTTCAGCACATGGAGAACAGTGGGCCAAAGATCCATTTCTCCTTCCAGGTGCTGAGCTTGGAGTGATGCAAGAGGGATGAAAGCTGTCACTGGGCAGTGGTAGATGTAGATCTGACATACAAGGGGATACAGATCTCATTCTTCTCCTGTTGCATAACTCCTAATATAATCTGAGTTATGCAAAATGAAGTCTTTTTTTTTTCTTTCTTTTACTGTATTAATTTTGCTGATACAAATGTCCAAATGTTCAACTTGCCTGGGAGTGAATCAGTAAAGAGGTGTTTTCTCACCTTTATGGTCAGTTAGGATGTAGGACTTCAGTACTGGCTCAGAGCCTTTGGTTCTCAGTTCTCCTTGGCTTTCCCCAGCAAGGTCTGAAGCACCAACACCACTTCGGTGCTCAGCCTTGCTTGCTGTCCTCATGGCCCGATAGGTGTCTGAGACAGTTGTCTGTCTTTTTCTCCCAGCATAAATTCTGTCTGGGTAGAAACTTGTCTGTCCTGTCCTTTGAACCCCAAGCTTAGAGTAGATACTCACCAAGTAGTTGCAGAGCCCATAGTGTTAGTAGTGGTGGGATTGAGGCTGCCACTTCTCCCCACCCCTGACAGCCTCAGGAAAGCAGTGCCCCTCAGCTTGCTTCCTGTCTTCCCTTCCCACACTCCTGACTCTTCCACTATCTGCTCAGTCTGGCCTCCAGGTTTCCTTTCCTGGGGAATCCTGCATATGCGAGAGTAAGCTAACTGCATTGGAGATCCAGTTATGTTTATCCCCCTGTAATGAAGTTTAATTGGTGGAGCAAGAATCAGCTACAAAGCATTGCTTCCACATGATCTGAGCCTGAAACTTATCTAATAATTTAAATTGGGTCTTCTTAATATAAGTTTGAGTTATAAGATGGCAGAAATCCAAAAATTTGATAATGTTTTATTGGTGAATCCCTAGGGAAGGAGGTGTTTTCCTGACACTGCTGGTGAGAATGCACAATGGTAAACCCCTGTGGAGGGGGTTTTGGTGATGGCTAGCTTTGTCAGAGAAGTTCTAGAAATATATCCCAAAGATGCAGTGGTAAAAATAGGAAAAGATCCATTCACTGGGACACTATTTGAAATAGCAAAGGATTCAAAACAATGCAGATAAGTAGGGCACTGGTTGCATGGCTGGTACAGTGCTACTGCAGGAAGGGTCAAGGGGACTTCTGCAAGAAGTGATGGCCAGGATGTATAATTAAGTGAAGGGTGAAGATGGGGAGCAGTGTCTGTGGTGTGCTGCTGTTTAAAAAGGGGGAGTGTGGATATACACTGAAGGGTAAACTGCTTTTTTCCCCCAAATCTACCCATGGGAACTGAGGGGGTGGGTGGGGAAGAGCCAGAATTCTGACCAGACCAGACCTTATTTTGTTGGATTGACTTAGAACCCTTTAGATATTTTATATCATCAAAAGACAGAATTAAGTAAGAGATTATGTATGACCTCTGAAATTTTTCATAAACTGTTAAAAGGTTTTTTCTGAAGTGGTTTGTACCTTATTTAGCTCTGTAACTTTTTCCTTCTGTACCTTTGCCAACCAGCATTAAGATCTGAGAACTGTGCCAGCCTGAGAGGTGAAAAGTAGGCTGCTGTTTCTACTCCATTTTGTGTTTTCTGTGAAATTCAAGTTCATCACATTGTTTTTCTGTCAGGGTTTTTTTGTCGGTTTATAAAAACTTTATATTTTGTGGGTTTCATTTTTATTCTTTTTTTGGTGGTACTGGGAATTGAACCCAGGGGTGCTACCCACCACTGAGCTGTGTCCCCATCCCCTTTTATTTTTTGAGACAGGATCTCACTAAATTGCCCAAGCTGGCCTTGAACTTTCGTCCTCCTGCCTCAACCGCCCAATCACTGAGATTACAACATTTTTTATTACCATGTTTTTGACCTCATTTCCAGTTAAGTTGTTCAGGACCTAATTGTACTGGTGGCAGTTAGTTTATCAAGTTATATGTGCTGCCTGCTTATGTTATCCTAGAGTCAGAGGATCAGACTTCCCTATACCACTCAAGTGCTAGGCATCAATTTGTTTGCTTCCCTAACCCCCCGCTTTTTTTTTAATTTAAGGAAAAAAAGAAGAGTTTCCTAGGGTTTATTATGTATGTCTAAATAGTTGATTTCTGGTGAATATATAACCTAGATCTGATTGTCTTTTTGGTTTGAAATTGTTCTTCATTTTTAGTGACCTGTGATAACTATAATTGTGTTCAATGTGGATACCTGAATGAAATAGTTATTTTTCATTTTATATGTTATCTATCTATACACACACATATATGTACATACATGTTTGTGTATTTGCAGGTAGATTTCTGCAGCCCTTGTGCTTGTTCGTGGGATTATTGAACATGTTCTCTCTCTAGGTCATCACTCCCTGTAGGAAGCTCATCTTGTGTGCTGATAACAGAAAAGAAATGGAAGACTGGATTGCGGCGCTCAAGACTGTCCAGAACAGGGAGCATTTCGAGGTTAAAAGAGAAAAACATCCTTCCCTGTGGGCCTCTTGATGACTCTGCCCTACCTTAATTTCCTGCCCTCCACCTGTCTCTTACACATGACTGGCAGTTCTGGAATTTCCAGACTCAGCTCAGGCCTTGAAATTAAGACCTTTGCTTGTCTTTGGGCAGACCTGTTAGATTATGACCCTGTCCTTTACAGACCTCCCTCCTCCTCTCTTAGATATTTGACTTAATTACACTTAAGTTGCTGAACTAAAGAGTTTCAGAGGGCTGTCTTACCTGCCATCTTTATTTTGCTCTTGCAGCCTACCCAGTATAGCATGGACCATTTCTCAGGGATGCACAACTGGTATGCATGTTCCCACGCGCGGCCAACCTACTGCAACGTGTGTCGTGAGGCGCTGTCTGGGGTCACGTCCCATGGGCTGTCTTGTGAAGGTACAGAACTGCATTTGCCAGTCAGTTGCAGAAGGTGATTGAGGTTTTGCTTGATAAAGTTTTGGAAATCCAAACACAGTCACCATTCAGTAAGCCATCACTTCCCACTGCAGCCAGTTGAGAGTAAAATTATTTCTGCCACTCCATTTCTCTTTATTTTACCTATGAGGAGTCCTTGATAAGTCTTTTTTTTTAAAAAAATAGTACTCAAACAAAGCGAAAGGAAGGGAAGTGGTAGTGAGGAGAAGCAAGGAAGGAGCATTGGGTCTGCAGGGCCCTGTTGCCCAGGGTCGCTGATCTTCTCTTGGGTCGCTGTGTTGTGGATGTAGGGGTTGGAAACATCTCAGAGCTGGAGCCTGGGGCTGAATGTTGAGCCAGGGCGTCAGGCCAGCTGTTCGTCAGGCAGTGGCTGAGCAGGGAGCAGGTGTTGCTGCTCATCACCAGGTCTTGCCTGCTGCCTGTTTTTTGCAGCTCACAAGCTTGACTAGTTTTTGCATTTCAAAAAAGTTGAAAATTAAAAAGATTAATATTTTGTGATACATGAAAGTTATGTGAAATTTGATTTTGGTGTCTTTAGAATGCCTGTGCTGGCTGCTTGCCATCATACTCTGATGGCAGAGCCGAGCAGTTGTGATGTTGGTACACAACTGAAACCTCAGCTGCTTGCTCTGGCTCTCCCTGCTGTCTGTTTCTTCCCCCTTCTGGGCTCTGAGGTATCTCAGTGGTGCTGTGGCAACATGGGAAAGTTTCCTGTTTTCTTTTCCATGTTTCCTAATCAGTCCACCCCATGTAGAAGGCACCTGTCATGGATGAAGCCTGTGGGTTCTTTTCTCTCATAGTGTGCAAATTTAAAGCCCACAAACGGTGTGCTGTGCGTGCAACCAATAATTGCAAGTGGACCACACTGGCCTCGATTGGGAAGGACATCATTGAGGACGAGGATGGGGTATGCCTGAGGGGATCTTGCCCCGGTTGCCAACTTTGCACAGTCCCCTCACTCCCTCCCCTCTCCTTCATCTGAGATGGTCACTGTGGGGTCAAGTGTCCCAGCTGACAGTATCCAGGGCTCTGTGTGGTTGCTGCACATCCAGTTTTGTCCTGAACCCTCTGAGTCTTAGTGCGCCCTCACTGGTAGTACAGTGGTGTGGGTGGCACTGTATGCCCTTGACCCCTCACTGGCTGCCAGGAAAAGTCGTATGTGGGGAGCAGTGTCTTGGCTGAGCTCACCAAAAGCATTCCTTCCCCAAGGCTCCTGGCATTGGGGTAGAGCTCTGGGATGTCCCTATCCAGTCTTTGCTTGGTCCACAGATTGCCATGCCTCACCAGTGGCTGGAAGGTAACTTACCCGTGAGCGCCAAGTGCACAGTATGCGACAAGACCTGCGGCAGTGTGCTGCGCCTACAGGACTGGCGCTGCCTCTGGTGCAAGGCCATGGTGAGTGGGGCTGATGATGTAGCCCGCCCTTCTGCCAGGCTTGCAGGTTGTGGAGACAGGTCTGGGGCAGTGGCTTCCTCTTTCTCTTCTGAATCTGAGAATCCATCCTGGAGGCCCCCAACTCTGAGAGCCTGTGTTTTGGCCTATTGAGTGACTTTTCCCTTTTGGGTTATTATTCTTGATATTTTTAAGTGTTTTTCTCCCTTGACTTTAGTCCTGTCTTTTAGACACAAAATGTGATACCCACCTCAAGTAGCACCTCAGGCAGGTTGTAGAGAGGTCATTTGGGACAGGCTTGCTGCTGTTTTCCTGGGATGAGCCTAGGGAAGCTATCAAGGGCCTTCTGAGAGAGGTTTGCTCTGGGATGATAGTTGTAGGAAGAGGGAGGAGGAGCCATGATGTGGCCATGTGGCTTCTTGTGGGTCCTGGAAACAGTTGTTGCCTTGTGGGGTGATGACTTTCAGGGAGAGGTGAGGGGAGCCTTGTGTTCACTGTGGGCTGGGTTGCTCATTAAAGGTCTTTATGTAGTTACTTGATCAGAGCCCTGGCTGGCTTGTACAGGTTGGCACATAAAGGCTTTTCCCCAGGAGCCTGGCATCTGATTCCTGGATTTAAAATGAGCTGTGGGAAAGCGGCCAGGACGTTAGTCTACATGTTGTGAACATGATAGGCTCCCACTGCGAGCTCTGCATCACAGCTCCTTGGGGCAGAGCAGGGACATAGAGTGCCTCCCTGAAGTGCCTGTCTGCCCACAGCTGGTTCATCAGATGTGGGGCCAGGCAGTATTCCTGTGTGTGTGTGTGAAGGATGCTGGGGACCCTGATGATATGTGAGTTCTTGTTTCAGGTTCATACTTCGTGTAAAGAATCCTTGCTGACCAAATGCCCGCTCGGTCTATGTAAGGTGTCAGTCATCCCTCCCACGGCGCTCAACAGCATTGACTCTGACGGTGGGTGCCCATGTGTGATCCTTACCTGTTGGCACATGTCCTTTCTCCATGCCCACCAAGATGGGCATCTTGGCAATTGTGATGTGGTCAGTAGCAGGCAAGACACAGCCCCAGGGTTGGGAGCAGGTGTGTGGAGTTGACAAATGGCATCCTGGTTGTTGCTGTTAGACTCACTAAAGACTTGTTACCAGCACTTTCCTTGAAGGTGATGGATCCAGGGAGCTTTTGAGCGGATCTGGGTCTCCAGGCCTCCTCCATCTGCCACAAGCTGCAGGGACTGTCTGTCCCTGTCCCTGAATGTGACAGATGCTGGCATGCTGGCTCAGAGCCTCTCCCGTAGGTCCAGCTGGTATATGGTGACACTTGTTGACAAGTCCCACTGAGGGAGGTCATTGAGGTACATGGCTCGGAGGAAATAGTTCAGATGGGGGCAGGAGGTAAAGACAGTGCAGCAAGGTGAACTTTGGAAGTCTCAAATGTGAAGTCAAGACTGGGTGGGCTTACCTCATGCCAGGCAGCAAGGTCTCTCGAAGGCTTGCTGGTACTGAATGTGAGTTCTGTCCCCTGCACTGTCTGCTGAGGCTTGTTGGTCAATGGTGCCTCAGTGCCTTCGAGACTTATAAAGGTTCTTCCTGTTCCACTCTTTCATTCAGGGTTCTGGAAGGCCACCTGTCCTCCGTCTTGCACAAGTCCCCTGCTGGTCTTCGTCAATTCCAAGAGTGGGGACAACCAGGGTGTGAAATTCCTCAGAAGGTTCAAGCAGCTGCTGAACCCTGCCCAGGTCTTTGACCTCATGAATGGAGGACCACACCTCGGGTAGGAAGCTTGAGAAATCTTTCTTTCCTGGACCTTTTAATATTTTTAGATAAGGACTTTTAAAATATTTTTATCTAAAATAGATAAATAGATCAAAGATACAGTAAATTTTAAATGGGAAAGAAATTGTCATTTTTGAACCACTCGTCCCCAAACTCCACTTGCAAAGGTTTCTGCTCTTAATAGTTGATGGGGGCTTGGCCCTTCCAGATTCCAGTGCACACATATGCATGCACACAGGCACCGTCTAAACCAAACGGAACCCTGTGCCAGCTGTCGGTGCACAGCATGCTGTCTATGCGCATCAGCTGTGGATTGGGGGCCTGTTTCTGTGTCAATGCTTACAGACCTGCTGGCTCAATCCCCAGGAAGAAGCTTTACTCCAGTGAGGCCAAGGGGTTCCTTCATCTTGGGAGCACAGGAAGTATCGAGAAGTATCATAGGAAGTATTGCACAGGTGCAACGAGGCATGAACTGTGCAGGGGCCCAGGGTGTTGTGCAGAATAATTATGCATTTCATCTTTTAGCTAGAGTCAAGTCACTTTCCTTTTGGTTTTGTGCTTTGCACTGTTGTAGAAACATTTGCTTCTGTCAGTTTTGCCATATGAACTAATTCCTTCTTCATTTGGAAGCACTGGTTCAAGGTAAGGCTCTAAGAGGACGTGCTAGCATTTCAGGAAGATTGTGCAGGATAAGTGGAGTGTGAGGTGCCTGCTCACCCTGCTGTCTGGTGTATGTTCTCCTGGGAAGGCAGTGTTTTTGGAACCAGGTGTTGCTGTAACGTGAGCCTGGGGTGACTCACTGTGTGTCCCTGGCTGACCCGTTGCAGTGTGGGGTGGGGTCACATGCTGCTTGCCGTTCCTCGAACACAGTCCTTTGGGTGTCCTCAGTGTTGTTCTTCCCCATGCTCAGCAGTGCCACAGATGGTGACACTGCAGCCTGTTTTCTCCAAGGCACAACTTCTTTTGAATGATGCAGGATCCCATTCACCTGACGTTAATAAAGACATGATTTCAGTTAAGCAGGGAAAGTGGAGGTATCATATATCCCTTGTCACTTAACACTGAGCAGATTCAATGGTTGTTAAATGTGCTGCCAGGGATGTTGAATGAATGCTTGGTAGTGTCTCTGGGCACGACTGCACATTGAATTTGAGGATGAAATATTAATTTTGGCATACACGTAGAACTCTGATTTATAGTTAGTTAAGTATGAGATGACTAGGGGACTCCCCCCACCCCCCACCTGTGGCATGAGTTCACTCTTTTCTTGTTTCTGGGAATTGGAAAACATCTTACTTCACCCAGCTTCTTGTAGGACCAAGTCCTGGCCTTGGTTTATCCCCACTTCTCTAGAAAGCAGGGCCTCATAGGAGTGAATGCTCTCCAAGGATACACATGGTTACTTCTGGTTCCCACCGTCAGGTGCAGCTTAGTGGCTTAGAGTTTGGCTCTGTTCAGGCCTGAGTCTAGTTGCTGTTCCAACATCCCTGTTTGTTTTTTGAGCACTTCCTCTGAGACTGGCTCTGCTAGAGGCAGGGTCCACAACGTCCCCCAGTGGGGAGGGAGCACATGTGGACAGTCAGGGTCACTTCAGTGGGGCAGTGCAACCCAGGAAGGGAGCACAGAAGTCAAGCCAGTGTCTCTGCTGTGCTAGTGTTTGAGGAGGGCTGGTGTGCCCACAGTGTGCTCTTGACTTTGTCTCCTCCCGCAGGCACAGTGTGGGGACTGGGACAGTTCCTGGGGAGCAGTGGGCACCAAGGCGGAAAAGCAGGAAGCTGCTGGTCATTAAGGGCTATAGGTGCTGGCTGATAAGTTTGACCCTTTCCTGAAAATGAGGGGCATCCTCTTAAAATGAGACTTCATTACTGTGTTTTAGAAAGATCTTGCTGTGAACACCTGGGAGGCCCCTGGAGAGCTCAGAGCAGAATGGTGGCTGAGCCATCTGGGCTTCGTGGGAGTGGAGGGAGGTGTAAGGCAGGCTGACCTGATGGTGGTGCTGGTCCTTGTTGAGGGACGTGTCCTGCCAGATGTGCTGTAGAACACCAGGTTGGTGCCTCCTGGTGGACAGGTACAAACACATGGCCGGGGGTGTCATTCAGGGTCATCAGCACCTGTATGTCTTTTGAAGCCAAACATGGATGAGATCATTCAGGAAGAGGATTGGGAGTGAGGAGAACATGTCCATGAAGCCCCAAGTGGGAACCCTGCATGGGGGTGGGGGCATGGTGACCAGCAGGAGCCCAGGAAGAATACTGAGAAGAAGTTAAAAGGGAAGGAAGTGGGTTGGGGGTGTGGCTCAGTGGTAGAGCACTTGCCTGGCATGTGTGAGGCACTGGGTTTGATTCTCAGCACCACATATAAATAAATGAATAAAAATAAAGGTCCATCAACAACTAAAAATATATATTAAAAAAAGAAAAAAAAAAGGAAGCCTGGGCCACTTCTCCCAAGGACCAAAGGCCTGAGGCATAAGTGCTCTGGGGAGACAGGCAGGGCGCTGGCGATCTGCAGCCTGGGGCTCTGGCATTACCGGGCCAGAGCTGGGCAGAGATCTGACTGCAGTGCCTGGGGACGAGTGGTGTGGAGACTTGGCAGCCAAGAGGGCATGATGGAGAGGGTTGACAGTGACAGCATCTGGATGGGGCAGGTGAGAGACAGTGCTGAAGGGTGGGGACCATTGGCCCCAGCGTTTGTTTGGGGCTGAGGCAGTCTGTGCTCATGAATCCTGCAAGAAACCCGTGCCTGAGCAAGATGAGGTGGCGTGCATCCACCAGCCGTCCATGGTCTCATCCCTGGCTGGTCCCTGTCCCTGGCTGGAAGGTCTGTCAAGGCCCCAGTCCCACTGTCATTCATTCTGAAACAGCAGAGCCTGAGTGAGGGGCCATGCAGATAGTCTTGTCACCACAGGGTCAGCTGGGAGGAATGGGCAGCTCCCCTCAGCTGGGACAGACAAGCCCATTGTTTGTCCTTTGGAACGCATGGCATTTCATTGCCTTTCTTTTCTCCACAGCTTACGGTTATTCCAGAAGTTTGACACCTTCCGGATTCTGGTTTGTGGTGGGGATGGCAGTGTTGGCTGGGTCCTCTCTGAAATTGACAGCCTCAACCTTCACAAACAGGTACCTGGACTCTAGGGAGCTCAGCTCCAGCAGAGGGCTGCCAAGGTCAGAGTGGCCTGCTGTTTCAGCTCTGTGCATTAGAGGCACCTACTCTCTGGCAGGGAATAGCAGAGGTTTGGAAGGTCATGCAGATTGTGGCCAGAGAGAGGAGAAGGGAGAGCAAGTCAGAGCCTGGGGCATGAAGAACTGTCCCAGTTGGGGGAGGGTCTGGAGGCTGTTGTCCCCTGTCCCCCCAGGCTCTTCACTGGGTGCTGGTATGATTTGATGCCTCTGGCTCTGGAGGTGGGGAGGAAGTATACATTCAACCTCTCAACTGAACTTAGGTTTTTGTATAGAGATGAAAATACACTTTTCTGATTGCACATTAAGAAAATGGTGACTGTGTTGTTGGATTTTCACTCCCAGCCACGCCTCTCCCCTGGTAGTTAGTCACTGCTAACATTGCTGTCACTGCCTTTTTGACTTGTATCAATACGTAGAGCAAGATGTGAACACAGTTGCATTGTAAATGGATGCTGCTATTTTCCCACTAGCTTCTCACTGCACGCCTAGAGTCATTGTAGCAGGCATTTCAGGCTCAGCTCTAGCCAGCAGCTCTGTGTAGCTTCCCCTGGATGGAGCTGGAGCCCGAGCTTAGCTCATGGCTTGCATCAGTGGAGCTGAGATTTCTTAGCAACAAGGCTGGCGAAGCCGTATGTGCTTCCCAAGTGCTTCCTCTGAGTTTAAAAATTGGTATGTACTAACTGACTCCACTCCACTAGGACTGTGCCTGCTCACCTTCCTGGTATGGCATGAGTCTGTACTTTCTCATGGTGTGCCCAAATGGCTTCTTTTCAAGTTTTGCCCATCAGAGTAAAATAAGAATCTTATTTTTATTTCTTCGAGTCAAGCCTTGTCTCAACTGACTATGAAGTTTTAAATGAATCACCTGTTTGTGATTCAAATTATGCTTTTCCTCATTTTCTCTTGAGGTGTTCATTTTATTTTTTTAAATTGATGTCTAAGGGTAATTGTTTTATTAACTCTTATGTCTGTCTTTGTAGACCCCCCCCCCCCCCTTGGTATGTGTTATTTTTTTTTAATATTGTTTTGGTCTTCATGATTTTTGTCATTTGTCATATTGAGACACTTGTCCATACTCCAAGGTTATGCAAACAGTCATTGATATTGTCTTATACCATGTTTATATTGCCCTTTAAAATGGTCATGGTGGTGCGAAAATCCCAAGAGACTTGTGAGACTGAGGCAGTAGGATTGCAAGTTCAAGGCCAGCCCCAGAAACTTAGCAAGAAACCTGTCTCAAAATTATAAATAAAAATAAACTTAAAATTTTTAAATCTTTCATGTGAGTTTATTGCATTTTCTAGTGATTTTTGCATTCTCCACCCAGCTCCACTGGCTCAGTGGTACTTATGGGTGGGTGTTGTTAGTACTTAACTCCACGATGGAGTGAGTAGGGTCTTTTTTTGTCTTTAATTTTTATTGGTGCATTATAGATGTACATAATTGTGATATTTGTTACTACATATTCATATATGCACACAATGTAATAATATGATTTGGCTAATACTATTCCTCGGCACTTCCCTCCTTCTTCCCCTCCTCCTACCCATGGTCCCTTTCCTCTTCTGTACTGATCTCCCTTGCCCTCACCTTTCTTTCCTCCTTCCTTTCTAGCTTTTACATGAGAGAGAAAAACATGTGACCCTTGTCCTTCTGAGTTTGACTTATTTTGCTTAACACAATGTTCCCAAATCCATTTTCCTGCAAACGACATAATTTCATTTTTCTTTATGGCTGAATAAAACTCCATTGTGTATATTTACCACATTTTCTTTATCCATTTATCTGTTGGTGGACACTTAGACTGGTTCCATAGTTTGGCCATTGTGAGCTGTGCTGCTGTAAACATGGATATACATGTGTCACTCTTGTAAGATGACTTTAATTCTTTAGGATAAATACTGCAGAGTGACATGGCTGGATCATATGGTAGTTCCCTGATTTGTCTTTTGAGGAACCTCCATACTGATTTCCATAGCAGTTGTACTGATTTATTGTCTCAGTGTAAAGTGTTTCTTTTTCTCCATGTCCTCTCCAGCATTTATTATTATTTGAATTCTTGATGACTGCCATTGTGACTGGTATGACATGAAATCTTAGCATAATTTTGATTTGCACTTTCCTAATTGCTGATGATGTTGAACAGTTTTTTCATACATTTGTTGGTCATTTTATTTTTTTCTTTTGAAAAGTGTTGGAGTTCATTTGTCTATTTATTAGTTGCATTTTCTTTTTTTTTTTTAAGTTCTTTATATATTCTGGACATTAATACTCTGTCAGAAGAGTAGCTAGCAGTGATTTTCTCCTCTGGGCTCTCTCTTTACTTCCTAATTGTTTCCTTTGCTGTGCAGAGGCTTTAACTTGATACCATGTCACTTATTAACTCTGGGCATAATTTGTTGAGCTTTGGGGGTCCTGTTGAGAAAGTCATTGCATGTGTCCATATGCTGGAGTGTTGACCCTACGATTTCTTCTAGGAGTTGTGCAGTTTCTGTTCTAATTCTGAGGACTTGGAACCATTTTGAGTTGTTTTTGTGCAGGGTGAGAAATAAGGGTCAAGTGTCATTCTTTTACACAAGGATGACAAGTTTTCCCAGCACCACTTGTTAAGAGAGGCTGTCTTTGCCAGTGTATGTTTTTGGCAGTGATGAGGGTCTTAACCATGCAGTGCACCACCAAGCAGGACTGTTGCTCAGGAAAGAGACACAGCTCCTCCTAGTGGCAAGACTGGAGTAGTCCACTTAGTTTTGTGGATTTGTGGATTATGGATGAATTTTCTGTTGCTAGTTAGGAAGAATGAAACCTTGAGGGTTATTTTCATCTCTTCAGCCCAGTTCTGTGAACACTCACCTCCTCTGATTTCTCTGTGGCCTTTGATGTTCTCTTGCTGTGGTTTCTTTGGACCCCACACCCTGGCTTTCTTCACACCCTTTCTTCTCCTCCTGGTACCCTTTATATGCTGTGTCTCCAGAGCCCTGTGGGACTTCTCCTTATTCTCCACACTCTTCTTCAGAGGAAGACTCAGTCGCTTGAAGGAGTTTTGTCTACCCTTGAGATGCTCTGGGCCCCTCTGGATGTCTTGGTGCTGTAGGTTTCCAGTCCCAAGTTATTGCTTGGCCCCCACCCTACCCATGTACCTTTCCTTGGAGTCTGAAAACACTGTCCATCTGGGTGTTCAAGCAGAAGTTTGAGAGTCTTTCCTTATTCTTTGGTCCCTTTCCCTCCCTGTTTTCTAGACACCCAATGGGTGTAGTCCTGCCACCTCACCATTCCCAGCCCTGCTGTCTTCCCCCTGGTCTAGGCCACTTGTATATGCAGCTGGGTCCCTGCTGAGCCCTTGCCTCCATCTGGGAATAGCTCATCTGGGCCACCCTCCCTGGGTGGTTGTATGCATGTGTCCCTCATCAGCTTCGGTGATGGGCAGGGTCCAGCACAATAGCAGAGTTCACCCAGGCCCTTGATTGGATCTGCCTAGCTTTTCTACCCCTCTTCCCTCACCATCTTCTCTGTGTTGTGCTCTGACTTGCACTTCTCAGGCGTGTCACCTCATCTCCTGGAACACTGCCTGTGTTCGTGCTGCCTGTCTTTTCCTGTGGGGCTCCAGGAGGCCTCACTGAGGCACCAGCCCCTCTTAGACTCCTTCAGCACCCAGTTCTTTCCACCTGTGTGTCCTCACGTGTTCTTTCCCCCCTCCTGCATATCCACACTGTGCTCTTGGTGCTCTTTTCTGCTGCTGTCCCTGCATGCCAGCAGGGCCCCATGCACAGACACTGGGTGTCAGGAGAACAGGGACTGTGCAGTGTTTTGGGGAGCAGGCTGTGTTCCTGGCTTTAGGATTTGTACCCCAGGCTCTGATGACTCTGGCTGGTCACTGTGTTGACAGAGAAGTATGGGGCAGCCAGCATTTTGGGGGCCTTTTAAGTACTGACTTGGCACAGAGGGGCTTTGGTGAGGCTCTGGGAGGGGAATGCCAGGTGTGGGCCAGAGCTTTGGGGGATGGCGTGTACAGTCTTAGGCTGGGTCCGGAGTGTCCACTTTGGGTGGTTCTGGACTTAAAAGCCACTGGAGATGGTTTTAGGGCTGAGGGAATGATATTAGCGATGTTTTAGAAAGTAAGTTTGGTGAGTAAAGTGCTGTAGTAGTTGGAGTGACTGGTGGGGACCGACCAGCCCCTGGGATGCAGTCCCAGCAGTGCAACTGGGAATGAAGGGACTGTGCAAACTGAGGCCCTGTAGGGTTTATTGTCAAGATATGGCAATGGCCAGAGTCGACACTGGCACCTACTCTTGGATCCTAATGACCATCTGTCTTCTCCAAGTGGCCTCTGCTGAGAAGGTGCAGGCCTCACGCTTCAGTCAGATCTTTCCCATACTTCATGTGGCCAAAACTGTAGGGCTCAGGGAGGGCAGTAGATTTTGTTGAGAGGAGATGCATGGGAGGAAGATGGATTTTGTTAATAAGTTTCTCTCTTCTGTTTCCGGTCAGTGTCAGCTGGGAGTGTTACCCCTGGGGACAGGAAATGATCTGGCCCGAGTGCTTGGTTGGGGCTCAGCCTGTGACGATGATACCCAGCTTCCGCAGATCTTGGCGAAGCTGGAGAGGGCCAGCACTAAGATGTTGGACAGGTGAGTGGAGTGCACCAGTGCTGTGTGGGCTGAAGCTATTCTGAGAAGCAGGCACTTGAGCATGAATCCTGTCCTGGGGTCTGTGCACCTCTGATGTTATTTGTATGTTTGACTTGAGCATATATTCTTTTCCTGATAGTTTTGGTTAGATATTATTCAAAGGATAGAAACAAACAACACAGGTTAAGAAGCACGTCCCAAATGGTGAGTTCTCCTTAAGAGGCCATACTTAGGTCTGTCATGGTGTCCGAGAAGCTGCCTCTAGTCTTCAGCTGTCTTGGCTGAGGGTCTGTGACCACTGGCAAAGTACTGCTAGGCGTGTATTTGAGCAGTTCCATTTGCCTGTGTTCGTTTCCCAGAAGAGCACATTTTGGACAAGTGTCCTGTAGGGCTTAAAAGATATTCTGGCTTCTTTGGGTGGGTTGCTTCTAGTTAGATGGATGGTACCCCACTGCCCACATGCCGTGGTCTTTGGTGTCAATGAAAATGTTCCAGGACCCTAGAGATCTGGACGGCCTTCCTGGTAGGAAGTACTCATCCTCATTGGGCAGGCTGGCTGCTAGCTGAGCAGTTTGTAGCTATCTGAAGGAGGGAAAGTCCATTTCTCCCAGCAGCAGCACCTTATCTCAAGGGCGGCTTTTATGGAAGACCTTTCATTTCTTTCTGTGGAGCTGTAGTGCCCTGTTGGTTGGGGAGAGGAGATGTTTGTTCTCAGGCAGATGAAGTTACAGATGCGGAGTCAAGATAGAGGGCTTAAAAGTGAGGTCAGAAATAGGACGGAGATCAAGGGACAGGCTGTGGAATTGGGGGGAGCACAGGGTCTGTCATGGGCAGTTGCATGTCTCTGGGTGCTGGCAGGTGCCTGGTTGAGCTGAACTTGTGCCTGTACAGGTGGAGCGTCATGGCGCACGAGACCAAACTCCCTCGGCAGGCCTCTTCCTCCACTGTCACCGAAGACTTCAGTGAGGATTCCGAGGTATTGCCACCAGCTCTTTTTTGGGGGGCAGGGTAGGGATAGAACCTAGGTCCCCATACATGCTAGGTAAGTGCTTTACCGTTGAGCTCCACCCAGCCTGCCATCACTCTTTAAACCCCACCTCACGGTCTTAACATACGGTCAGCATTTTGAAATGTCTCCTTTGCCCCTCTCATGCTGGGTCTGTCACAGCTGAACAGCAGGCTGGCTGGGTTCTAACTCTTGGGCTTCATGACTGTGTAAAGGTTTCCTGGGTTATCCCAGTGACCTTGTCCTGTGCCTTCCTGCTCTCTGGTGCATTCTGTCAGCTCCTTAGCACCCCATGCACCATCTATACTGGTTCCCTCTCTTGTCACAGCTGTCCCCCAGCCTGGACTGCCCAGTTCCCTTTGCTGCCTTGTTCCTAGCAGCCACGGGGCCTCTGCCCCTGTCCCACTCCTCCTCTCTCTGGGTGTCTGTAGCCGCCCTTAGTTTGTCTACCTTGGTTCAGCACGGAGTTCTTTTTGCTCGGTGGATGTTATAGTTGTGATTTAGCTTTAAGTTCCCTGAGGACATAGACTTTGACTTCTTTGGTTTATGTCCTGCACTGATGCAGTGCTGGGCACACAGCTGTGCTTATCCCACAGGGCAAGCTCTGCCAGCTGAGTGTGAGAAGGACTCTGCCTGGTAGTGTGCCAGCCGAGAGTGCCAAGGGCTGTAGAAAGAGATGATCTTCTCCAGGCGGTCAGGGCACAGTTGACGAACAGTGCTGCTGGCCAGAGTATCCGGGCCTGCTTGGCATGTCTTCACACTCACAGAGTGATTTGCCTGGCTAGCAGTGAAGCTTGCTGGCTCGGGGGCAGGGCCAGGGGAGCAGCCACAATACAGGGTGGCATTCCTGTGTCACTGGCAAACGCTAGTGGTGAAGAGGATGGAATTCACACCACATAGAAAATATGGCATCTCTCTGAATGGAACCCAAACCAGGGGCCACTATCAGTGGGGTCACCGCAGACAGAGCGGGTAACAGACGAAGGACCCTGCACAGGCCAGGTTTAGATTTCAGACTAAAGTAGCAGGAGAGCCTGCCTATTTGGACAGATTCGTTTTTGTTTGGAACTGGCTTTCAGTCTGTCTACTGCTTGATGAATCTTCTGAAGTCTCTTACAGAATACTGGTCAGCTCAGACTAGCATTTGAAGTGAGTTGAGGCTGTAGCAGGCTGAGGCAGGTAGAGGGCATCTCCTTTCCAGACTTTGCTACCGGGGAAGTAGAAGATCCCTGTGACCCAGAGTCATGGATAGAGTGCCCAGTTAGTTGATCATGGAGACTGACAGATCCCTGTTTTGGGGTGATTGCAGGTACAGCAGATTCTCTTCTATGAAGACTCAGTTGCAGCCCATCTTTCTAAAATCCTGACCTCAGATCAGCACTCGGTGGTCATCTCATCAGCCAAGTGAGTACTTGGCCTTGGGGAGGCAGGGCCTCAACCAAGGTGGCACCCAGAGTTTCAACCCAGCCGCTTTTCTACCTCCCCTTGTCCCCCAGAGTGCTTTGCGAGACAGTGAAGGACTTTGTGGCCCGGGTGGGCAGGGCCTACGAGAAGACAACTGAGAGCTCAGAGGAGTCAGAGGTCATGGCCAAGAAGGTCTGTTCCTGGGTACAGGGTGGGAGGGGCATCCAGACATGAGGAGCATGCATTCCATGCCAGTCCATCCTGTCTAGTGCTCTGTCCTGAAGGAGAAGTTGGACTCTCTCCTGAAGACCTTGGATGATGAGTCCCAGGCCTCGTCCTCTTTGCCCAACCCACCCCCTACCATTGCTGAGGAGGCTGAAGATGGGGATGGATCGGGCAGTGTCTGTGGCTCCACTGGGGACCGCCTGGTGGGCTCGGCATGTCCTGCCCGGCCACAGATCTTCCGGCCTCGAGAGCAGCTCATGCTGAGAGCCAACAGCCTGAAGAAAGCGATTCGCCAGATCATAGAACACACAGAGAAAGGTATTGGGCCTCTTGGTGGCTGGATGGCTGTCTTCAGACACACACTGGGTGTACCTGAGTTCCTTGAGTGGGTGATGACCAGGATGGACACATTGGGATAAACACTGGCCCACACACTCGTCTACCCTCATCTACACCCACGCCCCTTCAGCAGGCTAGCTTGCCCTTGCCTGCCTCAGCACTCTCAGAAGCTAGTCCACACTGTCGCCCCTCGCTTCACCCCCCTTCCTGGCCCTCCCCGTGTCCATTCTGAGCAGACCATAGTCATGGATTGGTGTGCCTATGCCTGCCTGCCCTCCTGGATGACATCCAGGGGGTTCCTCTGCTAGGTCACTTTCCCCTCTGTGGTCTCCAGCCTCAGGGTCCTTCTCCCCAGCCAGTCAGCACAATGTCCAGGTGCTGCTGAACTGACTGTGCTTGGGACCAGGCAAAAGGTGAGGTGTGGTGGGGTGCCAGGGTCTGACTGTCAGAGGACATCTGAGAGGGGAAGCTTGGACCCTGCACCTGTAGCTATCTTGGCACGGCTGCTGCTGTCATATGTGCTCAGTGGCAGTGCTGTCTCCCTGCCTAGCTGTTGATGAACAGAATGCCCAGACCCAGGAGCAGGAGGGCTTCATGCTGGGCCTCCCGGAGGCAGAAGAGAAGAAGGACTCAAGGACAGATGGCAGAGTATGCCCACCGCTATCCCACAGTGAGAGCTGCGGGGTCCTCAAAGGGAGAAGCCACCGCAAAGGTATGTCTCTGCTGCAGGCAGGCTTTGGTTTTGGTTGCATTCACAAGCTTGCTGAAGGGAGCTCTAGGGGCCTTTCTCCTAATTGCTTTAGCCATTTGACTCTCATGACCATGGCCCATGTGTGCACCGTCTGTGTGTGTGATCCTGACATGTGGCTTTTCTGGAGGATACTGGTAGAACCTGCAGGGCCTGGGGAGGTTCCCTACACAAGGAAAGGCCCTGCCCTCCTTGGGAGTGGCTGGTATCTGCCCAGCCTTCCTGACACTTCCTGACAGTGTCCCACAGCGATACTCAGACAGGACTGTGTCTGGCAGGGATGGATCCTTGCCCCTCGTGGAACAGACCCTGGCACAGGCTCCTCCTGTTGGGGAGCCCCTCTGCCCCTCAGCTGGCCAGGCACTGAGGGGCCTGCCCAGAGTCAGTGCCGAGAGCATTGGTCGTTAATACTCCACTCTGCCTGGGTGCGGACTGCGCCTTCAGACCATGGCTGGGCCAGCCCATGCCTGTGTTGCCATCCACCACCTCTGCTGCCTTCAAGACAACCCAGGCCCTTGGCATGCTGTGCGAGTCTTCACTCAGGGACTTCTTTCTTTGTCTTGTACTTTTCCTGCTGGCCCAACTGGTGATTTGTAGCTCTCTTTCCTCCCACAGCCCTCACACCGGTCCTTCCACCCATGCCCCCTAGGATTTCAGCTGCATTCCATTTCGGACAGTCTGAGGGTGTTCTGTATTATTTTACAGCATCCAGATCCCCATGTGAGAAGCTAATGAGCAAAGGAGGTCTGTCCTTGGGCAACTCTGCCTCTCTTCCTCCCCAGGCAGGAAGCCGAGATGGCCTGCCTGCACTGAACACCAAGATCCTGTTCCCAAGTGAGTGCTGTCACCTCCACCTACCTGGGCTGGTGTGCTGGGGGCAACTAGCTAGGAGGTGTTTGCTACCAATGGCTTGGACTCGTCACTTTGCTGGGTACTCGGTCTGTCAGAAGGAATAAGATGGCATCACTGGCCACAGAGAGCTTGTAGGTCCATGAAAAGATAGGCACAGAACTTTAAAATTTATATAACTATGAAAAATGCCCTTTTTAATAAAGGGCAGGCTAAACCCAAATAACTGCCCAAGTAGCTCCTACTACTGAGCTGCCTCCAACCCCCAGGAAGACATTCTTTAGGGGTCTCATAGATGTTGGTGTCTGTGGCCCTACAGGTCCATTTTTGCATGATAAACATTGGATGATGATGGTGATTTTTGACCTGTGAATTGTCAAGGTTTGGACGTCCTTTCATTGTTTCGACTTGTTTAATTATATTAATGTTCTGCAGAACTTGTATCTGCGATGCAGCAAAGACCTACGTTGCTCTTGTCTGCAGCTTCTGGCCAGCACTCTTTCTCTCTCCCTTGTAGGTGTTCGGGCTGGGATGTCTGGTTCCTTGCCTGGGGGCTCTGTCATCAGTCGCTTATTAATTAACGCTGACCCCTTTAATGCTGAACCCGAAAACCTGTGAGTATGAGGTGCACCACAGCATCTTGTTAACGCGTTGGAACATGATTTCAGAGTTAACTAGAGAAATTAATAGTTGACTGGCTGGGCCTTCGGTTGCTGTAGCTAATGAGGATAACCTAGAAACTGATAGCTGAGGGTGGCGGAGGGCAGGGCCTCCCCTGGTTCTTTCTCAGCCCTTTGATAGAAGGGACCAGGCACTCCACTACTCGCTGGTGGCCTTCCAGGGCGTTTGCTGGCCCACCCAGTCCTGCTGGAGGCTGACTCAGTGCTCGTCCCCCTGGTTGCCTCAGTTGTCACGCTTGGGTATCTACTGCCCCACTGTCACGTCTTTTCTCCCACATGCTTCTCCCTCCTGTCCTGCTGCCCCACCTGCCTGCTTTCCTGCTCAGTGACACAGACTGAGGAGACGAATATTGAAGAATATTGGGCTGCTGCCCTGTGGGGACGTGGCCTTCTTGCTGTGCCCAGGTTCTGAGGCAGAGAGCACATCTGCAGAGCAGCAGAATGGAGCCTTTTGTTCAGTAGAGACCAGTGAAGAGATGGATGGTGTTTTACAAACTGATGAAGACTTCCAGCTTATCTTTCTTGTTGCTGATGGCAGGCTCTGGGTGGCTGGGTGCTGGTGATGTTTGGTCACAGGTTGTCAACTGATAGTGTCTGGCATGTTTTAGAAGCTCCGTGGGTTTGGGAGGGTAGCCTTTAGACTCCAGGCATTAGCGGTAGCCTTGTGCTCCATTCCTGCTGCTGCTCTGTGCCTTCAGGCCGCGACTGAAGGCTCAGACTACATTCCCTCTGGGAGCCGTGCCCTCAGTGCCTTGAACCTCGTCTGGTATCATGGAATCCTGGCTCTGTGTATAAGGGTGCTTTCTTCTTCACCTGGGGACACACAGCTGTGCTGTCTGCCTTCCCCCCACCCCAAACTGTGGAGGCCACCAGCTTGGCCACCACAGTTCTGCCTACAACAGGAGCCCATCATCTCCCTTTATCGGCAGCTGCCAACTGGGACCCTCCTTCTCTTGTCCACATGCCTTTTTTCTGGATTAGTTCTCTTTTTTTCCCAGGACCTATGGATACTGTTAGCCACGTGGTCTTCAACTTAGAAGATGGTTTTGTTCCCGAGCTTTGCTCTCAGCCAGCTGTTAGGCACTTGAATTAGATGTGTCCTCAAAATACTTATAGGTCGTGACTAGTTTTCAGATCAGGCTACAAAAAGTGTTAAGCTAAACTATCAGAATTTTGGTCCACGCAGTGTTCCCAGGTGTCCTCTCCACAGTGAGTTATGTGGGGTCTCCTGCCATGCTCCCCGCACTGCGTCCTCCATGCTGTCTTTTCATTGTGGAGGGACAGGTGTTCCTCTTTTCACCTCCTGTCCTGGAGGGGAACCCTAGGTGACCACGGCTGTAGAGGAGCTCAGCCATGCCAGCAGTCGGGTGAGCACAGACCAGGGCCTCCGGCTGGTTGGGTGAGAGGCTAAAGGAGATGAGTCTCACAGCAGGACTCTGGGAGGAGGCTTTGTGGCTCTGGGCTGGCACAGACATTTTGAAGTTGAGTTCCTTTTTGATTTGGAAACTGCTTTAACAGGTCTAAGGGTGTTGGGAAAGCATTTTGAGCCTGGGATTCAGAGGTGTGAGTTTAGGTGCCATGAAAGATCTCCGTGATGCCTCCATCACGGAGGCAGAGAGCCTTATAGTAGAAAAGGTGGGCAGCTCCTCAGAAGGGTGAACTGAGTCGCCAGATGACTAGCAGCTCTGCCGTTGAGCATATACCCGGGGAACTGGCATATGCCCGTGCCTAGCTCGTATACAAATATCCACAAATAATAACCAGAAAGTGGAATGACTCAGATGTGCATCAGCTAATGAAGAAGTAAACTAGAATATCCACACAGTGGAATATCATTTTTCAGTAGATGTTTTGTTTTGGGTGCTGGGGATTGAACTCAGGGGCACTGAACCACTGAGCCACACCCCCGGCCTTATTTTGTATTTAGAGACAGGGCCTCACTGAGTTGCTTAGCGCCTCACTGTTGCTGAGGCTGGCTTTGAACTCACGATCCTCCTGCCTCAGCCTCGTGTGCCACCGCACCTGGTGAGCCACATGTTTTAGGATTTCATTTGTATGGAGTTGTTAGGATAGGCACAACCATCTAGACAGCAGATGAGTGGCTTTGAGGGGCTGAGCAGGATGGGGAGTTGGGAGCTGTTAGTTTAGGATGTGACCTTTCTATTGAGGTGATGACATGTTCTAAAATTGTAGAAATGGTTTTAAAATTCTGTAGTTTTAAAATTTAAAATATATTAAAAATCCCTGAATTATATACTTTTAAATAGGTAAGTACATGACAGGTGAATTATATCTCAGTAAAGCTCTTATAGTGGTGGTTGTGGGGGAGCAAACCTGGTTTGGGTTCATTTTGCTCTAAGGAAGAAATGTGTGGAGCTCGGTAGTCTGTCTGATAAGCCAGCCACACCAGGCCGTTGTAGCTGACTCAGCGCTCACCTCTGCAGGGAGTGCTACACAGAGAAGTGTGTCATGAACAACTATTTTGGCATTGGCCTGGATGCGAAGATCTCCCTGGACTTTAACAATAAGCGTGACGAGCACCCGGAGAAGTGCAGGTGGGTGCAGCCTCATGAGCCGCCTGTTGTCTACACCCTTCTGGCCTCTCCTTTCAGATAGCAGGTGATCTCTTTCTGGAGTCAGCGGGGTCTAAATGGTTCAGAATGCTAAGGAGAAGATGGGAGACTGGATGCCTCATTGTCAGAAGCAAAGGTGTAGGACGCAGTCAGCAGTCCAGGGCCGGCCAGGTCAGGCAGGCTGGACGTGAGAACACTAGTGGCCATGGGGGGTGTGTGTGTGTGGCGGGGATTGAATAAGCCCGTGACACTGCAATAGAGGCAGGTAGCACAAGTTTGCCGGGAGCTGTGTTCCCCAGCAGGCCTCCTGCCACCTCCTTCATGCATTCACAGGGAGGGCGCAGGGGTGTGGGATGTGAAGATTACTTTCTCCTTTGTGCTCTTCCTCATTTTCCACGGCAAGTATAATTTCAAAGACAGAAGAAAGTCATAGTCTATAAAATTTGGGGGAGTTTTGTTCATTTACTTTCTCGACAAATTGTCATTATTTAGCACAATTCCCTGTTGGTAATTATATTTCTTTTTTTTTTTTTTTTAAATACTGGGGATTGAACTCGGGTGCTTAAACATACTGAGCCACGTCCCCCTTTTTATATTTCATTTAGAGACAGGGTCTTGTTGAGTTTCTTAGGGCCTCACTAAGTTGCTGAGGTTGGCTTTGAACTCATGAGCCTTTTGCCTCATCCACCTGAGCCACTGGGATCACAGACGTGTGCCACATGCCTGGCTGGTAACTATATTTCTTCAGGCACTTTTGTCTTGTCTTCAGGTGTTTTTGCTGCAGACAGTTTTTGAGACTGACTGGTTTGTGACCAGATGCATTCCCCCAGGCTTTATAGCAGAGGCTGTTACCTGTGAAGGAAGCCCTGACCCACCTCAAGACTTGGCTTCCATTCCTAGGAGTCGGACCAAGAACATGATGTGGTATGGAGTCCTGGGCACCAAGGAGCTGCTGCACAGAACCTACAGGAACCTGGAGCAGAAGGTCTTGCTGGAGGTGAGTGGGAAGGGTCCTCTGCACCCCCACCCCAGCTCTTGGCCTTGTCTGCACTGTGCTGAGCTCCCCAGGGGAGCCCATCCAGGCCGCGCCGCCTCAGCACCTGGTGCGAGTCCTGCTGAAGGAAGACCAGCTCATGCCAAGTGTTTCTCTTTCTCCCTGCCTATGTTTCTGCTGCTCAGTGTGATGGTCGACCAATCCCCCTCCCTAGTCTTCAGGGAATCGCTGTCCTCAACATTCCCAGCTATGCTGGAGGGACCAACTTCTGGGGGGGCACCAAGGAAGATGATGTACGTACTGGGTATAGGGTGGGGGGGCCAGCCTCAGGGAGGAGTGGGACAGCCAGAGGGCAGAAGGTGCTCTCGTGATCTGGTGGTGCTGGGGGTAGGTGTGGTGGAGGACCAGACAGGGCCCCTTGCCCACAGGCTTACTGTCTAGAGGGCAGACTGAGTACGTAGGATTGGTGAGCGGAGGCCAAGACCTGGGGGACGAGGAGATGGCCAACTTGGGTGGGCCACAGGGAAGAGGAGGGCTGTGCCAGGCAGAGGGAGTGTTGTATGTGGAGGCTCAGAGGCAAGAGGAGACAGGTACATGGAGGGTGTGGAGAAAGGTCCCATGGCTGCAGCGTGCAGCAAGTATGTGGAAGGAGACTGGGATCTGCAAGGGCCTGGTCTGCACAGGGCTGTGAGCCAGGGAAGAAATCTGAATGAGGGAAGGTATTGATCAGTTTTAGCCAGAGGAAATGTCTTCTTTGTACATAATAACAAAGCAGCCAGCACTTACTGCAAACCTAACACATGTGGACCTGTGTTCTCAAGTTACCTTGTTCAGTCTTGTAACAGCCCCTTGAGGAGTATGCAAGTATGACCTCACTTGACAGATGAGGAAACTGAGGAAGAGAGGAGTTACATAACTTGCCCAAGGTCTCATGCTAGTAAGCGGCAGCTAGTAAGGGGACCCAGGCGGCTGGCTACCAGCTGGGTAGCAGAAACCTCGTGCATGTTCAGGCTTGCCTGCCTCTCACTGGCACAGCAGCTGATGAGAGGGGCTTCCCCAGAGTTGGGTGTGTGTGTGTGTGTGTGTGTGTGTGTGTGTGTGTGTGTGGTGGGGGCTGAGGTCAGCTCTCACACGGCCTTTCAGACTTTTGCAGCTCCGTCGTTTGATGATAAGATTCTGGAGGTGGTCGCTGTGTTTGGCAGCATGCAGATGGCTGTGTCTCGTGTAATTAAGCTGCAGCATCACCGAATCGCACAGGTACTGGCCAGGGTCCTCAAGGCTGGGCATATCTCCCTCCTGCGGTTCACATCTGTTTGCAGAGGCAGGGCTTGGCATAGAACTCACTGGGTTTGCTTCCAGTGGGTGGAGCCCACAAGAAGAGGGTGCTTTCCCAGGACCTTGTGGCAGCCTTTTCGCTGGGCTCTGGACAGTACTGCTTCCTGGGCCAAAATCCTTCCCACCAGCTATATTTGACAGTTAAATTCTCAAAACGAAAAACCCCAAAGCATGTATCCTACCTGAGCACTCTGCCTATTCAGGTAGACACTGAGGTAGAACAGACTCTCTGCCCTACCCCTGCAGCTGTAATGCAGAGCATGGGAACAGCCCAAGTCTCTGTGGTGCCCTGGGAAGTATTTCCATCTGAGGCCTGGTCTGGGACAGGAGACAGGCTGGGGCTCCCACGACTCCATCCTGACAGTGGTGATGGGCTGGGAAGGCCTGTCTCCCTGTGGTATTGGGGGCTGCTCTTGTTCTGCAGAGGTGTTGCAGGAGCTGCTTATAAAATCCACTGGCCCGCCCGGCATGTGTCTCAGTGGTGGAGAGCTTACCTAGCATGCACAAGGCCCTGTGCTCAATCCCCAGCACCACAAAATAGAAAAACAAAACAAATCTCACTGGCCTGAACCCCATGCTGGGGTCGGCCAGTATCTTTTGTGTTACACCTGCCCCCAATCCTAGTCTGCTTAAAAGTTCACATTTTGAAGTTTTTGCAGCATTTTTCTTGAAAGAGGAAAAGGGCATCATCATATACTCAGTGACTTTTCTCTGGGGATTTTGGCATCTGGCAGGGCCCATGACTTCCCTGCTCCCCACCTACCTGCTCCTGATGCCCATGTCAGCAGACCAGGGTCTCCTACACTGACTGATCCCCAAAGCTCATCAGTCTCTGGGAGAGGACTGTAGGGGTGGGTAGGGCAGCAGAGCTGAGGAGAGCAGCCTCTTGGGTCCTGACAGCAAAGCAATTGGCTGTTGGAGCTATGTCCCCGGTGGTGGTGGTGGGTGGGAATCCTGAGGGGAAGGGGTACAGGCATATGGATCAGGAAGGCCCCAGTGGTGCCTTGAGGCCTCTGGAGGTCATGGCTTAGCACACAACTGACGCCTGTGGTATTGGCCCAGTGTCGCACCGTGAAGATTTCCATCCTGGGGGATGAGGGTGTACCTGTGCAGGTGGATGGAGAGGCCTGGATCCAGCCCCCTGGATACATTCGGATTATCCACAAGAACCGGGCACAGACGCTGACCAGAGATAGGGTAAGAATGACTGCCAGCAGGGCCCTCTGGCAGGGGTACCAGGCTCACCTGTGGGCTTACCTGTGCACTCTTGAGGAGCCAGAGAGCTTCATGTTTTGTGCTAGGATTTTTGTTTAAGACACGAAAATGAACCTAACAAAGAGTAATTTCTAGGACATTGCCTCCCTTGCAATGTAAAAAAAAAAAAAAATTGCCTCTTTCTTTCCTAGTTACCGTTGACATCTAGTAGTATTCATCTTGGTTAGATGTGTGCTCCCCACTTGAGAGCGTGGTGGAGAGCGTAAGTCTGCCTCTTGTGTCCTAGGCCTTTGAGAACACCCTGAAGTCCTGGGAAGACAAACAGAAGTGTGAGCTGCCCCGCCCACCATCTTTTTCACTGCATCCAGAGATCCTGTCTGAGGAGGAGGCCATCCACATGGACCAGTTTGGGCAGGCGGCCGGGGTCCTCATCCACAGGTGGGCTCTGCCCGGCGCTGCAGGGAGCCCCCTCACTGGTGTGCAGGCTGTGGAGCTTCTCTGGCTTTGCGTTGGATCTGCATCGGCTACGAGGGCCCAGCCTGTTTCTCTTGCCTTGGCTTTGGTTATCTCTCTTAGCCCCCTCTCAGACACTGCCTGGTTTGCATAGATGGAAACCTGAAACCCATAGGGATTTTCAGAGCCAGCCACAGACATTAAATCTGACCTGGATTTCTAAGAACATTCCTTGACTGCCTCCTTTATTTCGGAGAGCAGATTTGCACTTTGCTCTTAAATTTGTTTTTTTTTTTTTTTTTTAAAGATACCTGTACAAGGCACTTTCTCTTCTTTGACAAGTGGCTTCTGGAGCAGCTGCGGCCCTTGTGACACAGTGCTCAGCACTGTCCACGGGGTCCATTGCCGTGGTGTGGGCTCCAGCAGGTCGCACTCGGCCTGCTCACCTGGGGCCCTCTCCGCCATCCTCAATTCTTTCTGTTGCTCAGTGGCACTCTCCCTGCCAGAGCTGCACGCTGCTTGGTGCTCCTTGGTGTCCCTGTTGTGCTTCTCTTGGGCTTTCCCTTCCTCTGCTCTATCTTGTGTGCTGGGTCCCTTGGGTCTGCCCTTCCCAGGTAGCCCTGATGTGAGGAGGTGGCCGTGGGCTAGGCTCCCCACTCTAGGCTCTTGTCCTATAGGTTAGTTGCTATCTGGTCCCTCCCACAGAGACGTTTCTAGTCCATACTGGCCACATGTCCTTGTCCTGTACCGCCTTCTCTCCTTGGTGGGTAGCAACTGCTGCTGTTCCCACCTCCCACTGGGGGGCCACCCTTCTTTCCCCCTTCTCTGCCTCTGGTCGGCCATGGGGCTGGGGGCGTACTTGGCCTTACATATTTGTTCAGCTGCTTGCTGGGCAACAGGCTCCCTTACAGGCTGTGGTGGCCCAGGGGCCTGCTGGGAGTAGTGCTTTCTACAGTGCTGCATTTTTCCCTGGTCAGGGTGGGGTGCTCCCCTGGCCTCTCCCTGCACTGCCATGTCCCTCTTTGTCCCACCTCAGCTTCCCAGAGGTGCCCCGGCTGTGCCTTCACTGTCTCCCCTTGGAGGGCTCCACTCTGGGCTACATGCTCAGCCAGTCATCAGGCCAGGATTGGGCCTTCGAGGAGCTCTGGTTCCTGCAGCGTCTGCACCTCTGGCCCATTTGTGGCCCTGCCGGGGTCTTCCTATGTGGCTTTGCATGCTGGCCTGCTGTCTGCTTGCTGTTTTCAAGGTCTGAGCCTCATTTTGTGCGTTTTCCTCACTGGAAAAGCTGGGATCTGGATGTCAGGTGTCCTGTTTAAACTGTCCGCTGTCGGCTGTTGATCAGGAGGCAGCTGGCAAGGTCTTCCTGGGCCAGTGGCTGTACCTGTGTGTGGTAGCATAGCTGAGCCGCAGTCCCCACTGGCCTGCTGCACTGGGCCTGCATTCTGCTGTCTTGGTGTCCTGGACTATGTTCATACCAGTGTGCAAAGGGCCGTCCTGCCCTTGGCCTGAAGCAAGCTGTGTTTCTCTTCCTCTCTAGCATCCGGGAAGTAGCCCAGTGCCACCGGGATGTGGAGCAGGAGCTCGCTCATGCCGTCAACGCCAGCTCCAAGGCCATGGACCGAGTGTATGGCAAGCCTAGGGCTGCGGAGGTACTGGTCTCCCCAGGTCTGGCCTTTGTGACTTCCATAGCCCGTGGCCTTCTACATGGATGTGCATTCTGGTTCCTCTCAGGGGCTGAACTGCAGCTTTGTCCTGGAGATGGTGAATAACATCAGGGCTCTGCGCAGCGAGACGGAGCTGCTGCTGTCTGGGAAGATGGCCCTGGTGAGCTGACACGGGGGGCAGCAGGGCTCTAGCTCTATGGGAGGTAACTGTTATCTCCAGGGCATTGGGCACTGAGGGCTCTCAGCCTTAAGGAAGGGGCCTCTGAGGTCAGCACCTGGACCCTGGCAGCACCTCAACCAGGTCATCTTCAGCATGGCAGAGGGCCTGTGGCAGCGCCTGGTGGTGGGCAGTGTACTTCTCCCTTAGGCCCTGTGGGCACTGAACCCTCCCTTCTCAAGGAGCAGACCTGCTGGGCTGTCGCCTGCCCCAACCAGCCCTGGGGGAGCCCCATGCAGAAGCTAGAATGGGGGCCGGCCAGCCTCCTTGGAGTAAAAGGAGGATGTGGGAAGGACTTGCTGGGACTCCCAGGCTAGTGTCACAGTCCACTCTGTACCTGGACCTTGTGCTGCCCCTGTGTGTCATGCTGCTGTCTAGTTGCTCCCAGCATTTCTGCAGTTGGCATAGGTGGAAAGGAGACAGGGAGCCTGAACAGGTCAGATGCCAGCCCACGTAGGGCATGTGGCTTCCTATCACCAGAGCAGAGTCCGCCTCTCACCTCCACAGACACTGCTTAGGAAGGGGGTCCTGGGGTTGTCCCCACGCCTGGGGCTTCATTTCTGGAAAGCGTAAGCAGTCTGAGGGCCTCGGCTGCCTGGGCTTTGCTGGCCCTGGTGTCTCGCTGTGGCCAGCAGCTGTGTTTCTCTTTCTCCTACTGGAGCAGCAATTGGACCCTCCTCAGAAGGAGCGGCTGGGTGCTGCTCTCGCCGAGATGGACCGGCAGCTTAGGAAGCTGGCAGATACGCCCTGGCTCTGCCAGCCCACAGAGCCTGGTGATGAAGAGGTATGTGGTCTGAGGCTTTGGTGTGGTGCCCCTTGGACACGTAGCACTTGCCAGCATTCAATGGACCCTTCAGCTTTGAGATTGGGATTGCCTGGATCTCCAGCCACTGGTAGCATCCTCGAGACTTCTTTTTAAGACGTCTTTCCAGGCAGGGAGAGATTGTGTGCCTAGGAATGGGCTGGGGCTGGGGTTGAGAGACCCCTTGACCACTGGGCACACACTGTTCTCTAAAACAGCTGCAGGACTGATTGGGCGGTAAGTAGGAAGAAGGCAGAGCCCATCCCCAGTTTGCTCGTGTGGAGACACATCCATTGGATAAATGGCAGCTTTGGCTGGTGATGTGGCCCAGTGTTGAGCACTTGTCTGGCATGTGTAAGGTCCTGGGTTCTTTCCCCAGCACTGGGGGTGGGGGGGTGGGGAGGAAGAAAGAAAAACTATGGCAGCTTCATGGAATTTCACTGTTGATAGGGACACGTTGATATCTTCACTCCCCACTCACACTTTTCTTCTGTGCGCACCCAGCTGGCTGCAGGTTTAATAGCTGGGGTAGATGGGACCCTAACTAGTAGGCTCGCACTCAGACCCCTTTGTCAGATGCTTCTGTTGGGGCCTGTTGGCAGCAGTGGCAGGGGCGGGCAGCAGCGGTCAGCACTCCTCTCAGACCCTCAGGCGTTGGTCAGCACGTGCAGACCTTTTGTGGGACATGGAGGCAGTCTAGGCAATTTGCAAAACCCAGCAACTTAAGACTGGAGATATTTTGGTACAAAAGGAAAAAACAAGCTCATCAAAATTGATTAAATAGTTCATTGTAAATGTGATACAGATTTTCACTTAAAATTACTAAGATGATTATGTAGAATATTCAACAGTGGTCCTATAAATGATCAAAGCCAACAAAGTGGATGGTGAGGAGGGGCCGGGAAAGGATATGGATAGGGTCTAGAAGCACATTAAATTCCTCTTCTTAAGATGGAAAAAAGTCAAAAACAATATTCATGCCTTTGGTAATAGAGAAATGTAGTCAGTCATGTTTTAAAAAACTTAAAGGTAGTTTTAATAGAATAATAATAGATTAAATTAATAGATTTATGTCTTATTGGATAAACACAAGACAGAAGCTGGGCACAGTGGTGTATGCCTGTAATCCCAGTGGCTCAGGAGGCTGAGGCAGGAGGATCATAAGTTCAAAGCCAGTCTCAGCAACTAAGTGAGGTTCTGAACAATTTAGCAAGACCCTGTCTCAAAATAAAGTATAAGAAGGGCTAAGGATGTGGCTTAGTGGTTAAGCACCCCTGAGTTCAATCCCTGGTTCCAACAAAACACAAGACAGAAATAGATTACACTCTTAAATTGTACAAGAAAATAAGGGACTAGCAAGGATGTAGCTAATAGCACAGAAATAAGAAGAGAAAAATGATAGGTCTTTCTCCTCAAAGCAGATTATCCTCAGATTGTGTTCAAAAGAAACCTGGCCATATATTGTTGTTCATGGCCCTGTTTTCTTTCCTGTACCCCCAATCTAAAAAAACAAAACAACAAAAAAAAAAAACAACTTATGACAGATGAAAGTGAAACAATTTCAAGAAGGCATAGTAAAAACATCCAGAATAACAGTACACGTGTTCCTGATCTACAGGGGGTTATGTTCTCGATAAACTCATTGTTGAAAAGATGGTAGGTTGAAAATGCATTGAATACACCTGCCCTGTCAGACATTGGAGCTCAGCTTCACCTGCCGTAAATATGCTCAGAAAATTGCAGTTGGTGAAATTGCTTCCCATGAAGTCTGTTTTATGGTTCAGTATGCTATCTCATGAAATCATTCCCGAATGTGAGAATGGAATGGTGGTGGGGTACCTCTGTGCACCATTGTAAGTCTCATGATTTTAAGTTGGGGACTGTGTGTATCAGTGCTAAAATAGAATTATGTATCTAAGACAACAGACGAGGGCCACTTTATACTGGAAAATAACTATGTAGTTATGGACTTAATGCTACTTATGATTATAGTAGTCATAAAATGTGCTAAATAAGCATCTAAATGAGTTCTTTAGAAGTATGTTTTCTATTTTCCAGTGTATGGGATTTTTCTAATTGTGTTCTTGTTGTCAATTCCTAGTGTAATTTCACTGTGCTTGGAGACACATTCTGTTGAAATTTACCGCGACTTGCTCAGTGGTCCAGAAGGTGTTTGGTTTTGTAAATGAGCCTTGTGTGCCGTTGTGTTGTTTACATTGTCAAGTCCCTTCTGACAGTTTTTCTACACACACACATACCCTCACACACATAAACACACATACATTTTGGTACTGGAGGTTGAATCCAGGGGTGCTCTACTTGGAGCTTACATCCCAGCCCTTTTTATTTTTAATTTTGAGACAAGGTCTTGCTAAGTTGCTGAGGCTAGCCTTGAACTTGCGAGCCTCTTGCCTTGGTCTCCTGAGTTACTGGGATTACAGTTGTGTGCCACTGCGCCTGGCTGTAATTTTTTTCTTGATTTATCAATTACTATATAACTGTTACCAGAATTACAGATGTCTCTCAAATTTTCTGATTCTGTACATGTTTACAGTATTTATTTTGAGCCTATGGTATTAGGTACACATAGGTTTTGTCATTATGTAACGACCCTTTTAATCTTCAAGTCTACTTGCTTGGTATATTCTCTCCCATGCTTATACTTTCAAGCTTTATTTATGGCGTCTCTCTTATAAACAGCATGTCACAGAACGAGTACCTTTGCCTCCTTGTGTCCCTGGGGACATCCTGTGGAGGAGTGGCTGTTGCTGACTGCAAGACAAGGACCCCATTTCTTTGTGGCTCTGCCCCCCATCCCCAACTGTTCCAGCGTAGGTAGTGCATCCCCAGGAAAGGAGGCAGGACGCAGGAAAAGCCTCATCTAGAAAGGCAGCGTACAACACTGGTCATCAAACCTCGTGATCCAACACGAGAAGACTGGCTGAACGGTCTGTTTTAATCATCTTCATATAGTGGCATGTAGGGGTAGTTAATATTTACAAAAATGCTTTCAGTCACGAGAAGAATGCCAATGTTATAAAAGTTAAAAAAGTAGAATGTAAAAATAGATGATATGACAATGACCACTTAAAACGTTTAAAAGACATGAAGATCAGTAGTACATACAAGGACAAGTTAGGGAATAAAACCAAAAGAAAGGAGGAGGTGTCTCTTCCTACCCCTCCCTCCCTCCACCCCGCCTCTGTAAGGCATGACCGAGGCCTCGATAAGGTAGGGTCTGACGCCCAGTGTTTCTCCTTCTCCCCAACAGAATGTGATGTTGGATCTTTCCAAACGCAGCCGCAGTGGTAAATTCCGCCTGGTGACCAAATTTAAAAAGGAGAAAAACAACAAGAACAAAGAAGCTTACAGTAGCCTGGGAGCCCCGGGTACCTGCCTTTCTCCTGCGTGTTTCTGTCTGTCCATGCCAGCGGTCCTGGCCTCTGCTTTTCTCCCCCGGCTGCGAGGCCGTTCCCTGTGGTCCCTTTGCTGTGACTTCCAGTCACGTGGCTGCACAGGTCTGTCTCAGCTGCAGCACCTCCCCCTGCTTGCTTTCCCTGTCTAGGCTGGGTACTTTTGTCATGCCCTGCTCCCCCATGGAGACCCAGGGTGATGAGACACTGACCTGTATGCCTTGAGTTGGGGCTTTGAGGTAGGGAGGACAGCAGAGGTGACAAGACAGACTTGGAGACATAAAACTCTGGACTCAGACTGTGCTGGGGTCCTCTGCCTGCTCCTTGTGAAAAGCTGCTGATTCCTGTTTGATTGATTCGTTGATCAAGGTCTTTAAGCCAGGAACCCCAGGCCACCAGTGATTGTGGGTGATGAAATCAATAGAAAATGATCCAAAAGGACATTTTTCCTCAGGGTCAGTAAATTGGGGTTTACAATCTCTGTCCGAAGGGCTGGCTGAGCACTGAGCTGTGTGTAGCCCTCTGGGTGCTGTGCAGGCCCCGACCTGGACTCTGTTGGGCGCGTTTGCCACCATTCAGGGCAGCTCTTTTGATTGTTGTTCTTTGCATGTTTGACCAGAAATTGGGTTTCTGTTCATGATGGCGGCTGAGTCTGGAAAGTCTAACTGCCTCTCTCCCTTCCTGCTATGGTCCAGCCGTGAGAGCCAACACTGGCTTTTGGCCACACAAAGGTGTTCCCCCCAGGACTGGGTGGTGTCTGATCTCTCCTGGGACATGGGAGTGGCCACCTGGCAGGAACAGACGCCAGCACTCCTGCTGCTCACACCCGAGCGAGTGGCTCCTGTCTCTTCTGCACTGCACTACGGGAGGGTGCTTGTCTGTGGCTGGGTGGTGGGCGCCACTGCCGGGGCATCTCGGGCGCTGGCTGTCCTTGCGCTGGGCTCTGGGCACTCACTGCACTCGTGCTTTTCCGTCTCGACAGTTCACCTCTGGGGGACAGAGGAGGTGGCTGCCTGGCTGGAGCACCTCAGTCTCTGTGAGTATAAGGACATCTTCACGCGGCACGACATCCGGGGCTCTGAGCTCCTGCACCTGGAGCGGAGGGACCTCAAGGTACTTTCACAGGCTTTTTCTTGGAACCTGCATGGGCTTCCTGGTAGCCCTCTCAGCTCCGTCCTCTACCCGCTCCTGGCCAGGTCCTAGCATCCTGAAGTTTTGCACGGTTCTTGGCAGTGATGGCTGCACCTGCCACAGCCAGGAGAAGCTAGGAGCAGACACTGGGGGGAGTCTTGATTTGCTTGGCCATATTGACAAGGGGCTGTGTGACCTCAGAAGCCCCAGAGGGTCCAGCCCCAGGCTCCCACACTTAGCAGAAGAGCTCCGGTGCCCAGTGGTGTGTGGGGTCCTCTGTGGTTAAGTTGTGAGTGGAAGGATTTCTGGAGCCCTGTCACATAATGTGACTTCTTTGTGCTGCTCCTGGGCAGGTGCTGAGGCAGCTCGCCTCGTGCATGTGCCCCTGGGTCTGCACCCACTGCCCTTGACTTGTAGAGTCAGCCCGTGTAGCCTGTCTTCTGGGCATTGTTACTGGCCACGTCCTGAGAAGGCAAAAGGCCACCGCCCCTCTTAGCAGTGCCTCTCCTGAGGCCACCTGCCATCCACTTGCTCCTAGGCCTGTGTTTTGTTTTTTTGTCTTGTTGGATCGTTCTTGATGGCGTCAGTGACTTGGAGGACACAGGAACGGTGTGCTAGGTGTCCCTGCGATCGTGATTTGTGCCATTTCTGTCTGTTCCACTGTTGTTGTCTCTCTTACCCTCATCTGTGCTCAAGAAGCAGAGTGGGAAGGGTCTGCTGTGCAGACCCATCTGTAGAGCCCTTTGGTCTGGGCCCCCTTCCTGGCATCCATGGTGGCTGTCCTCTCTGTTGCAGGACCTTGGCGTAACCAAAGTGGGACACATGAAGAGGATCCTGTGTGGAATCAAGGAACTGAGCCGGGGCTCCCCTGCCACCGAGGCCTAGCCTCTGTCTTCTCGGCCTGCATCCTCCGCTCCTCCCGCGACTGAGGCCCAGGGAGGACTGCCCCTGGCCTCTCATGGTGCTACTCCCTTTGTTAGTGACAGGAAGCCGCTCTTGACTCCCGTCCATAACAGCTCCAGGAGTCCTGAACATACCAACACAGCTACCTTTGAAACACCACCTTTCCCAGCTCAGAGTCCGGCCCAGTCTCGGCTTTCACTGACCTGTCGTGGGCCACAGGGACTCTGGGTACCAGACGCTTCTGCAGAAACTTGCCTAGGCCCTGAGCCTGGGTTACCCTGTGGGCCCCTCTGCGTGTGCTTTGTTGGCCACATTGGTGGCACCATCTCTGCCCCTGCTGGCTCTCAGAAGCATGGTTTGGGCTCAGTGCGTGGTGGGCCCCTGCCAGAACATTCTTTGTGCCTGACAGCCACCCTGTGGCTCTTCCCAGCAGCCCCACGAGGCAGTCCACTGCTACTGCCCTGTTCATTCAGAAGGTTTTTGTTTCTAACAAAGGCTGTGTACTCTGCTGGTCTTGAAAGTGAACGGACTTGTTTTGAGTTCTGTTTGCTTTAACCTGCTCTAAAGAGGAGGGGAGCAAAGTTCTCGTCCAGCCAAGGCAGCGCGTGGTTCTGTTCCTCAGCTCTCAGGCCTTCCTCATTCACTGCAGGCCTGCGGTCCTCCTCTGCATCCTCTCTTAGGCTGTGGGCATGGACATCCCTCCTTTCTACAGGATACCATGGACCTCAGGAGTCCCGCTTGGAGCCACAAGGGTGTGTGGGTTGGGGTTAGCTCAGTACTTCTGGGGAGGAGAAGCTTCCCAGGTCTGGGGAAGCTGTCTGTTCTGTGGGAGAGTGTATGGGTTTCCAGGAGCACGTCCCTGGGTGGGCTGGGTCCTTCTTCCTATCAGGAGGCCCAGATTCTCGGGCCATGGGCTAGCATCTAGTCTCCTGCTACCAGACCTGGTGTCCCTGAAGGTTGTCTGCAGACTCTGGGCCAAATCAAGTGGTTCCCTGGGCTGGATGACTCTGGCCCAGGACTCCTGCCCTGCCTCTGTTCAGGGATCTAGCTCCAGCCCCAGGGCAGGGCTGAGTCCTTCGCCCTTGGTCCTCACTGCCACCGACTCAGCCCTTTCTTTCCTTTTTGAAGTTGGTTGTTAGGAAGCTGCCCTAGGGGCTTGTAATGCCACCCGGAAAGGTCTTGTAACATTGTAACAGCCCCCTCCTGAGGAAGGTGCCAGGCTGCAGCTGTACACCTGAGAGAAGGCAGTGTATGAGTGTCTCCATGCACCGCCCGGCCCTTTAGTGGGGTCACCCCATCTAATGTGGGGAGGCTGGGTGGGGAGCTGCTCGGGGCACTTCAGAGGCACCTGCTGAGCGGTGTGTGGACTGTCCAGGGTCTGCAGGGTCTTGTGTGCTCTGCCCTGCGAACACTCCCCACAGTGGTCCTGCTGGGGGCTGGGATCCAGTCGAGTGTGGAGTCAGCGTGTCTACCATTGGGCCTTTCTCAGGCCCAATTCCAGTGGCGTGGGTACCTGGGTGGAGACCGAGCATGGACTTTGCCGCCTGCCTGAGGTAGTGTTGGTGGAGACAGTAGTCATCCAGCCCTGGGAGACACTTGATTTCCAAGTGGGAAAGGATAACCGTGGAGGTGACAATCCTGTGCCCGTGGTACTACAAGCCCTGGGTCAGACTGGACCTTAAGCTAGAAGGGGACACAAGAAGCAGCCGACAGTTGCACTGGGGCCATCTCAAGTCCTCAGTCTTCCTCTGGGGGAAGCACTGGGTTTGGGCTGGGGGTGTTACAGTTGGTGTTGTCAGTGACTACAACACTGGTCACACAGAAACGCACCATAGTTCTCAGAGTCGGCAGAGAATTGCCTATGAGGAGCACTGATGGCCTGTGCCACACGCCTGGGGCCGAGGCCATGGTCCTCCTGTTCTGCCTTTCTTGGGTCAGCTGCTCAGAGTCCCAGGGCGAAGAATGTAGGGAAGGGAGGGGCTGCTTAGGTCTTGGGGAAGAGGCCTTGTGCCCAGTTGGGGTCACCCCTCTATTTATAATCTTAATTTATATAGTGGCCACCAGAAAGCAGCCGCCTCTTGTATTGTTATGTACATAGCCCAGCAGAGCTGTAAATACCTTGTTCTGTGTATAAATAAACCAGCCTGTTTTGATCGTCATGGCCCGAGTCCTTATCAACTTTCCTGTGCATTGACTAAAATACTGGTTGCCAAACTGAATTCAGATTTTTTTCAGCTGCTCTAAATATGAGCTGAATGAATTTTGGGTGCTGAAAAGCAAAACGGAAAGCCACTGTGGGGTCTGGTCTCCTGGTTAAAAAACTGAGCCCGGGGGGTGGGAAGTTGGGTTAGGCCAAGGCGCTCAGCCCTGTGGTGCCTCCCTAAAGAGGACAGGCGCAGTGCCACATGCTGTGTTTTAAACCCCACCAGGGCCATGCTTCAAATGTGGGAGGAGTTAGTTGAGGGGCTGCTAGTGCCCTGTCCAGATAGGTGAAGGTGCCGCCATCACGGGTCCCTTGCTGTCGAGTCTGTTCCCAAGGGAAACCAGTGTCAGTGAAGCCACAATTTTGGATTATTAGTAACTTTTGCCCCTGCCCTGCCCCATTCCTGTTGCCAGAACGTCGCAGTTGAACAAACACGTTTCCTGTGGCTCCACTCCTCCGCCAGCCCTACCCTGACAAAGAGGAGGACCAGAAGACATCCAGTTTCTTCCACTACAGTTTTCCCATGAATCTGGATTCATTTAAAACCCAAACATACTTGTTTGATTTCCAAAGCCGCACTGGCACGCTACTTTTAAATGCAAGCCATGTTTATTTAGCATTTGACGTGGACCTGGGAAAGAAGGCCTTTACAGCCTATCTCAAGCAAGTAGAACACGAAGCAGATGCGTATAAAGGAAATGGAAGACTACAACTTTAAAAATGGTTTATTTTTTTTTCTTAAAATCTTAGCTTTCTCCCCATGCCCAGTTGGAAAACAAAAACAAACAAAACCCAGCAAGCACCCAGGTGGGCGCCCCCTGCTGGCCAGCACTGAGAATATTTCAGAGGTTTGGGAAGGCCTCTGGCTCCTCAAAGCAGAATGTTTCAGCTATTACATTAATATTAAGATGGGATGAAGGCACGCTGGGAAAATGCCCTCAGTAGCCGACACAGCAGCTGACAGCAGGCCTGGGCAGGAGCCACAGGACTGAGGCCTAGTTCACACATCATCGCACCCCTCGGGGCGTGTCTAGAGGACTGGGCCTTGACTTCCATGTTGCACAACCCCCTGGCTTGTTGGTCTGAGCCCTAGTGCTTCTACAAAGACTGAAGACACCTGGTGTTGGGGGGATTGGGAAGGGGGAAGCAGGGCTACCTGCTGAGTATCCAGGGCTGAGAAGGTAGCAGCCACAGCAGGACAGCCTTCAGCCAGGGCTGCAGCCTAAGTGCCAAGCTGCATGGTCAGTGCCTCCCCATCTTGGCCCTCAGCTCTGTGTTAGTGTTAGGCAGTGAGGGCTGATGGGGAACTGAAATACAAGTGACCACTAGGGGGAGCATGTACATGACAACTCAGGAATGTGCTGGAGATGTTGCCAGTCCAGCACCCTAGATCGGTCAACTCTAATGCAGTGCTAGCTCTCAAATGCTATTTAAATTTAATTTAAATTGAATAGTTACCTGTGTTGAATTAAGGGGAAAAATTTTACATTTTCCCCCCGTCTGTTTTAATCAACACTGAGCCTGCCCAAGACATCTGGGAACCCACAACTGTGGGGCCTTGTCCCCTGGTCCTGCCTCCTACCAGCCTTCCAGAGGGAGAGGCCAAGGAGCTGCGGGCAGCAGCAAGAGTATTCTGACCTCAGACCCCAAGGTGGGCCTTACCTGAGGCTTTCTTCTCTGTGGCGGTGTGCTTTGTGTGTCAGAGCCACAGCTCTGACAAGAAACGTGTCACCTGAGAGAACCGTGTGGGGGACGGAGATTGGGAGGCACAGGTTACCCTTTCCTTCTGATATAAACAAGCACAGCGCCCCCTGCAGCATGGGACAGACCATCAGAACCCACTTCAATGCAGGTTAAAGTGGAAGCAACTATACAGGTGTGGATCTTACACAAGTTTATCTTGAGTTGAGCAATAAGCCACCTGTCCATACCTGTGGTTAATGCACAAGTGGTAAGCTTCCTGGAAAAATGGCCACTGGGGTCAGGTGTGGTGTGAGGTCAACACCTGCGTGGCTCCTGCACAGTACCTGGGTCTGTGCTGGCTCCCATGGGCCAAGGTATGTTGCGGAGCTGAGCTATGGAGTACGTTTGCCCAGCCTGAGAAAAGCTGTCCCTCTGTTGGCAGGTGAAGACGAGGATCTGAGATCCAAGGATGCAGCCAACTCGTCGCCCACAAACCACTCTCCTGCTTCTAAGGCACTGATGGTTAGCTGGCCTTGTGCAGAGCCTGGGTACTGTGCTGGGACACATCCTGTTGCAAGCACTATCTGAAGCTCCCAACGTGAATAGACAGAGAAGCTTCTGGTCCTCGGGGCTGGGCAGGTGTCCCTGCACTGGAGACATCACTGCTGTGTGCACAAAGGACTTCTTGGCTGTGGGAGACAGAAGCCATCATGACTCGGTTGTGGTCCTCGTGCAGAAGGGTCTAGGGTGATGCCAACATACCTCCCAATATCAAGGGTCAGGTTAGATCAGGCCGACACGGACATGTCTGCAGCATGGACTGGTATTTCCAGATTGCCCCCCAGAGGACTCCAGTTTACCTTCCCGCCAACCCCATGAAGGGGACAACGGTTGCCGTACCCTGGCCACCCAGCCTGCCAGACTCTGGGTCTCTTCCAGCCTACTAGCAGCACCTACTTTTTTTCACATTAAACTCAACTCTAACATGCATGGTGCACGCACTTCACACACAGCTCCACCTGGCCTCACAAACGCTCACACCTGTGGGATATGAGGCAGCTTCTGCCAGCCCTGAGAGCGCTGCCACTCTGACTCCCAGATTAGTTCTTGCTGTGACCTCCCACCCCCAGGAGTAACCTGGGTGCTCTGTGTCTGGCTTCTTTTGCTCAATCTGATGTCTGTGTGGCTTGTGTGCGCACGCATGTGTTTGTGGACACTCATGACTCAGATCTGTCCCCTGCTGTGCATCTGGACCATGCCTGGGACCTGGCCATAGTGAATCAAGCTGTATCCTGGGTCCATGTCTGGTGGTCCTGTGCTTCAACAGTGTAGGAGCTGCCTTGTTTCCCAGGGTCCTTCTGAACCCATACCCGCAAGCAGGGGACACTGTCCCAGGCACTGCATGCCTGCTAGGCCGCCAGCCCTGTGCTTCCCTCTGCAGCAGTGCTGGGGCGTGTGGCAACCTGAGTGGTCTCTCATCAGTGAGTGAGTGTACCGCGCTGGCAGGCGGCTGCGCTTCCTTTCTGCGAACTGTCTGCTCAGACCTCCCGGGCGTTGGCCTATCAGCTCTTCATGTATTTGCAAGTATGTTTCCAAGATTGTCAACAGCCTTACCCTTTGACCCAGTCCCTCTACTCACAGAACAAGCCCTAGATGGGCCCACATCTGCAGTCTGCGAGTTGGGTGTCATTTCCTAAATGAGGGTCCACTTGCACACTGCAGCAGCATGCCACACTCCCAGCGTGTGCCAGGGGCAGCAAGTGCACCAGGAAATTCCCATGTCAAGGAAGAAGGAAGAGCATGTGCTCTCAAAGGCTGTGCATGTGACTGCTCCCTGGGGGGGGGGGGGACTGTCTGGGGAGACAGGTGCAGGCACTTCATTGTGTTTGCATTTGGCAGCATGTGACTATTAACTCTCCGAAAAATAAAATGAAAATAATAATCAGCGTGGTCACCACATACCCAAAATGCTGGGATGGAGGAGGGCATGAGTGGTGGCTCTGAGGACACAACTGTTCTGATACCATGTGACTAGGACAGGTTAGGCTCAGCAGGTTAGACTCTTGGTGACAGCTACACAAACTTTTGTCTGCAAAAAGTGCTGCCAGGAACCGTCTGCAAGAGGAAGAGCAGGAAGGATGGTGCCTGCGGTTCAAGGAGACATGGATGACTTCCCTGGAGGCAGCCGATGCTGGAAGGACTGGGGAAGGGAAGCAGAGCACTGTGTCCTGGCACACTGCAGCACAGACAGCTCTCTGGGCCTGGAAGTTCACACCCACCTGCAGAACAAACTTCTTGCAACGCTCTGACCACTGTTCTAGGTACTGGGGATACAGCAGAGAATGAGAAGGAAATGTCCTGCTTAGAGAGCTCGAATTCTAGATCCTTCCATCCTCACTGCCCGACACGTGACCGTCATATGTCGAGTGTGACAGTTGCCTCAAGAGTTCTCCTGCTTCTTTCCCCCATGACTCATCCAACACAGAGCAGCCCAGCAGCTGCTCAGAACTATGGACTCCCTGCTTCAGTCCCTCCAGCCACACCGATATCTAGACTCTGAGCCACATGGACCTGCCTGGCCTGAGCCTCTGCCCCCTCCAGCCTGATGTCCCACAGCAGAGGGCAAAGCACGCTCACTGCAGGCATGTGTCTGGCATGCTGCTGCCCAAGGTGTGGAGGGTGGGAAGAGGTGAAAATTAGGAGATGAGCAGGGGCCAGACTGGGCAGGTAGATCTTAGGCAGAAGCAGTGGAGAGTGTGGACAGAGTGAGCCTCACTGAGACAGGAAGCAGGAAGCTGGGAATGCAGGATCGTGCAGAGTGAACCTAGCTTCAGGAATTCAGTTACAGGCCTGTGAAGTGCTCCAGTAGATTCTGGTGGGTATGCGTGGCCTGGAGCACAGAAGGGGGCTGGACTCTGGGAAGACTCAGAGTGTGGCAGAGCAAGCACCCAAGGTGGAAGTGAGTCCAGCAGGCCATGTGGGGAAAGGACATGCAGGAAGCCAGTGTGCATGGGACAGGTGGAGGGAAGGAGGCCCTGGCGGTGGGAAGGGGCACTGCACACTAGGGGAGGGTACAGGCACTGAGCAGTGCAGAGAAGTAAGATGAGGACGTAGAGTAGCCACTGCAGAGCAGCCAGGCTTTTGGGAACCTTTAAGAGAGTTGGAGAAGATGGTGAGGCTGAGGTAGCCAGGAGCAGCAGGGTGGAGGTGGCAGGGTGGGACTTGGCACACCAGCTCAGGAGTCTTGGAATTTTAGGTGGTGGGGACCTGAGGGTATATATGAGCAAAAAGACCCAGGAAACGGGGCAAGGTGGCAGGAGAGGAGAGGAGGGAAGAGAGTGCAAACTGGGCGCAGGTGGGAGGCCTCCCCATGACTCCTGCCATCCAGGGACTTCACACGCTCCACAAGAAGCGCCATAAGGAAGCCATCTGCAGGAGGCATGAAAAGGTGGGTGGCAGAGTGGTTTGTGTCACAGCACAAGTCCTCACCAGACTTTCCAAACAGAAGTAAGAAGCCAGGGGCCTGGGGAGGCCGTGGTGAGTGTGAGGCCCCAGTTACCTGTCCCTCTTCCCCCGAGGTAGCAGCTCCTGCTTCTCTTTCTCAGCATCGTCTCTGGCTGTGCTGAAGTCGTCACTGTCATCGACCAGAAGGTTCTACATTTCAAGAGTAAAACAGCTAGTGAGCAACGTCTCCACGTCCATTTAGCCTATATTTTAAAGAGATATGTTTAAAAAAATCATCTAAAGTGACAAAAGGAAATATTCAGATTAATATAAACCAGATTATTAGGGATGTAAAATGTTCTAGTGTTTTATGAGAACAAGTTGTGGGGGCTTCACAAGGGAAATTAATTCTAGCCATTGACCTTTGCCTTCCACTACGAATGCTCCCACTGGGACTGAGCCAAACAAAAGGGGCTTTATGGGGACCCAGGTGGAAACCATGCACGTTGACCAGCAGGTCTCCAATCTGCTGTGCTGGGAACAGCTGTTTGTTTTATAAATTCTGTTACTTTTTTTAATCAATGTGTTTCTATAGCTGAAGTGTGAGCTTCGACCTTGGCATTTCCCTCAGGGCTCCTTCGCTGCAGGATGAGTGACAGAGCTTCCTTCTCCTGTTCCCTCCACTCAGCCTCAGTTTTACCTGTGAATCCTTTTTGTGGTAAACCCTGACCTCCTGCTACCTGCCTTGGAGTTCAACCACAATGCAGGCCTCCAGGCCACAGGGCAGGAAAGGGCAGTTCCTTGGCCTGGCCCTAGTCCGGTGTTAAGGGCTTCCCCACCTGAGTGGTCACATTTCAAAGCGTGACTCTTGGGGTGTTAGCCTCAGTGACTTTGGGAAGGGATGGCTGCTGCTTGGTGCACCTCCTTGGGAGACAACCACATCATAACCAGGATCGTCTCTTTCAATAAACTGGCATGATTACAATTCCTATTCCAAAGTTGTATATATTTTAAAAAATGGTGAATCCCTATAAAACAAAGGCACAAACAAACAAAAAAACCACCTCAGTCAATGGGATAGACAGCCCCGCTCTCAGGTAGAGGAGAGAAGGCTACTATATATATATGTATATCCCATGGTATATTCTCGACACTGCCATGCTTGCATTCTTTGGATAAATATATTTTGTTATCACATAGCAATATCTTTTTTTTTTTTTAGAGAGAGAATCTTTTTTAATATTTATTTTTTAGCGGACACAACATCTTTGTTTGTATGTGGTGCTGAGGATCGAACCCGGGCCGCACGCATGCCAGGCGAGCACGCTACCGCTTGAGCCACATCCCCAGCCCCACATAGCAATATCTTTAAAACACGCTCGCCAGGCTTGTTTGCTAGTGTTTTATTATTAGAATTTTTACATCTATGGTCACAGGTGGAATTGGTCTAAATTTCCTTCCACTGTCCCTTACAGTTCTCAGGTCAAGGTTCCACTATCTTACCAGACGTCTGCCTCTCTCTTTCTTACCCATTATCTGAAATGATCTCAATGGGGATCACTGTGTCTCAACGATCTGATAAACTTTTCTATGGTGTTATTTGATTCTTGTGTCTTGTCAGAGTGGTCAATTTGCTTTTAACCAACCCACCTTAACACCAATAATGTCTCCATCTTTCAAGTAATAGGGTGCCCCTTGCAAAGTATCTTGCTTTTTCTTCTTTTTCCTCTTGGTAATTTGCTGGTTCTATAGGAAAATCAAACATCTTAAATAAAAATAAAATTCAACCTCAAATTCTTACTAAATAGCCCATCACTGTGAGAAACTGCAGTTGCCCTAACTGCTAGGCCAGGAAGCCCCAAGTCCTCTGGGAAAGCCCCATAGCATTACCCAGCTAGATATAGGAAGCCACTCAAATTTTTCAGGGAAGTATTTGGCAATTTCAATTTTCTCCACAGGAAGAGAATAGAAATCGGCCACTCTCTGCCTCAGGGAGCCGGTGGTCCAGCCTCGGGCGGTGTCCCACACCAAGTCCACAGCAGGGGCGTAGGCCCTCTCCTCAGGGATGCGCATCTGCGTCCTCAGCAGTACGTCCTGGGGGCTGCACAGAGAACAGAATGCCAGGTTCAGAACCAACCAGGCACACAATACTTGCTAGGGCGTGGGGTGGGCACGGGGGCAAAGCATCCCAGAACTCTTCTGGGTTTTATTTCAGACTCCCCTACACCCTCAATGCTGGCAGGAAACTTTTGTTCTCCCCAGGATTTCCTTCAATCCTGACGAAGAACAGAAGCAAAGACACCGCCCTGCATCCAACACAGATCCTGGAGAGGCAGCAGCAGCGGGGAAAGGGGCAGCTGAGGTAGAGCTGAGGCCTGGGCAGGACCCGCACTCCTGCGGAGAAGGGAACAGGAGCCAGCCCGACAGGTTCAAGCCATGGAGCCCCCCAGGAAATGCTGGTTCAGAGACAGAAGTGGGAAGCTACAAAAAAAAGACAGTTTGAGGCACACAATTATGTACTTGATATTAGGAACTATAAATGTGGATGCTGAGGGGCAGCCAGGGAGCACAAATGCAGGGCTCAGAGTTGGGGAAAGGGAACCAGATAGAGAAAGCTCAGCAGGAAAAGGTCCCTGGGCAGGGGGAGGAGAAAGAGTATATTTAAAGGGAGGGATAAAAACCTAGACACACAGACATCGTTACAGGATACGAGGTAAAAGCCACAGGTGAGAACTGGATGTGAAAAAGGGGAGAGAGACCAGTCCTGTTACATGGTGTTTTAACCCAGAGCAGGGCAGCACGCTGGGTGGCGTGGGTGACAGGAACAGAAGTGGGCCTGGCTGGTCAGGAGCTGGGAGCAAGGGGGGCTCTGTTTTTATGGTGGCTGAGTTTCAATTCCAGACGCCAGAACTCCTAACACATTTCCAGAATACACTCTGATTTAAGTTGCTAGACTACTTAGAGGTAGTGGGGAAATACCACTCGGATGTCAAGGTTGAGGAGTTTTGAGAGGCCAGCAGCGGTGAGAAGACGGGCACAGGGCTCCACCTGGGCAGGAGGACTCACCCCAGCTGCTCCTCCTCCTGAAGGGGCTCCAGGCAGATCTCGGGTCTCCGTCCTAGTTTATATTCCCTGGTAATAAGTGGAACAAAACAACACTGGGGGGAATATCATTTGATTTTTCAAGACAATGATTTTTTTTTTTTTGCTAGTTTTAAGCTTTTTCCTTAAGCAAAAGGCTGTTTTCTTATGTAAGAATGCTCAAACTTCTGGAAAAGGGGAAAACTCAGAATACTTGCTGTGGGGATTATTTAGAGACCTGGGTCATTCCCGACTAAACAGGGAGGTCGTGCTCTGTGAAGATGCCAGAGAAATGGTCCACTGTTTGGCCAAGATTGAGATTCTCACACCCTTGCTATTTGGCTCGCAATCAGAACTGATGTAAAAGAATCCCACAGGAATGCTTTTTCTAAGGCAAATGACAGTTACTGTCCATGCCCCCAACCTGCTCATTCAAGGTTCCAGAAGGCTGAGCAAACACTTCTTGAGTGAGAGACAGCTTGCTCCTAACTTCCACTTCAAATTTTTTTATGTTACAGTCTCTGGAGCACAGGAGAAACACACAAAGCTACATTTATACTTAATGAGGAAAGATGAAGTTATCCCAGAGTTAAATAACAGTGAGAGGTGTCATCTGCCTCCCAGATGCTGTCACCTGACTCAAAGGAAGAGTCTCCTCATGGGGGCTCCTTGGCCACCCAGTCCTGAGGGGTAGCAGAGAGACACAGCAAACTTCCTGCAAGACACCTACTTGAGCCGCTGCCGGTCAGTGCGTAAGAGCCTGCCAGGGCGCCTGCTCTCCACCGTCCAGGCTCTGAGGAGGGCTGGGGCAGGGACAGCAAGCTCTGAGGAAGGGGTTAAGGCTCTGGCCTAGACAAAGAAAAAAGACATTTCTTCACTGGTTTAAAAACACTCACTAAAACAAACGGGATGAAGCAGTACACAATGACACCGGAGGGAAAGCACACCTTAAGTAATGAGAAAGTCTATTTAAGAACTCACAGGAGCCAGGTGCAGTGGTGCACACCTGTAATCCCAGAGACTCGGGAGGCTGAGGCAGGAGGACAGCAAGTTTGAGGTCAGCCTCAGCAATACAGTGAGAACCTTGCCTCAAAATGAAATTAAAAACAAAACGAAAACAAAATCCCCCGAAGGACTGGGGATGTCACTGTAGTGCCAGTGATAGAGTGAGGCCTTGGGTTCAATCCCCAGTACCAGGAAAAATAACAGGAATAGCTAACTCTTAAGTTAATCCTAAAAAATTTTCATATTTCTCACTGCTGAATTGGCTGGAGAAATAGGTAAGTTGCCTGTTTCTACATATGAGCCAAAAGCTGCATTTTAATCATGTTTTCAAACTCCACAGGGAGTTCTACGTGTGATTCACAAGAGCAGAGCCGCTCTGCGTGCTGCACAGTTCTCGGCTGTGTGCACTCCCAGCCAGGTTACTTCTCATCCTGAAATACTTCAAAATCCTTGCCTCCAGTAAGTAGGCCCAAACACTCATTAACCTAATGCAAGAAAACAAGCATCTTCCCAATTGTCCTCACCGGCGTAGTGACTGGCTTTCTGGAAGAATGTTATCTCATACACTGAGGACACACATGAGCCACACACCAACCACTGCTAGGCATACAGAGGCCCTGTGTACTTTCCTTTAAGTAAAAAGCAAGTTCATATCTGTCCATGACAGCAAGATGCTTCTTCAGCTCTCTGGGTTATGCTCCACTTGGCCTTTCCATTTGGACACAACTCGCCTTCTCTGTGCTCATTAACGCACAAGAAAACATCATGACATCCAGTTTAGCATCCTAACACAGAAGCTGGTACCTGCCCCATGGGAGACTGATAACACAACTTGTATCTAACGACATTTAACATATGGCTCACGACGGTACAAAACAATGTCAAGTGAATGCTTTATGGATGTTTCAATAAACCACGTTTCCCTAAAAAATAAAAATGAACATAAGCCACGAGTTGCTAAGGGTAGATTCAAACACAAGCACAGCATGCCTGTCAGCGTCAATAAGTGAAAGCCACGAGGGCAAAGGCGGAAACAGAGTCGGGGCTGTCTGGCCGCGGTGTCCGCTGCCTGCTGGTACTTACCCCTGAACATGGCACAGAGCAAGTGCCATATCAGAACAGACTGCAATTGAGGGAAAGGAAATAGAAGAACATATTAATATCTCACTGGAAGAAGCCATATCACCACTAAGGCCCACTACAGGAAGAAGTCTGACCTGAGATTTCAGGTCCACCAAAGCAGCATCTTCTGAGATATCCACATCTCCCAAGTAGACGAGAGAAACTTCCGCAGGCACATGGCCAGGGGCACCTTAAAAGGACAGAGGTGGATGTTTGGCAGGAATTTAAAACTTATTTCATATTTCTGAAAGACACTGCCATATTTTGACATTGTAATGGGTTTATTTGATATTGTAAAGGATTTTGATATTGTAAACAGGTTTACTAAAAAGTCACTCAAGAACCTCTAAATCTGAATCCCTTTAATCAGAGCTCCCTCAGAATTCATTGCCTGGTGAATTAACAATCAGGGAGCACGCTGATGGCAGAATGTTCTGGGGAGCTTACCCTGGTAATATCTATCTATAATGTTCTTTTCCAAATTCTTTCTTTCCTCAAAGAAGACATTGCTGGTAGGCCACCCTGCCTGTGTTCTTGACATGGCTTCCTTCTTTCTTATGACTCTGATCTCAGCTGGAGCCTCTTTTGTGTGCACATATAGTTTCCTCTGCATTGTCAAAACAGAACAGGAATTTCAAGGGGTGCAGCCCACCTGTCTTGTGTGTCTCCCCAATGCCTGATATGGTGGGTGTCACATACTAAAGGCCCAATAACTGTTTGTGGAATGAAGAAAATCTAAATAATAAGAAGGCCTTTCTGAGTATTTTCCAAAAATGGGAAAACTAAAATGCTCTCTGGATATAAAAGCTGCTAATTTTTTAAAAAATATATTTTTTTTAGTTGTAGATGGACACAATATCTTTATTTTTATTTGTTTATTTTTATGTGGTGCTGAGGATTGAGCCCAGGGTCTCACGCATGTGAGGCAAGCACTTTACCACTTAGTTACAACCCCAGCCCAAAAGCTGCTAAATTTTAAATTCAGAATATTGTCTGTAATTTTTGCCTTAATGAAATGTTTTGTTTACTGCTGGCTATACTGCTAATACATAATAAGAAATTACAAATGAATTATAAGTAGATAAAGCAAAAAAGCCCTCTTTGTAAGTGGTCTTGTGTCTCAAGGAAACTGCAGGCTGATGCTACTGAAAGGATGAAACATTTCCCTCTAGTTATAACAAAGAGGCATTATCAAAAATGAATCTTCTTAATTTCATGGAGAAACATACTGATTATGCATGCTTTAAAAAAATCTATAATTCAACTCTGCATGTAATTACTATTTTATTACCCAAGCATTTTTAGGATTCGTTAACAAAAACAAATGCAACCCAAATAAAAATAACTTTGTCGATTTCACAGCTATTTTAACATATTTTATTACTCTACATATATAGACCTAACTTCAAACAATAAGTAGAGAATCTGACTCATTTATATTAAGTTCACTCTGAAGAGGTTCAAAAAAATAGAATTATAATACATAATACCTTAAGGCACAAAAAAAGCTAAATAATTAAGCAAAGCACAATAAAAAGAAAAATATACCTGAAAACTTGGCCCTATTAAAAGAACATTTTCTTGGGCTTCAGGGTGTGGCTCTGTGTCTACAGCACTTGCCTTGTATGTGTGAGGCTCTGCGCTCCATCCCCAGCCCAGCACCAGCAAAGTCTCTTTACCTTCAGAAGAGATTAAAAGGTGTGGACAGAGGATGTGGAAGCCCACACTAAGGCAGTCTGGTCACTGCCAGGGACTCTGCCCACTGCAGCGTGTTCACTGCACCCAAGAACGAGACAACACTGTACTCCTGCATTTCTTCTCCAAGGAGTGAAATGCCAGGTGCCCTAGAAGCAGTTCTTGGGGACAGTTGGAGGGGAAGACGACGAAACACACAAGATGTGAACCCCAGCTCTGGCCTCTGCCCAGTGGACAACGGAACAGGCTGAAGCCCCAACATTCTGCTACATGGCGACAAGGGGGCTTCTGTTGCTCTGAGGATCTTGAGAGCTGATATTTAAAAGATCTTTGAAAAAGTATCATATATTGATATAATATTAAGATATAGTGCTTTACAGAGTTGCAAAGCACTGCATGAGATCAGGTGGTGCTGTTATTATTAAAAAGGAATAAACAGGCTTTGGTTTTCAACCTTGCGTTTTTCAAATAAATGTCTGTTGACTCCAGAGCAGAAGCGGCATTTCACTTCTCCATGACAGGCTGGCTGTGGAAATTTAATTCTGTCCTCACCTTGGGTGCTAGCAGCTCTCCAGCCGTTGCCTTGAGAAGAGGTACAAGGCTGGTCTTGACTCTCCCAGTGTCCTGAGTGACCGCGAGGCTGGTACCACCAGATGGGCACCTTCAGAAAACCCTGAAAAACAGAATGTGTGTGTGTATCTATATATCTATATGAATGTGTGTGTGTATAATTTTTTTTTTTTAATACTGTGAACTGAACCTAGTGGTGCTCTACCACTGAGCTACTTCCCAGATCTTTTTTAAAATTTGAGACAGGTTCTCACTAAGTTGTTCAGACTGGCTTTAAACTCATAATTATCCTGCCTCAGCCTCCATGTCACTAGAGTTACAACATGCACCACCATTTCCAGCTAGAACTAAACATTTTTAATTGCTGTGATGTACAAAAATTAAAGAGAATCTTCACTTACACTTCCATACAGAGAAAAAAAATTATGGATGGCATAAAATGTACTTAAAGTTGTTATTTTTCCTTCTCAATTTACCAACTGCCATGAGTTATACTTACTGTTTTTGCCTAGAGATGCCACACCACTGCTTCCAGGCACTGGAAGCACCCCTGGCACAATGCATTTGTTAAATGAAGCAAACCACATGAAACAAATCCATTGTCTTCATACATGCCCCATATTGTCAGTTCTACTAATTTAGTTCTTCCCACTTTTTTTTTTTTGCTACTGGGAATTGAACCCAGGGATGCTTAACCACTGAGCCACATCCCCAGCCCTTTTTTGTATTTTATTCAGAAACAGGGTCCCGCTGAGTTGCTTAGGGCCTTGCTAAGTTGCAGAGGCTGTATCTGAATTCACAATCATCCAGCCTCAGCCTCTAGGATTATGGGTGTGCGTCACTACACCTGGCCCCACCTCTTTTTTTTTTTTTTAAAGTACAGAAGAAATTAGATTCATTAAGAGAGAGAATAGGTTGTAGTTACAGAGCTCATTCCTGTAAAATATTTAAAATATATATATTAAAAAATGCATAGTACAATCTCTTAATTAAATTGATGAAGATTAACAAATATTCAACCTAAATTAAATACATGTAAGTCAAAACACCCAATTTCCATTTTTTTTTTCACCTAGCAGACTGTCAAAACCCAGAAAATCGAATAATATGCTATGTTGGTGAAAATATGAATAAACTTAAAGCTCATGACCTGTGTTTTTTGGACAGGAATTTAGTCATATCTGTTAAAATTTAAAATCCAAGTCCTTTGAGTAAGCCATTCCACACTTAGCAATTTACTTTCTGATACATGTGCATGCGTAAGAAGCCATGTATACAGGGGTACCCAGTGCAAATTTTTTATGGGAGCAAAAACTATGACCCATGGTCCATCTTTAGAAGATGTTCACATTATTGTAGGCCATAATTTTGGTGGGACAATTTCTGTTCTAGGAATTTATCATACATATGCAAAATAGCACCTATATATTTTTTATAGTGTTTTTCAAAAAAAGAGATTCGTTAAATAAATTATGGGATTAGGGGCATAGTTCAGTGGCAAGAGTGCTTGCCTACTATGCAGAAGGCCCTGAGAATATCTCCACCTTTGAAAAATAATCCCAGTGACTCAGGAGGCTGAGGCATGAGGATCACAAGTTCAAGGCCAGCCTCAGTAACTTAGTGAGACCCTGTCTCAAAATAAAAAAATAAAATGACTGGGCATTTAGCTCAGTGGTAGAGCCCCTGGGTTCAATCCCCAGTGCCGCCCCGCCCCCACCCCCCGCCAAAAAAAAGTAGTGACATGCAATGTTTATAAAAGAGCAATAAAATAAGTCCTCACATACTTTGCCAACAAGGTTATTAATTTAGTAGGACTTGTTAGGAAAACAATTTGGCAATATGTAGCATCAAATCTTTAAAGAGCTCATGCCTTTTGAGTTAGTAATTCCACCTTTGTTTTGTGTGTATATATGGTATTGCGAATTAAACCCAGGGTTGCTCTACCACTGAGCTTCATTCCCAAGTTCCTGAAGTACGAGACTAACCTGAAGGAGGGAAAGGTAGGTATGGTAAGTGATATTTTAGTCTGAAAAGGTTAGGATGGAGATGTTGGGTTTATTTGGAGATGATCTTGCTAAATTACAGGTTGGCCTCAAACTTGAGATCCTCCTGCTTCAGCATCCTGAGTTGCTGGGAATACAGTGTATGCCACCACTCCCAGATAGAAGGTTTTATATTTAAGTACTAATTGTAAGAACAAAAAAATTTTAAATAAGCTAAATTTCCAATACTGGGAATATAGGTGAATTAAACAGCAGTTAATCATCACCTTGGATATAACTACTTCTGGGTTTTATAATCAGGTTAAAATGTTAACTATAAAAAGGATGAAATAAAATTTTTACATATAATTGATTTTAATTTTATTTAGAAATATTTATAGGAAGAAATATCTACCTATAAAATATTTATAGGTAGGATTCTGGGAAAGTTCTCTATTCTTTTTATGACTATATTTCCCCAATTTCCCACAATGAGAATATAACACCTTTGTATTCAGAACGATAACTGTTATTATAAAATGTCTATTTAGAGGCAAAAATCTTACCGGAAGAGGAAGTTTTCCTTCAATTAAAAGCAATGTGTCTCCAGAACATATCCTAAGCTCTTGCAGTGTTGCATCCTGGGAACACAGAAATTCTTTTTTGTCACTTAAGACTTCTGAGAGGAATAAACACACCATAGGCTCTTTTTTTTTTTTTTTTAAACCTCTATTACATTTTCAAGAAATAAATAAGTGAATAACAAAGTAGATACTGAAGACAAAGGAAGTAATCTAGGACTACAAAAGCAGAATGGCATTACATATTAAATTGTGGCATGTAAACCCTTAAGTATCTTCAAAGTGTTGAGGATAGGGAGACAACCGAGATGGGTGAGAACAGACTTGACTTGTGCCCCATGAGATTTTAATCATACCTAAAATTGTGTGGGGGATTTGGAAAGCTAGAGGGCTCCAGAGAAGAGGATTTCTTATGAAGAAAAGAACAAGGGCAGAGTCAAAACTGACAATAACCATGGTTTGTTTCAGCAAAGAGCTGAGAAACTGACCTCTGAGTGGGAAGTACCAGTTGAAGAAAAAATGGGAAAGAAATTAGTTTGGAAAAGTGGGCACCAACCGAAGGGATGTGGAACAAAAATAAAGGCGGCACTCAAGACCAAGGTGGTTGAAATGCCTGGGCCCAGGGAAGCCTTGTAGAGAAGAGGCAAAGGGTGGCTTGAAATGGGAGCCAGCAGGAAAATGGCCAAGGAAGGGCTGGAAAGGCTGGCAGGTTCCTGAAGTATGAGACTAACCTGAAGGAGGGAAAGGTAGGTATGCTAAGCGATAGTTTAGTCTGAAAAGGTTAGGATGGGAAATAAAGGGCAAATCTAGGAGAAGACAGTTTTGAGGGAAATGACTTTAATATTAGATGAATTGTTTGATACCCACTGGGAAATAATTATTCAGATAGTGAATAATTCACTATCTGAATCAATATTCTGATATTCAAACCAAGACTCAAAGGAGGCTTCTCTTGATCTTGTCTTATCAACTGTTTGGGCAGAGTATTCCAGAGGAAGCCCCAGCACCCCTGCCCTCGACTGTTCAATGCAGCTATTAGTGAACAGCAGGCAGGTGAAGGCTGGAAAGGGGCAGCTGACCACAGTGTTTCTGGGAAGAAGCTTCACTTGGCCTCCTTCCAAGGCCCTGGGTTTGGACTGGGAGGTTTGGTGCTATTTGGGCGAACAATAAGAAGCTTAACAAGATTCAAACTATCCTGTGATAAAACTATTCCTAAACTTACCCTAAGAGTTTGGCTGCACCCAGAGTTTGGACCACTACCAAGTGATTGTCTGGTAAGATGAATTCTACCATCATTTACTTACAGAGAAACACTGAGATTAAAATATGAAGGGGTCAAAAATTCAGTGTGGGCTGGGAATGTGGCTCAGTGATAAGAGTGCATACTTTGCATGTGTGAGGCCTTGGGTTCAAACTCCAGTACTGCCCCCGCACCCAGAGTGTGCTTTAGATGCTTTCATGAGCTCCAGTGTCCTCTGCTCTCTGAAGTGCTCTGTTTCCTGGTGGAGCACTGGTCTAGGACATGCTCTCTCACCAGCAGGGCCGATCACGGATGTCAGAAACACCTCCACCTAGCCCAGACTTGCTCTGTATCAGAAAAACTAGTCAAAGAAAGGGAAAATAGATCTTGCTTAGCTTTTTGTTTCCTAAAAAAGAGTGAAAGTTTTCTCTAGAAATTTTTTTATATGAGTCGGGCGGGAAGGAGAAATCCTGTATGAAACGCAATCATCTTCAGAGCAGAAGGTATGGAAATCTTCTTACTTCTCCACATAATGGCTCCCCAGCTTCATAGCACCAGTCCATTTTTCTTAAATGCCACGCATCTCCTATGAAGAAATCAATATTAGGATGAAAAACCCCAGAGAGTATGTTTTAAGAATTCAGTAGGAATAACCATTCTGGATAAATGAATGTCAAATGGGGCTTAATCTGCTAATAATCATTAGTTTTTAAAATGACCTCTTCAAGAGCATAAAAAGTTGTGTTTTCCTGCTCAATTTGGTTAATTTGCTTTCTTTTTCACCAAGAACCTGTGAATAAAAACAACATATTCATATATGTATTTGTGACTAAAAACACTTGCTTCTATTATACAATATTTACTTTGTACCCTTACTCTTTTCATGTATACATATATACAGATCATATATCACTATACATATAGACATACATATATATAAGTATCAAATCTCTTGTAAAAACAATTTTTTAATTGTCAATGGACTTTTATTTTTATTTATTTATATGTGGTGCTGAGAATTGAACCCAGTACCTCACACATGCTAGGCAAGTGCTCCACCACTGAGCCACAACCCCAGCACTAAAGATGATTTTTGTCATAGCTGAAGTATATGCTAAAATTGCTCAGCAACTGCAATTGTACAAGAAAATTCCTCCTCTTAGCAGTTAATCAAACAACACAGCACTAGAACTTTCTGAAGAGTATCTGAATGAAACTGATGTGAAAGAAAATTTATAAATGTTAAATAGACTTAAATCAGATCTCTCTCTTTTTCAGTGCACTTGTTTGCTGCTCACTCCCCAAACGAGAACTTTTTTTGATTGGGGAAAAAGTTGAATGGGGCAAAAATTAGAAACCCTGGTTATTACAAACAAACAAAAACCCCAGCTATTATTTGATGAGCAAGATGCTGTAGCACCAAAACCATCTAATGGGCAAAGGAATAAACACAAAGTTCTTACTCATCTCCACCAGCCAGTCTCTGAACCCCTGCAGCACACTTTTTTGTAGATCCTTTTTAACCATTAGTTTTAAATTCAGAAAGATTTGTATCAATTTCAAATTAATTTAAGTACCTTATAAAATTACTAGTCAGTTAAAAGTGAGCACTATTAGTCCACAACATAGCAGGTGGGAAGAACCTGGACCTTGAGAGCAGAGGCCTAGCTATTGGCTGGGGAACTCTGGCAAGCCATTTAAGCCTTCACAGCCTGTTGCCTTGTCTGTGAAATGGGAACGGGTGACCATCCCCCACCTGGGAGGGCTACTGCTGAGATTCAGTGAGATTCAATGAGACACTGCCTGTGTACTTCTACAGGACAGCCCTATATCCAGAGCACGTGAACATCCCTTCCAGATAACACACTGGTGCCAACTTCAATGGTGTCTGAGGGACAAACTGTTCTAATAAAAGCAGCATGATTCCTCATCAAGCTTAGTGACATGACTGCACCCAGGAAGCTGCTGTAAGTTACTCTGGATTAATTTTTTCCATTCACATTCCATTCCCTAGTCTATTATACACATATATTGATATGAAATAGATGCACTGAAATTCTGAATCAATAAGACTAAAAATGTTTCAGTGGAACTAGATGTGGATAACTCCAGGTGGTATAAATCTTAGCTTGCTTTCTTTTACATCCTTGCTGGATTCTATCTAGGCTAACCCTAAAACTACTTTTCTTTTAGTTTGTAAATAGAACCAGGAGAATTCATTATGAACACACAGAAATTTAAACTACTTTTTTTTTTTCTGCAGTCTATAAAACTTTTTTTCCACAATCTTTATGAAAAAGAAAGTTTGAAAAGTTTTTATTAGGCTTATAGATAATTGTTTGAAGTAAAGAATGTGGATAAGATTATGTCATCATGATAAATAACTTACCTGGCAGACTAGATTTCTCAAGCATTATCTTTAAACACTAAAAAAAAAAAAAAAAAAAAAAAGTTAGTTTTTGTTTCTGAATTATAGTATAAGAAGAAACACCCTTTTTGAACCCTGGGCCTTAAGTCTGATTATATTCATTATTCTTGGATAGACAAAGGCACATAGAATTAAGATGATCGACAAGCCAACTCTCTTTCCTAGGAGCTGGGAGGGGGTCAGTTCAGGGAGGAGAAACATTTCCTGGTGTTTCCAACCAGAACTCAGCTCCAAGTTTCATTTACTGCCTTCAGTGTCTCTGCCACGACTTCCTTCCCATGAGGATTAATAGTGTGATTTGATCAAATTATTGATAAGGCTGATTTCACAGATACATAATAACCTCTGAATCCTATAAAAGGAGATTGACCTTTATTTAGAAGCCATTAAACACAAATGATCACACATAAACTCACAAGGAAAGAATTGTGTAAGTTGTGCCCTCATGGTACAATGCAAAAATGTGAAAATATGAACAAAAGTTTTAATAGAACAACTTTCTAACTTTTTGAGGGAAAAACATTCCAAAGTAAATCTTGGGTCAAAGAGTAAATAAAATTGTGTTTATACTACCCTAGAGCAAAAGGAAATAAAAATAAGGATGGTCACTCTTGTACTGCTCAGAATAAGAAAACAGTGGCCATTAATCAAAATATCTATTAATGGGTGAACATTTAAAAAATGAAGATATATCTTAGCAGTTCAAAGAATAAAACAGATTCATATGTCGTATTAGATGTTTAAAATATTTTAAGTGAACTTCAAAAGGTCTAGTATGTGCATGAGGCATGATACACACAAAGTGAGTTCTTCATTCCTTTATGTACCCTGGCATGTGCTCTGGGAGGACACCTCTATTGATAAGCACATGTCAGGTCATCTCAGTGCCTTCTATATAAGGGAGGTGGTGATCAGCAGAGACTTTTAACCCCCTGAAGTTCAAAAACTGGGAATAAATTTATAGTTAGTTGTATAAGTATGTGTTTACAGGTTATTTAGAAAACAATGCCAATGATATAACACAATAGTTAAAGCATGGGTGACGGGGACAAAGCTATATTCAAAGAAAACTGCAGCCTTAAAGGCTTTCCTTAAGGGACGAAAACAAAAGAACATTCATCTTAACTGTGTTCCAGGCAGGGGACCCAAACTTAAGGGCTTTGGAGGAAAGCAAGGAGGCCAGCAGTGGGGTAGGGGCTAGAGTTTTGAAAACAAAACAGTAAATCACTCAATTTCCTAATAAAAATGGACCCTGGGAGGTTCAAGGCTAGAAGCAAGGAGATCAGTTAAGAACCTGTGGAACAGTGCAGATGAGTGACAGTGGTGTGCTCGACAGGGACACAGCGGTAGAGGGAGCGAGATGTGGCCAGATCCTAGCAGCATTCTGATGGCAGAACCAACAGAAGGTCCTGAAAAACTGGATGTGAAGTAAGACAAGGAGAATCAAGGGGGCATAAAGGTTTTGGCCAGAGCAAATAGGAAATTGGAGCTGCCATTAGCTGAAGAAGAGAAAAACATGTGTGGAAGACATTTCAGGAGGCCAGGAGTCCTGCTGGGGATGTGCTCTAGTTTGGATTTCAGACAGCCTAGGTGGCAGTTGGATGCTCTGGGGCTAGAGGGGCCCAGTCCAAGTATATCTGTAGCTGAATGCTCAAAAGGCAAAGAGGAGAGGGGGAAAGAACAAGCTGAGAAAGGTGGGCTGGTGGACTGGAAGGAAAACCTGAAGAGCTTTAACTTCTCAGTTCGTTAACTTCCCAGAAGACAGACAAAAACTCCTAGTAGAGCCAGCAACAGCGTGGAGTGCTGGGAGCAGACAGGATGCACACAGCAGGGTGAGAACAGACTGGATGCTCATGGATGGGCGCAGCAGTGAGGGGGCCCCCTGAAGCCTGAGGAAGAGCTACATGGAACCCCAGTGGGGCTGAGAGAGCACAGGAAGAAAAGGATGTGTGTCACTCTTCAGAATAGTTTTGTGGTTTCTTTGAAATGAAAAAATACATGTTAATAAAGGCCAATAAAAGCTGGATGTGGTGGCACATGCCTGTAATCCCAGTCACTCCGGAGGCTGAGGCAGGAGGATCCCAAGTTCAAAACAGCCTCAGCAACAGAGCGAGACTTTGTCTCAAAATAAAAAAATAAAAAGGGCTGGGAATGTGGCTCAGTAATTAAGCACCCTGGGTTTAATCCCCAGTACGTACATACAGACACACAGACACACAAAAGGCCAACGAAAAATTTGGAACATATTTACAGTCTAGAATAAGGGTAAAAAATGTTTTATCATGGAAAATTTCAACTGCATGCAGAGACTAGTAAAATGACCCTCCTCAAGTACTCATGATTTCAATTATTGCCATGTCCAGTCTTGTTTACATCCACCTCCTGTCCTTCCCCCAGATTCTTCTTCTTCTTTTTTTTTTTTGTACTAGGGACTGAAGCCTAGGGTGCTTAACCACTGAGCCATATCCCCATTCCTTTTATAAAAAAATATTTATTTTTTAGTTGTAGGTGGACACAATATCTTTATTTCATTTTTATGTGGTGCTAAGGATCGAACTTAGTGCCTCACGCATGCTAGACGAGTGCTCTACCACTGAGCCACAACCGCAGCCCTCCATTCCTTTTTATTTTTTGAGATAGGGTCTCACTAAGTTGCCCAGGCTGGCCTTGAACTTGTGATCCTCCTGTCTCAGCCTTTTGAGCTGATGGGATTACAGGTGTGTGCAACTGTATTCAGCTTCCCTAGATTCTTTAAAAGTAAATGCCACTGTCATTATGTACAATTATAATGCACCAATAAAAAAATGGGGAAAAAATAAAACCAAATGCCTGATAACATATTATTTCATCTATAGTTATCATGCATTTCTGAAAGATAAGGATTCTTTTAAAAATATAAACCTTAAGTGATTAACGTCTTCAGAACTTAAAAGTTTTTCAAATTAAGGATTTGTAAATAACAACAAATACCCAGTTCAAATTTCCCTACTTTCTCTTTAGTTATTATAAAGGGTTTTCTTTTGTTTTTTGTTGTTTTTGTTTGAACCAAGGTCCAAATAAAATCCACACATTTGCAATGGGGTGCTATTTGTCTGAACCTCCTTTAGCCTATAGGTACCCTCAGACCCTGCAATTTATTTGTTGAGAAGAGTTTTCCAATCTGGATTCTGCTGGCTGCAGGCCTGTGGTGCATTAAACGTCTCCTATTCCTTATAAATTGGTAGTCAGGCTGGGCATGGTGGTGCACGCATATTGAGACTAGAGGACTACAAGTTCAAGTATAACTTAGCAAGGCCCTAAGCGACTTAGTGAGACCCTGTCTGAAAACGAAAATAAAAAGGGCTGGGGATGTGACTCAGTGGTTAAATGCCCCTGGGTTCAATCCCCAGTACAATAAATAAATAAATATGTGGGGGCTGGGGTTGTGGCTCAGTGGTAAAGCGCTCGCCTAGCACATGCAAGGCCCTGGGTTCGATCCTCAGCACCCACATAAAAATAAATAAAATAAAGGTATTGTGTCCAATTACAACTAAAAAAAATATATATTAAAAACAATATAAAAATAAAAAAAATTGGTGGTCAGATCCAGTAGCTCAATAAGACGCACAGGTTGTTTTTTTTTTTTTAATATATTTTTTTTGTAGTTGCAGATGGACAAAATGCCTTTATTTAATTTGTTTATTTGTAATGTGGTGCTGAGGATTAAACCCAGTGCCTCACGCATGCTAGGTAAGCACTCTGCCACTGAGCTACAGCCCCAGCCCTTTTTTTTGTTTTTGTAAGGGTATCCTAGAGCTTCTAGAATGTCTAAGAGCTGCACTTCTTTGGGTTATTCTCAGTGTTTAAAGATCATTGTCTTGATCTATTAATTAGAAATTGAAAAACTGATGCTCTAAAATTCCTTCTTCTTTATTAGCTGGAATATGTTCTATACAGAAAAATATTATATAGTGAGCCACCTTGAGGTATAATTTACAGAGGAAAAATGAGATAAATGCTTATTTCTCTCCTCTTTTACCCATGGTAGGTACCAATGAATATTTCCTGTTATGGTCATTATGAGCCTGCCCATAGATTTTATGTGTGTGGTATCAAGATTTTACATATGTAGATAGGGAATATATATGAATTTTACATTCATACACAGATAAGGGATGAGGGGTTTTAATTTTTTTAAAAAATCCATTTCTACATATTCCAAATTTCTATAATAATTTTACCTAGTATACACTTTAATTATTATTCTCCCTAATGTTCAAACTGTCTCATCTTAAATGACTAGACTCCTAAGTCTCTTTGATAATTCCAATAAATCTTTATTAGTAGCTTCATTGCTTTCTGTGATGACAACATGTTCCAGGTTTAGCTCACACATTTTGTGACTAGGGCTACAGAACCAGCCCTTAATTCAAGGTGCCTGGTTCCTTTTAGTATGAAATGGTACTTTGCAATCATAATCTGGGTGCTAGGGCTGTTTTGTTTCTAAGCTATGTCAGGGCACAGAGCCAGAAAGAAAACAAAACAAACAAACAATTTTTAAAAAGTAAAAATAGGTGAAGTTTATTCAGACTCTTTTAATTCAAATTTAGGAGTAGAGGTTTTTATTTAACCACACTTATTTTTATCTGTGTCTCTGTTTTACAATACCAAAAGTCCCAGTTCTCGATGATACCAATACAATTATTCATGTTCTATCATACTCATTCATATATATAATTCACATCTGTGTATGTGTCATTATGTGTGTATATAAAGTAAAAACACCAGGGGCTGGGGCTGTAGCTCAGTGGTAGAGCGCTTGCCTTGCATGTGTGAGACACTGGGTTCGATCCTCAGCACCACATAAAAATAAATAAATAAAGCTATTGTGTCTGTCTACAACTAAAAAAGAAAGGAAAAAAAAAAAAAAAAAAAAGTGAAAACACCAGAAGAAAATATACTGAAATGTTAGTATTAGTGGGATAAGAAATATGAGGAATTTTGTTTTAATCAATTTCTGCATTCCCCAAATTTCTATAATAAGTATTACTGATATTTAGATAAGGAAAAAAAAAAAAAAAAAAAAAAACAGTAGAAACAATCTAACTTAAACATCCCAGCTGGCTTGCCAATTAATTTTCAAGCTCTCTGAACCACCCCTCTAGTGAACACACATAATTCTTACAAGTACATTATGTAAACCTCATCTTAGGACCTAGCGCAGGATACCACTCCCCATACCAAATACTGAGTGTCCCAAACCAAAAAGTAAAATTACTTACATCTTTCACAGACAATGTTTCTTCTACTATGACCTCCATCTCTGTCCCAGGTTGAATATTAGTCCCCCAAGCAAAAAACAGGAACAGCTAAGAGCAAGCCAGAAGTATAGATGCAATTTAACCTGAACTTAAAAATCATATGATTGCATTATTCACTTCCCCCAAAAGCCCAGGGCCCATGAAACATTAATAAAAACTCAGTTCTGTGGATGTAGCTCAGTGGTAAAGCACTGCCTAGCATGCATGAGTTCATCCCCAGTACTGCAAAGACAAACAAATCAAAATGAAAACCCTCAAGTTATGTAAAACGAGACTGTGCTGAGACATTTAATGTCATAGGCTGCCTTGATACAGGATATTAACAATAAGGATATCATTATGACTTCTGGGCTATAATAAAAGTTTATTAACTAGGTAGGGCTTCTGGCAACATTACCTGATAGCATTTTACACAGAAAATGAACACTGATAAAGATGGGGGGGAAGGGAGGCTACTATAACTGTTACATTATTGCAGAGAGTAATTTTAAATCCAAAATCAATATACTGTATTCCATTAAATAAAAGATGCTGACTGCTAAGACTCATCATTTTCTGTACCGCTAAAAACAACAACAACAAAACACACCACAACAATGCCAGCAGAACTGCAGAATGCCACTGACACAGGAGCCTCCTAATTTCATAGATGTTAACATGCGGGGGAAAGTGCATCTTAAACAATAACTCACCTAGCGATATAAAATGCTTCATCATTAATGTTTTTACTCCTCATAAACATCTATCACAGGTACTATTTCTTTCTTTCTTTTCTTTTCTTTTTTTTTTTTTTTGTACTAAGGATATAACCCAGGGATGTTTTACTACTGGGCTACATCCTCAGACCTTTTTATTTTTTGAGACAGGGTCTCACTAAATTGCTGAGGCTGGCCTGCAAGTGTTATCCTCCTACTTCAGCCTCCCAAGTGGCTGTGATCATAGGTGTGTGCCACCATGCCCAGACAGGCACTATTTCTTCTACTAAGATATCTAGTTCTGGAGCTGGGATTGTGGCTCAGTGGCAAGGTACTGGCCTCGCACATGTGAGGAACTGAGTTAGTTTCTTAGCACCACATAAAAATAAACAAAATATAGATATTATATCCATGTATAACTAAAAAAAAAAAAAATCCAGCTCTGACCCAAGTCACTCCCAGAGAAATCTGCAGTTACTACACACAATAAACATTAATTGTTTCTTCTGTGAACCACTGGTTGTGGTTTGATTTTCTGACTAAGGATTCCACATATAATAATTCCCAAGATCCCATAGGAAAACTATAAACATACCTCTTGTCAATCCAGGTTCTGACAGCCCTACCCCGCCTTTCTAATTCAACCTTGCCTGTCATGTTTGTCCTCCTGTCAGCTTATCAGGTCCTGCTATTTGCTAGTGTTTAAGGGGGAAGAAAATTAAAGGGGTTGTGATTGGTGGTAAGGTTTTTGAGTTCTTTATATTTTGCATTATTAGGGAGAATGTTATGCTAAGTGAAATAAATCAGAATCAGAAAGTGAAGGATTGAGTATTTTCTCTTATATGCAGAAGCTAGAGAGAGAAAGAACAAAAGAAAGAAAAAAAAGGGCTGGGGATATAGCTCAGTTGGTAGCTTGCCTTGCATGCATAAGGCCCTGGGTTCGATTCCTAGCACCAAAAAAAAAAAGAAAGAAAAAAAAAAGGAATTAAAAAGAAACCAAAACAAAAAGGGGAATCTTATACAAATAGAAGGAAGACCAATACAGTAGAAAAGGATGGAGAGAAAGGGAGGAGGGGAGAGCCTGGGGAAGCATAGAGGAAGGAAATCTACCTAATTATTATATGTCTATGTATGAACATACCACATGAATCCTGTATGCATGTGTGTGTCTATATTTATAAATAGTTATATATGTATAAATATTCATAATGCATTAATTAAAATAATAATAATAATAATAGAATAATTAGTAGAGTGCAGCGAGCAGATGGTGAAGGGAAGGGGAGGGGAGAGGGAAAGGGAAGGTAGGTAATAAGACTGACCAAATTATATTATATGCGTGTACAAATATGGTGTAGTGATTTCTGTTATTATGTATAATTATAATGCACCAATTAAAAAAAAATAATAAACACAAGGGAAACTAACAAAGTGGACTCAGGAGCCCTGGGGGAACCTGACATGAGTCCAGACTGCCTTGATACAGGATATTATCAATAAGGATATCATTATGATTTCTGGGCTATAATAAAAGTTTATTAACTAGGTAGGGCTTCTGGCAACATTACCTGATAGCATTTTACACAGAAAATGAACACTGATAAAGATGAGGGGGAAGGGAGGCTACTATAACTATTACATTATTGCAGAGAGTAATTTTAAATCCAAAATCAATATATTGTATTCCATTAAATAAAAAACGCTGATTGCTAAGACTCATCATTTTCTGTTCCGATAAAAACAAAAACAAAAAACCACACCACAACAATGCCAGCAGAACTGCAGAATGCCACTGACACAGGAGCCTCCTAATTTTATAGGTGTTAACATGTGGGGGAAAGTGCATCTCAGAATTTATGAAACAAAGTGGCTGGAACTGGTGGCCATTCAACCTTAAACATCCCCTTTAAACATAAAATTTTTACAGAGAAAGAACCTTATAAATATACTTTCACATAACATTTTTTATTTAAACACAGGAAACTATATGGATATACTCCTAAAGCAGTAAGAACAATAACAACAAAAAACTTTTAGGTAACACCAGTATTACTGGAGTAGGTTACTAGTTACAAATCCAGACATTCTGATGAGGGAAGGGGGATACCTAAAGGTTATCTTACTGTACCTGAGAGGAAGTTGGTGCTTTTCCAAGACACAGTCCCAAAGAACTCCCCATCTTCACTTCTGCTTCCTTCAAAGTGGAACCATCTGGCACTATAAAGAATTTTGAGAAAATGATGATGTTCTGAATTCCCATGTCTCAGCAAAATATTACATCAAAGTAAAATTAAGTAATATTACATCTTTGAAATAAAAGTAAATATTACATCTTTGAAAATTAAGAAGGTCAAGAAAGAGGCTAGGGTGTAGCTCGGTGGTAGAGTACATGCTTAGCATTAGTGAGGCCCTGGGTTCAATCCTCAGCATCACCACACCAGTAATGAATTTTCACATTACCCCCACCACTCAAGAATATTAAAAAAGAAGTAAAAAGTTGCACTTCATGCAAAAAAAATTATACAGATAATGGCTATGTTTAATTTTCAATTTTCATACTTTATTATTATCTGTATAATACTAAGAAGTTGAAAGGCAGCTATGAGTATTTAAAACTTATACTTAATGGACTAACTTCTTCCATGTTTCAAGTGGCAGTGAGAACCAAATAATGATAGGCTCATCCATAACTAAATCACCAATCTAATGAAAGGTGTTAGGTGAGAACCAAAGACTCTGTTCCATACAGTATAACAATAAAAGCTGGAATGACCCACCGAAAACTGAAAAAATAAGACTAGAAAGAGATAATGAGATCCAAACCATGACTAAAACAAGAACCAGAGCATCAGAAAGTGTTTCATTTCAGAGAACAAAAATGTTAAGGTTTTCTTAACACATGGATAAGATGCCTCGATGAAAGTAATTTAAGAGTAGCAGGGGGTTAGGTGTGAGGCTCAGTGGTAGACTGCTTGCCTAGCATGTGCAAGGCTCTGGGTTGAATGCCCACACCACCCTCCACCAGAACAAAAGAAAAAAGAAATAAGCAAAAAAGAGAGCATTAGGTATTGGAAGCCATTGCTTAGGGGAAGACAGAGACAAGGATGGAATGAGTTGATGTCAGCTACCAACAGTGGATGAAAGCTACCAACAAGACTAACCTGGACAAAGGAGCTTCCCGTTTCTATCAATAGGTCTCAAACAGCTGTTCTCAGCTATAAATAAAAATAAGCATGTTATTCACCAAAGAGAGATGCTCTTTGCTAGTGTTAATTAGCAGAAATCTAAAATAGAATAAAAAACCCAAATTAAAAAAAAAAAAAAGAACAAAAGACCCCCACATTTGGGCAGCCTTCACTCTGCACAGCAGTTTGGACTATAGAAACACACAATAGAATTGTGCATCCATTTTAATAATCAGTGGAAATGTTCCGATGGGTCTACAACTTAAAAATCTGCCAAAACTTTTAAAACTCTTTGTTGGTTATACATGTAGAGAAAAGAAAAAAAAATAGCAAAGCTAACACTTATACATTTATTTACAATATCAGAAACTTTTGAGGACTGAAACGCTTTGTCTCTGCAGCAGTGCCAGCAGGGCTGGCTCCTCACTGGAGAGCACAGAGAAACCCCAAGAAGGCAGCCTGCTGGGTGTGTGATGAGAAAGCAGAAGAGTGGACTGCAGTGAGGTCCAGGGTGAGCAGCGGTCAGGTTATGCAGGTTCCCGTGGGCTGCGTTAAGGAATTGACCCATGTGCAAGGGAAGCACGACAGGGCCCTGAGCACAGGAGTGACAAGGTCTAGCTCACAGGTTTAAGAGAATCACTTTCTACATGAGCAAGAGTAGAAGGGGGAGACCAGCTACAGGACAAGGTAACGAAGCATTCATTTTAATAAAATGTATACTTTTTATGAACTTTACCAAGGTATTATAATTTACCTACAATAAAACATCCATTTTAAGTGTAGAGTTCATAGAGTTTGATAAATATATAAACATTCAGTAAAACCAGCAAACCGAGATAAAATCTGTATCACCCCCAAAATTCCATTGTGTCATACTTCAGTCAATCCCTTGTCTGCCTTCTGTGGCTATGACTTAAATTTTCTTTTTCTAAAATTTCACATTCCTGGAATCATACAGAATGTACTTTTCTACGTTTACTTTCTTTCATATAATGACTGGAGATTCACACATATTTTGCATGTGGCAGAACTTGGAGTTTGCCGCTTTTCAGACATGAATAGCACCCCACCAACTGGCAATACCACAATTTGTCTATCTAGTCACCTGCTCATGCACATCTGGATTGTGGCCAGTTTTTGGTTATGGACATTTGTCTTTGTAAAAATGTTTAATTTTTCTTCCCATTCACTAGAATGGCTTTAATAAAAAGATAACTACAAATATTGGCAAGGGTATGAAGAAACTGCAATACTGACACGCTGCTATTGGGAACGCACAGGTTCAGGCACTTGGGAAAATCATTTGGCAGTTTTCATAAAAAGTTAAACATAAATTTCCCAGGCGTTCTAATCCTGTGCATCTACCTGAGAGAACTGAAAATAAATAGCCAAAGACTTACATGCAAATGTTTACAGCAGTATTCCAAATGTCCATCAACTGGTGAATAAACAAATAAAATGTGGTATGTCCATACAGTTGACCACTAGCCATCAATAAAAAGAAATAAACTATTTATAAATGCTAAATAATGGGCAAACTTCAAAAATAGTATGGTAAGTAAGAGAAGTCACACACAAAGATTGTATGGTTCTATTTGTATGAAATGTCAAGAAAATCAAGTCTGAAGAGATGGAAAGTGGATTAGTCACTGGATACGGGCTCAGAATACAAATGGGCATAAGAGATCTTTTTGGGGTGACAGAAATGTTTTAAAATGGAATTGGTAGGGCTGGAGTTGTGACTCAGTGGTAGAGTGCTTGCTTAGCACGTGCGAGGTCCTGGGTTCGATCTTTAGCACCACATAAAAATAAGTAAATAAAATGAAGGTATTGTGCCCAACAACTAAAAAATAAATATTAAAAAAACTGAATTGGTGTACAACTCTATACATTTACTGATAATTACTGAATTACACATGAGTGAATTTTAGCCAGGCACAATGGTGTATACCTCTAATCCCAGCAACTTTGTAGGCTAAGGCAGAAGAATCATGAGTTTAAGGCTAGCCTCAGCAACTTAGTAATACCCTATCTCAAAATAAAAAATAAAAAGGCTGGGGTAAATAGAGTGCTTCTGGATTCAATTCCTAGCACCAAAAAAAAAAAAAAAGAAAAAGAAAAGTGAATATTTTGTATATAAATTATATCTCAATAAAGTTGTTAAACATGATGTGGAGTGAATAGTAAGGTTGCAGAATGTTGTATTCAGTATGACAAATCTGTCTATATATATGTATACACACATATGTATTTATAATATATGGTACAATATGTATAAATGTCTATATACACACCCAAATCAAAAATACTGGTTGTATCTGGGGAGGGAAGGAGAATAGGTCTGAGAAGGAGAACACGAAGGACTTTATAATGTTTCAAACAAAAACAAACATATGACAAAATGTTAACATTTGTCCATTTTGGGTGGTAGGTGCATGAGATTTTCCTAAATTATTTTTGTACTTTCCCATATATTTTTCAACAAAAAATCCAAACTAAATTAAACCAAAAACCAAAAGCAAATGTAAATGATTACCTAGTTCCTTCATTAATTTTAATTCCTTTATGGCTTTAATTCGAATATCAAACACCACCTAAAATAGAGAAATAAACTAATGAATATGTATAAGTTGAACAGGAGGAGATGACAATGAAGACCAGCAGCATGTGCACACCTACATCAGCTGAGACATGAACCACCTGGCACGTATTTTTCCAACTTGAAAAAAGCTTTTTCCCATCTCTGAAATTCTACAAGATCAATAGCAAAAGCTCAGAATAAATCTTTTTTTAAAAATTTTAAATGTTTAAAATTAGTTCCTTTTAGTCAGAATAGATCTTAGTAATTTTTACTAAAATGGTGCTAACTGGGACAAAAAGGACTAAAGAAACATAGCTGAAAAGCAGGAAGCCACTCACCTTTCTGATCAAAGCCAAAAAAAAAAAAAAAAAAAACAAAAAAAAACAAACAACAACAACAACAACAACAAAAAAAAACAAAAAAAAAAACTGGAGGCAATCATCACATTCCAGGTCCCAAAAGCATAAATGACGTAAAAATGCACAATACCTAGTTTAGGCTAATTTCCTGTAGGCCATAAAATGTTGGACATTTAGTGGTAAAACTGATGTTACACACCATCTCCTCTAACCTTCCACCAGTATCTAATATGGGGTCAAGAAGAAACAGTCTGAAGTAATAAAGGACTTCACCAAAGTCTCCAACTTAGGGTCAGGAACTAGTCTGCTGAGTGTTAGTACCCTGGTCTTGTACGCTCTCTTCTATTGTATCAGCACTGAACCTTAAGAAATTATAAAACTGATGTAAAAGGAAACACCATTCTAGTAAGTTTCTTTTAACTTGTTATAGGAAAAAACCCAAAAAAACAAAAAACAAAACTATATTGGGACTACATAAATATAAAAAGATAATGTTTAAAGAAATCAGTATCATCTTCTTCAAATAGAAAACTGGAGGGAATTCCTTTTAAGAGTAGTTGGCTTTACATAAAGCAGAGTATAAGGTAGAGCAATTTGAGATAAAAACAAAACCCACAACACAAAAACAAAACACATATACACATTTACACACATATCTACCTGATTTTAAAAAATACAGAAAAGACCCTTGAAAAAGCATTTTGTACTCATCAAAACTAGAGGATTTCATGAACTAACTAAATAGGCAATTCCCACATTCTAATTTTAGGCTCTGGAGTTGGGAAGAAAAAAATGGGAGTGGGGGCGGGGGCATGGATGGGGGACGGGGAACAGGACATATTTCCTTGGAATAGACCCATGGCTAGTACAGGGAGGCAATAATTGTTAAGGGGCTGGGGATGTGGCTCAAGCGGTAGCACGCTCGCCTGGCATGCGTGCGGCCCGGATTCGATCCTCAGCACCACATACAAACAAAGATGTTGTGTCTGCCAAAAACTAAAAAATACAAAATAAATAAATATTAAAAAATTCTCTCTCTCTTTAAAAAAAAATTAAGTGTTAAATATGAAAAAATTGATTTCTTAAGATTTAGAAGTCTACTGAGAGAACTGTTCTGAAATTTAAACAGTGCTGTCTAAATAAAAATTCTGTTAACTGAAAAACTATCAGTCAAATTTTAATGATGATCTACTCACTGTGTGAACAGTTGCTGATATTTTAACTTGCTTTTGTTCAGATTCTAGCTGGCATAAATTTTTAACCTGGATCCAGTCGATCTCATTCATACCATTCATCCACTTCCCTTCTTTGGGCAACACACTGTAGGTAAAGGTAAAAATACATTAAAAATGTGTCTTTTCGTGGCGCTTTATAAATCAGAAAATTAATGGTTTTCTTTAGGCACACTTCCAAAACTCTGCAAGTATGCCTTAAAGAGACTAGTGAAAGATGATTATATTTTACTGAGCTGTCTCTATAAAAGTTAGCTCTTTTTAGGGTAATGTTAGGCAACGATCCATTCAGTCCATAATCTTAAAGCTTTCAAATACTCTTTGACTTAAAATTGTGCAAATATTCTGTGCCACAGTTTTCAAGGGGAAATGTTGGAAAGTGAGCATTCAGTTGTTCACTCTTGACTATACACTGAAAACCCTAGGGAACCTTTGAAAGACTGCCAAGGCCCATACCCTGGGATTCAGATATAACAGGGCAGCCAATACAAGTGAGCAAACTGTCACTGCACAACAGTGCCACATCAGCCACATCACAGGAGTGCTACACGCATTGTATATACTATATATTTGTATTTTCATTTTTTAAGAGTTTTGTTTTTTTTATTATGTTAGCAGTTGGCAGTAGAATATTATGTTCTAACAAATCTTCTTTCAGCCATAAGAAAAAATGAGCCATCAGAAGTCCTTTTTGGGAATTTTATCAGCGCCCTAAAACACAATTCTATCCTTTATTTCAATTATTCCACCCTGGGACTCCACCTCAAGTTAGCGATCCTAAACACAACAAAGTTTGAAGTGCAAGATGTTCCCTAGAAGATTACCTTGAAAGCAGAAAATTGGATGCAGTTGTTGCTCCTGCTGCTGCTGCAGATGTCAACTAAAAACATTTAGCACTGTGTGCAAATGCTCTGAGGATTTAGTTCTTTATGACTAAAAGGCTCTCACTAATTATCACCTCTGTTTTACATTAGAAACTGAACAGAGAGAGAGAGATGAAACTACTTGTCCAAGGTCACTGTGGCAATAAGTAGAAAAACTGGGAAGAAACCCAGGCAGCTGGCTCCCAAGTGTTCACCCTCCAGCCCCCAGCATCTTGCTGTCCTATCAGGCACGGAGAGGCAAAGTGTGCTGTTTGCCAGGCACACAAAGATTATTATTAGGTAACCATCAAATGAGGTTTACAAAACATCTACAAATATCGGAAAGAGGAGAAAGCAGGGAAAAAACTACAAAACAATCATTATGCTGAAAAAGATAAAAAACCCTTCAAAACAGTGTTTGAGTTCAGAAGAAAAGGAAAGCTACTGGAGGCCATAGTGACTGACGCTGCATTGGGGCTGCTACCTCAGGTCTCCTCTGTGTTCCCTTCCTTACTCTCTAAGTCCTAGTAAATGCAGATCACCTTTATAAATGATTATATAATAAACTTTCTTGTAAACAAGACGGGGAAACACATGTCTGCAAGACACCTGTTCAAAAGAGTATCAGTGATAAATGTCATATAAAACAAACTCAGTCCACAGGGCTATGCTTGTAGGACACACTGGCCATAGAAATGTATTGGCCCACATGTGGGTAACAAAAGTGGCACAGTGCAAACATGACCACAGGGCTTCAGGGGTGATTCTGCAGCTAACTTCTCTAACTGGGCAGCCAGGAGGTTCTTCAGTATCATAAAGAGATGATAAGAAAAAACTGAACTGCCTTACAGGTCTCTGTGAAAAAAATATCCAGGGCTAGGAGTGCAGCTTAGTGGTTGATTGCATGCTTGCCTATCGTATGGGTGCGGCCCTGGCTTCTAGATGCAGCACCAAAAAACAAAACAACAAAAACAATATAAGACAAAAACCAAAATATCCAAACATAGGGCTGGGGCTGGGGCTCAGTGATAAAGTGCCTGCTCAGCATGTGTGAGGCACTGGGTTCGATTCTCAGCATCACATATAAATGAATAAATTAAATAAAGATTGTCAATTAATATATTTTAAAAAAATATCCGAACATAATTTAGCCATACTCTTAATACCTTTTTCATGTAGAATTTCAGGAATTTTCTGTGAGAATATGCCTTTATTTTTTATAACTTACGCTAATCAGAATTCATTTAATAAGATTTTTCTTAATAGCCAACTAATTTAGATCACATATAGGCTATAAAACCAGGAATATCTATATTATTTTTGTTACCATATTTATCAGAAAATCACTTTTCAACATTTTTACCCCTTTAAGTTGCATAAGACATCCCTATATACAATATTTAGAATATGTCTAGAAATAAACATTTAATTCTTATTATTAAAATAAAGCTTTAGAGTTCTATTGGATGATACTATCATTAAAATAACTTAGAAAAATTCTCCCTTTTCATCTTTTACCTCCTATCCTCACTATTAGGAGGCTGAACTAGAATGGAGCTTCCGTTTCTGAGCCCCTGCTCTCTGAACGTCTTCTTCATGTCTTCCTCGGGCACAGCGGTCCAGCTCTCTTCATCTGCAGACCTGGTGCTGTTCACAAGGATGATGCCTGCTGGGATGGCCGCAGCTGTGAACACAGTACCCACTTCCGCATTAGCAGGAAAGACATGTGGCGATTCTATCAGTCGCCCACGCTTCTTGCCTTCACCACTTGACTCCAGATGAAGAATGTTTAACAGCAGAGGCTCACAGTCAATCCCAGTCTCAATCTGGACTCCTCCAACCTGCAACAGTATGGAAAAACCTGGCATAGTTCGTATTTGTGAAATTAACATCATCACTAGTAATGATATACTACTCTTGTAATAAACAAAACCCCAAACCTCATCTTTTCCCAAGTGAAATAAAATTTTCAATTTTCAAATTTTTTTCTTTTAAGTATCAGAGGAACAACTTAAAAATTTTGTTTAAGAGCTTCTCATATCCATATTTTCTTTCTTAGGAGAGAAATCTGGACTGGAGGTGGAGGTTAATGAGTTATCAGTGGGTGTGAGGAGAAGGCCCAAGGATGCATCTTCTGAGACAGGAAACTCACTCTCCTCCTCCAAGGCTCCACCTTCCCTAACTCAACACAGCTGGCCAAGCCCTCTGATACCAGTAGGTGCTATGCCCGCCCTACTACAGCACTTGTGGTGCTTTTTGCGCTTTGAGTGCCTGAAGGAAGCCGACTGACCTCCGCATCCAGCATGTGACACACAGCCTGGCACAAGGAAAGTCTCAATAAGTCTCTCTTTGACATGCAACTACCACTGACTGGACTAAAATGTAGGGATATTTCAGGAGTTTTCTAATGTCCAATTGCCTTCACATGTAGTGGACAAAATTTCATTACAATGACTTTTAAAAATCCAAAATTATCATTTTTTTTCAGTGATTTTTTTTTTTTTTTTTTTTTACCTCTATTCCATTCCATACAAAGATGTCTTCCCCATCAGCAATGTCAACTTCACACAGCGACAGTTCATCTCCTAGAAAGGGTAGTGATACCATTAATCATGATCATCAGAAACGATCTAGCTGAGGAAAGAGCTGGGTCATGTAAATATTTTATCATACTATCATTTTTATTTTTACTTTAAAATGCTGTTACATCACTTTGCAAGCATGGTGGCAGGACTAGCCAGGACAAAGGCCGACTGTGCGGCAGCGCTGCAATAGTTGCTGAACAGGAATTAGGTGCAGGCAGCAGCAGCCCCGGCTCTACCACCAACCAGCTATAAGTGTGTGCCTCAAGCCTCTCAGCTTCAGTGTTTTCATTTATGAAATGGGGGTAAAAGAAGTTCATGAAAATCAAAGAAAAATGAACATGAAACTATTATCACAAGATTTGGTATAGTGAGAAGTCCAAAATGAATAAATGTTACTATTACTACTGTTGTTATCATTGTTTATGTTATTTAAAGGAAATACATACTTTTAAACTCTCAGAACACTTTTGTTTTGCTATAAAATCTTAGGCTGAGAGTTGCACAGAAGAAAATCAAGCCACATAAATAAGATTCAAATTATTTTAAACCATTTTGTGCAAAAGTTCATGGTAATATTGTAAAAATACTAAGGCATTTAAAAAACATTTTTAAGAAATTTGCCTTACTTGCTGTGGTTGTAGCTCAGTGGTGGAGCACTTGCCTAGCACATGTGAGGCACTGGGTTCCATTTTCAGCACAACATAAATTAATAAAATAAAGATCCATCAACAATTAAAAAAAAAAAAAAAGAAAGGAAGAAAGGAAGCAAGGAAGGAAGGTGCCTTACTTCTGTTAGGAAGATTTCACATACATAAATTTTGTACATTATAAATTAGATTATTTCTTTTTGAAAGCTTACAGTGTGATGGTAGCTATATAGTTACGAAAGTAGTAGGTGGGGGAAATACTAGCAAAGAGGAAATCACAGGTGAATCCCACAAAAGTAAATACATAAAATTAGTTGTTGTGGGGCTGGGGTTGAAGCTCAATGATAGCACGCTTGCCTGGCATGTGGGAGACACTGGGTTCAATGCTCAGCACCACATTAAAAAAATACATAAAAAAAAGGTATTGTGTCCATCTACAACTTATACAAAATTAGTTGTGTTTTCATAATTATCTTACCATCGAGTGTCTGATAAATGTGAAGTCCTGCTGGTACATGCTTTGCTACACTAAGAACCATGTCTCCTTCCCAAAATTCTAGTAGCTGAGGAAGAGAAAAATGAAAAGTAACATATGAATACATTTCCAGATTTAATAAGAACAACACTGTGCCGACTTACATAGAAAGCAAGAAGAGGAACATCCCATCCCTACCCAACACCAAAAATTTGGAAATAAGACAATATTCTCATTATATTAGTCAAATCTAAAGATGGCTAACCTCTTCCATTCTTGATCTCTTCCACATCTGAATGACTGTATTTACATGAAAATGATTTTTATCAGAAAGCAAACTGCTCAGCAGGCCAGATTACAAATTTCTGCCCGAGAGCCACACTTTTTTATATCATTGGCACTGATTCTAGACCACACTAATTTTTTTTTTTTTTTGAGAGAGAGAGAAAGAATTTTAATATTTATTTTTTAGTTTTTGGCGGACACAACATCTTTGTTTGTATGTTGAGGATCGAACCCAGGCCACACGCATGCCAGGCGAGCGTGCTACCGCTTGAGCCACATCCCCAACCCGCTAATTCTTATTCTCTAGCTGCACAAAAAGGAAGGCCCAGCTTGGTGGTATACAACTGGGATCTCAGATACTGGGAGGCTGAGACAGGAAATCCTAAGTTCAGGGCCAGCCTCAGCAACTTAGTAAGACCCTGTCTCAAAATAAAAATAAAACTATGCTGGCTTGGGATCTGGCTTCCTTAAAAAGACTCCTAAAGTGCAAGAAGTAAAATCAATAATTGATAAATGGGATGGATTCAAACTAAAAAGCTGCTTCTCGGCAAAGGAAACAATTAGTAATGTGAAGAGAGAGCCTACAGAGTGGGAGAAAATCTTTACCAATGAACCTCAGACAGAGCATTAATCTCCAGGATATATAAAAAACTCAAAAAACTTCACACACACACACACACACACACCAAATAATCAATCAATAAATGGGCTAAGGAACAGAACAGACACTTCAGAGAAGAAAAAATGTTATCAATCAACAAATATATTAAAAAATGTTCAAAACTCTAGCAATTAGAAAAATGCAAATCAAAACTACTCTAAGATTTCATCTCACTCCAGACAGAATTACAATTATCAAGAATATAAGCAACAATAAAAGTTGGCAAGATATGGGGGAAAAGGCACACTCATACACTGCTGGTGGAACTGCAAATTGGTGCAACCACTATGGAAAGTGGTATGAAGATTCCTTAGCTACCCAACTCCTCAGTTTATACCCAAAGGAAAAAAAATCAGCATATTGTAGTGATGCAGCCACATCATTGGCTCAACTCACAATAGCTAAACTATGGAACCAACCTAGGTGCCCTTCAACAGATAAATAAATATAGAAAAGGTGATATATATACACAATGGAATACTACTCAGCCTTAAAGAAGAATGAAATTATGGCATTTGCCAGTAAATGAATGGAGTTGGAGAATATCATGCCAAGCGAAATAAGCCAATCCCCCAAAACCAAAGGCCAAATGTTTTCTCTGATATGCAGATCTAATTCACAATAAGGCGGGGGCTAGGGAAGAACAGGGTTACTTTGGATTAGGCAGAAGGGAGTGAAGGGTAGAAAGGATAGTAGAATGAATCGGACATTATTATCTTATTGTATGTATCACTACACGACTGGTTTGATTCTACAGCATATAGAATGAGAAGTTATACTCCATTTATGTATGAAGTATCAAAGTGTATTCCACTGTCATGCATAACTAATTAGAACAAAAAAGGACTGGGCATATGCCTACAATCCCAGCAGCTCAGGACGCCGAGGCAGGATTGAAAGTTCAAACCCATAGTCAGGCCCCCCCCAAAAAAAAGAGAGCTCTCTCAAAAAAAAAAAAAAAAAAAAAAAAAAAGGCTGAGGTAAAGTACCCCCTGGATCCACTCCTCAGCACCACACACATACATACACAAAAATCAATTATTTAAAAAAGAAAATTGGTTTGCTTTTCTTAGTAGAAAAAAAAATCAAAAGAAAGCTGATAATTTGTGGGGGATATCACTGTTTTGCAAATTCATTTATTTTGGGGACAAAACCCAAAATGCTTACATTTTCTATTTCCCTTTTTCTTGGTCAAGAAATAGTGTGGGGTGAAGAATCCCGACCATGGAAAAGAACAAGAGATGAAGAGACCAGAACCGCACCACCGTCCTGCAAGGCTGAGCAATGGCAATATAGGTTTCTGTAAATTACAACTTCTTTCATCCTCAAAATGAATAGCTTGCCCTCAGAAGGTTAAAGAACCAAATTGTAAAATTCATATGAAAGCACTGTAAGTAAAATATAGAGCACTACTGTTGCTGTTATTATTATCATCATCATTAAAACATAGATGAATAAACAATTAAGACAATGATTATGATGATATTTTTAACTAGAGACTAATAGATATTTTTCTTCATTAGTAGATACTAGTTTTAGGGCTAGGGGGTGCAGTTTACTGTTAAGAGTGTCTGCCTAGCATGCACAAAGCTCTGGATTCCATTCCTAGCACCAAACAAAAGAAAAAAAAATCTTATTAATAAATGCTATTATATACCCAAAGGCACAAAATTAGTTGCTCTTATTTGTTTAGTGGTTCTTGGTCTTAATCAATATGCTCACCATCTCATTCCCTCTGAAAAATAATTCTCTTTCATTTATTTCTCCCAAAAAGAAACTATATACTTTTTGGGCCCCCAAATAAAAGGTGCCAGTCCAATGCTCTATTTGAAAAGCTGCTGATGGGAAGTGCACAGGAATAGGGGAGAACTGCTGATTCACCTTTCTATGAACTGGAAGATGTAGGATTTTCCTAAGCAGCTTTGAAAAACAGCTGTTAACCTACATAAGATGAAATGTAGAAGCCAGCTCAAGATGGATTTTAAAACCTCCATTTTAATACCTTCATTAAGCTAATTTACCTGAAATATTGACTGTCGGAGATCTCCTAAAGTTTTTCTTTTGTCAAAGGTCAAATCCCACACACTTTCTGCCTGAGAGGTTACTGGGTGCAGAGCCCCATTGAAGAAACGATAATGAGGGCCCAGGTGAAGATGCAATTCAAAATCATTGTTTGCAGAATCACATTCTGCCCTTCAAAGAAGCATACAAAATATATCAACACTATGCTTTTATAATGACACTGTGTTTTATCTCAAACCAAAAGATTTGCTTTACAATACAAGTAAATTCTCCATTCTGCTTAAGTACCATCCTTTTTTTCTACCTGCCAAAATGATACATCTTAGATTTTCTTTCTTTTTTTTTTTTTTTTAATGACACATTTTGGATTTTCAATCATCAGCAACGTTCCCAGGAATTCCAAGGGAAAATTGTTTCCTTGCACTGTTAATCACATTTCTTTGAACAAATGCTGACACCTGAAACCTTCCAATCCTGAGATTATATTATAGTTGTAGACAAATGCTAGACACTTGCTCATGTAACTGACTTCTGCTTCATCCCAACTTTACTAGACTCCTTGGGCTCTTGCATAAGATACGTGCAGTTGCTGGCACAAACATCCTGAGCTATGCAGGAGGCTGAGGCAGGAGGATTACAAATTTAAGGCTAGCCTGGGGACATAGCTCAGTGGTAAAGTACCCCTGGGTTCAATCCTCAGCACCACAAAAACAACCAACCAAACCAAACCAAACCAAACCAAAAACCCCAACTCGCACTCCATTTATATTATTTAGTGTCTTCATTTTTTTTTTAAGGTTTGGATAGATTTTATTTATTTATTTTTAATATTTTTAAAGTTGCAGATGGATACAATACCTTTATTTTGTTTATTTTTTTATATGGTTCCGGGGAGTGAACCCGGTGCCTCACACATGCCAGGCAAGTGCTGAGCCCAACCCCAGCCCTCTTCATTTCTTTTGAGAGTTTCTTTGGTTTTGGTGTATCATTCAATGTGCCTGCTATTTTTTTTTCTCCCAGATCCAAGTCCATGATTAAAATGATGAACGCATTCCCACTACATAATTGGCCCCATGAATTCACAAGGAGATGAGTAAACTTCCATTTCCCTACCTGATACCTACGGCCCTGTCAGTGAGCAAATAAGACCCAGTTCTTCAGGATTCAAGCCCTAAGAGAATGCTGACATGCAGATTCTTATAAGCCATAGCTTCAAGAATCCATTATGGGTTTTTGTCCAAGACAGACACTAAACCTAACAGTTCACAGAATCCACATTTCCTTCCTTTTGAAAATCTTCCCATCTCTGATCTCCCGTCACTTTATGTTCAGTTCTCCACAGCTACTTAAAAATGAGGGTGGTTTTAAGGACAAGCTTTCTTTATACCCAAGGGATAACCTGGCCAGGACAAGGTGTAATTCACTTTGCCCAAATGTGTGCTTGCCTATTTCCCAAGTCTTCTTAGGCTTTGGTCCCTACTTGGCAATAGCCATTTTATGTTCAGTTTTACAGATAAGGGTCAGTTCAAAGCAAATGATACCTCCACTATAAAAATTCAACAGCCAAACAGGTGTTTTTTAACTAGTTGAATACTCTTTTAAATTTTCATTACTGAATGAATAAGGCCTAAATTAGATCTGCATTCTCCAGAAAAATTACTCAAACTCTAAAAGTAACTTAAATTACCTTTTCACTTTCAGTTCAATGTTGGCTGCATCCATTTCTTTCAGCAGGTGACAGGGGACCCTGTATCTTGGGTTAGCTAGAGCTGTGAACAAAACCTATCATTAATTGTGCTGAATAAGTGAAATCTGGGTGTTGGAAAGGCAATGTGAGAACTTAGGGAGCTGCACAGGGGCAGAGAAAGTGCTGCCAACCAGCTATGTAGATGCTGACTTTCCCAGACCTTGGCTTTCCAACCTAAGAAAGGAAGGAGAACAAATGAAAGGCAGCTGGCTTTTGAGCCAAACTAGAAGGATTCTACTCCTTCACCCCTCTTTAAGTAAAAAAAAACAAAACAAAACAAAACAAAAAAAACCCCACTATTTTCATTCCAATTACACATGTAATAATTGGTTATTGTAAAAATTCTGGAAATTATTTTTTAAACTATTATATGTAATCTCATTCCTAAAACACACATGTATGCACACCACACAAACATGCACAACACATGTATTTTTTTAAAAAATAACTGGAATTATAGCTGATGTATTTGTAACTTGCTTTCTGATTTCATAAATTGTATTTTTCCACAGCCTTAAATAAATAATTGCATAGAAGCCTATTCTATGTAAGTAGCATAATTAATCTAACCCATCTTTCTCTATTAGACATTGTGGTAGTTTTTCAACTAGTCCCTGCTGTAAAACAATAAGGCAGCAAACATCTTTGAACATAATATTCATACACAGCTCTGATGACTTCATGACAAACTTGTGAGAGTTACTGGTTTAAAGGATGAGGTAGTTTTAAGGCTCTTAATTTTTTTTTTTTTTTTTAATACAGTTGTAGATGGACAGCATGCCTTTATTTATTTTTTTATGTGGTGCTGAGGATGGAACTCAATGCCGCACACATGCTAGGCAAGTGCTCTGTCACTGAGCTACACCCCAGCCCTAAGGCTTTTAAAAATATACACATTTGATTGTTTGTATCTGTTTACATACATACCAGCTGCAGAGGAAGTGTCGGCTGCTGGGAACCAGATTCACAAAAAATGTGTGACATGGTAGGAAACTAGCAGCATCTCCTTCCTATTTTAAGTTTTTCTGATTATGGGCTGGGTTGGAAATATTTTTGAAGAATAAGAATTTCCTCTTTTGTACATTGCTTTTTAATAAACTTTTCCCAATTTACTAGGGAGCATCATAGAATATACGGAAGAGCACTTTACAGATAGGGAAAATAAATCTGTCATGTATTTTACTGTTTTCTATTACCTTGTCATTTGAAGTTTCTGTCACTTTTTCTTAGTCTTTTAGTTTAGAAAGGTCCTTTCTATCTTAAAATCAAATAAATTTACATATTTTTTTTAAAGAGAGAGAGACAGAATTTTTTTAATATTTATTTTTTAGTTTTTGGTGGACACAACATCTTTATTTTATTTTTTTTGTGGTGCTGAGGATCAAACCCAGTGCCCTGCACATGCCCAGCAAGCACGCTGCCCCTTGAGCCATATTCTCAGCCCAAGTTTTCATATTTTAAGATTCCATTTTTATATAAAGGAGCTATCATCTCATTTGAGTGATTGGCAGAATAGAGGAAAATGTCTTAGTTAATTCCATAGCAACAAAACAACTTCCCAGTTGTATTTATTAAGTAATTCACTTTCCCATTTATCCAAGGAGTTTCTTCCCTTGGATTAAAGCCTCTGACATGCCGAGATTGATTCCTGGGCTCACTGGGGTTTCAGTGATTTTGGCGTTAGCATTGCTCTGTCTTCATTGCTAAACAGTTTTATAGACATGTTTTTACTTATACTATAAACAGCCCCAGTAGTCCCTTCTTCAATTTTTATTTCTCTAAGTAAATTTTAGAATTGTTTTGTGAAGTTCTGTCCCTTTATTCCCCAAAGTCCATCAAGACTTTGACTGGACCTTTATTCAATTTCTCAGCTACCCGGAAGCTGTTGTTTGGTACAAAGTCCAAGTATGCTCACACTCACTGTCAATCTGGTAAGAGACTAATACTCCATCCAAAGACATTCCCTTTCTGTTTCTATAATCATGAATTCTGATCCACAGTATTTCTATCAGAACCATTACCATGCCTTTTTTCTCTCAGAAAAATACAAAGCAGTTTTGGTTAACAGAAGTCATATAATTGTTTCAGATCTAGAAAGATAATTTCCTTTGATTCTAATGCAAATTTGTAACTGCTTTACTCTTATTTTTTATAAAAAATGATCACTATTCTCATTGAGAACATTCTCTTCATCTCTAATCATAGCTATGTTTCAATCTAAAAAAGATTTCCTACTTAGCGTTTTTTATGTTTAGGAAATGATCAAAAAGTCTTCCTGATTTATTCATGTTAACAGCTTCAATTAAAAAAATACCCTTTACTGTTAAACGTCGCAAATGGTTATTAACCTCCATGGTTTAAGCTCTCTTGGCTCAATAATGAGAGCTTCAAAGAAATTTCCACTGATCAGAGGACATTACTTTGAGGCAAAAGCAAAAATAAATGGGAAAATTAAGGGGAGATGAGAAAATAAGACCAAGGCTAACACAAAGGCTGCCGAGTGGCAGTTGCTTCTGAACTAGTGTGATCACACTGAGACTGCCAACATGGGAAAAGATCATGTGACCCAAGGAAATCCAATTTCAAACAACTTATAACTGTGACCTCATATTATTATGAGGATAAATTTAAATAGAAATATATAATCTTTATAAAAAAGATACATTTTTAGATTTTATTTGGCATAATATACTACTTCTTTAAAATATGAAATATTATTTTGCTTTAAAATATTTTTAAATGTTTCCAGAGTAAGCCTTCTATTAAAAGAGCAAAAACTCAATGGTATTCCATGTTTACCTTCTAAAATTATTAAACAGGAAAACTTTTCTTTCCATACCTTCAGGGGGTCTCTGCAACTGGGATTTCCGATAAAACAACATGTAGGCGCTTTCTTTGCCCTGAAATTGCTGTTCGATATCTTTCTCCTGGATTGGTTGAACTTTAGAGTCATTTATATCAAACCAGTGGGAACAGGCAGTGCTATCGCTTAATCCTGGGGCTTCTAAAGCCAGTGAGTGGAAACTCTGTTGATCAGTACTTTGGAAGTCAGACTTAGACTGGACAGGATCTTTCTTCAGTAGACTAACTGTGCTTCCATCTGAACTTAGAAGGAACATCTGAGAATGCAGCTGCAAGAACTATGCAGAATCAGACAAAAAAAAAAAAAAAAAAAAAAGCTGGATTAATTAAAAAAATTTTAAATTAGACCTTAAAAAATGTTTTCTTCCTTTCTGTGGTTTAGATTTTTTTTTTTTTTTTCAAAACTTCATCTTTATTTTTGGCCCAGTCCACGAAGGGGAAAACATCCATTTAGGTGTAAGAAGCCATTTAGCAAAAATGAAGAGAATTCTGTGAAACTGTTTAATAGTTATATCAAGGGAGAAAGCTGCCATGCTACAATCTAAAAAGCATTCTAATTAATGCTGTTTTTAAAAAAGTACTTAAATGAAATGGATTAGGTAGAACAAAAACTTTTGAAATGTTTAAGAGCTACCTAAACAAAGCACAAAACAATGGCAATTGCACAGTGCACCACTATCAGAGATAATCTGAAATTACTGATCCAGACAGATCTGTTGGGATAAAGAGGTAGGATCACAAGTTTGAGACTAGCCTTAGCAATTTAGTGAGACCCTAATTAACTCAGTGAGACCCTGTATCAAAATAAAGAAAATTTTAAAAAGGGCTGGGGATGTGGCTCAGTGGTTAAGTACCCCTGGGTTTGATCTCCTGTACCACAAAAAAATGAAATGAAACAGAATTTAAAAAAAATTACTTCATTAAGGACTAAAATCAATGAAATAGAAACAGACAAGCAGTAGAGAAAAATCAATACAACTATATCCTATTGTATCAAAGGCTGTTGATTTTTTAAAAATATTCTTCTTAGTTGTAGACAGACATTATACCTTTATTTTATTTATTTATTTATTTATTTTTATGTGGTGCTGAGGATTGAAACCAGTGCCCCACACACACTAGGCAAGTGCTTCACCACTGAGCTACAACCCCAGCCCTGGCTGTTGATTTTTTAAAAATAAACTTGATAAACCCTAGCAAGAAAAGAAAACACTAATTAATATGAGAATATTTTAAGTATTTGACACCATACATAAAAAGGCAAATTCCCTAAAGAACACAATTTTCCAAAATAATACAGGTAACAGAAAATCGATTTTTGGTGGTCTAATTAAAAGATGCTCTTAAACAATTATTGCAGTGGGTAAGTGCTTTGCTTTTACACAAAACAGTTCCTAAATGTTCATTAAATGTTCTGTTGCTTTGTTTGGTTATTTTCAGTCAAGTTTTTATCTTTTGTTTCTGGTAATATCAGTTTCTGCAATGATTCTTTAGCCTAGGAAATGAGATAAGTAAGTTTCTAGAAGTTAGAGCTTTGGGATAATTTGTTTTTGCTACTGTGATAAGGGCGACTTCCTTGTTTTTTTTTTTTTTTTTTTTTGCTTGTTGATAAATAACTTAATAACTGATACTTTATAAGTAATAGCTGAATTACAGCTATTTTTGAACAAAAATGCTGATTTTATTTTTATCTACTTAAAATATCTTAGAAATTCAAGTTGTTAGGAACATAACAAAATATTCTGGGACTAGGATTTCCTATGTTGATGCCATGTATTACCTTTCTCAGTGGCCCATGCTGTTTTCTGTACTTCTTGTTCCAAGACATTCCCATTTTTTTCAACAGTTTCTGGCCCAGTTGATCAACAGATATTAGATTATTCTCCTCCTTATGAAATAAACACAAAGTCATTTAAACAAGTCTGATGAGAAATAATTGCAACACAAATTCTGAGGGATCAACAGGATTTTATGTAATTACACGTGCCTAGAACAAAAACACGTAAGTGGATTAATCATTATTATTGCCATAATATGACAGCATACACCTATAATACTGGCTATTGAGGAGGCTGAGGCATGAGAATATTAAGTTGGAGGCCAGCCTGGGCAACTTAGTGACACTGTCTCAACAACAAAAAATAAAAGATCTGGAGATATAGCTCAGTGGTAAAATATCCCCGGATTTGAGCTCCTGTACTGCAAAGAAAAGAAATGAAATGAAATAAAATAAATCGTAATTATTCATTATAATTTTTTTTTGGAAAAGTAGCTTAAACCTAGGTTCAGAAAAATCTTATGTTTTTAAAGTCTATTTGTATTTGAAGGTTCCAGCAAATTTTGTATCTGCAGGACTCACCACTTTATAGATGGTACCTTCCTACTATGTGCCACATTTTAACTATATCCAAAGGGTATCCTGATGTTTGATAAATTCCTGATATTATATATGATTTTTAGAAGAAATATTTAAGTAAAAAATATTATTAACATCATCTGAATATTTCAAAGTATACAAGTTCTGGAAAGGGACAAGATGTGACTATTATAGGTTGAACTGTGTCTCCCCCAAATTCATAGGTTGAATCCTTAGCCTGCAATACTTAATGATGTGACTGTATTTGAAGTTAGGGCATTTAAAGGGGTGGTTAAAGGCATTTAATGGGGTGGTTAAGTTAAATTGAGTCCATTTTCCTTTTTGGAGTTGTCCCTAAATAATGTGACTGATGTCCTCATATAAATAAGCCCACCCACTTGTGATAGCTATATAAGCACAAATACACAAACAGACACAACCTACCTGTAATATGACTGCTTGTAGTATCACCAATGGATCATCAATCTCCTCTTCATTTTGAAGAGTTTTCAAATTCATATCTGGCTTACTTTCTTCCTGCTAAGAAGGAAAGCAATAAGATTTTCTATCACAAATCTCTTAGAGGAATTAATAAAATGGGAGTGTCTATGCCACTGGAGAAATGATGGTAGAAAACAATAATCTGCAATATGCATTGGAATCAGGCCAACCTGGTTTCAAAACACAGGTTTTGTTGAACAATTCTGAGCAAATTACTTGATAGCTCTGGCTTCACCTTACAAACTGGATAAAGATTAGAATCTGGTATACACTGGCACCAATGTCTTCTAGCCAAACACTGCTTTGGCTGAGTCATGTGTAATTTGATATGTTGAACTATCATCATCATCACTCAGTTCCAAATATTTTCTGGTTTCATCTGCCATGTTCTCACTCACTCGTATTGGCCTAAAAACTCCAATCCATTTTTATGGGCTCAATTTAAACACTTCTTTTCATTTCCTGATTGATATTCAAAAAGTTTATACCCCATTTGATAATGGCATTGGGGAATGTGTCAAAATTCCCCTAGTGAGCAATTTTTATTGACTCTTTTTTCATATGTAAGAGCTTGCAAAAGTATTTTAAATTGGCTTAAAACTATAAATACAAGGAGACTTTAAAAATTAACACAAGGGAAAAAAAATCAAGAAATAACAGAAGAATGTGGCACCAGATCTAACCATCTAGCTGCAAAATTACTAAAAATGGTAAAGTAAAAGCAAAGCATAACAAAAACATATTTTTAAACATACACATTAGGAATACCCTCTGAGGTTGAGAAGTGAAATGGAAATCCAGGTAGGAAATACAGAGTAAAGGCTTCTAGAATCCCAACTGCTGCACTCTGAATGTTTTTGTTTCCTAAACGTGTATGTTGAAACCTAACCCTAATGCAATAGTATCAAGAGATGACATCTTCAGGAAACAATTAAGTCATAAGGGTGGGCCCTCATGATGGGATTAGTGCCTTTATAAAAGAGATTCAAGGGAGCTTGTATGCCACTTCTGCTGTTTGAGGACACAGCAAGAAGGCACCATCTATAGCTGGGCACAGTGGTGGTGGCTCATTCCTGGAATCCCAGCAACTTAGAGGCTGAGCCAGGAGGACTTTAAATTCAAAGCCAGCCTCAGCAACTTAGAGAGGCTCTAAGCAATTTAGTGAGACCCTGTCTCAAAGTTAAATTAAAAAAATAAAAAGGGTAGGGGATGTGATTGAGTGGTTAAGCACTCCTGGGTTTAATCCCCAATACCAACAAAAAACAAAACAAAACAAAAAAGGAAGGTACCATCTATAAAGTGGTAAATCCTGCAGATATAAAATATTTGCTGGCACCTTTATGTTGGACTTTCTAAGGAAGGTTCCAGAGCTGTAATACATTTTTATTGTTTATAAAAAGTATTGTTGTAGCAGCCTGAATGGACTAAGACACCAACCTTGTTGATACTGAGCTTCCACTCTGATGCTCAAATAGTACAGGGTTTGGGAGAGGAAACCTAAGGCTTACCCAAAGCACAGAGTTGAGTGATTGGTTTTCAAAAAAGTACCAATTCTCTAAATCCTCTGACACCAAATGTCCCACAATTCTGTTCAATTCTGGCACTAACTATCTGTACCCAAACAGATTATACAGGTTGAGCCTTAGTCCTATAAGACTGACTCCCACTTGGTACCTTAACCATAAATGGGGTTTCCAGGTTATTTACACTTCCGCCTGATCAGTTGCAAATTCTAGGGTAAACACAACCCTTATTCCAGGTTCATAATTTAGTGGAGCAACTCACAGATATCAGGAACCTATGCTACAGTTTATTATAAAGGATTCCAATGAGCATCTAGATAAAGAGGTTGTAGGGTGAGGTCCAGAAAGGTCGCGAGTAGAGAAGCCTGTCCCCACAGAGTCCAGGGGGCCACATTCCCGGTACACAGATATGTCACCAACATGGAAACTCCCCAAACCTCATTACTCAAGGGTTATTTATTTTTTAGTTGTAGTTGGACACAATATCTTTATTTATTCTTATGTGGTGCTAAGGATTAAACCCAGGGCCTCACATGTGCTAGGCGAGCACTCTTATCACTGAGCCAAAACCCCAGCCCTACTCAAGCACTGAAGTTCACTGTGGAGGCAGCGCTGATTAAATCACTGGCCATTGGTGAACTCAATCCTCTTGTCTTTTCCCACTCTCCAAGGTCAGGAGATGGAATGTCAATTCCACCCCTCTCATCAGTGGGCAATCTGGCCCCATCTTAAGGCACAGATCAAAACCAAGAACTTTGAACACTGGCATACTACTATTGTCTAGTGTATGATTATATTCAAATTCTACCATTGTCTAATCTATGTCTTTTATGAAAATATTTTCCCCACTCTAGTGTCAAATCCAAGATCATGTGTAAGGTCTCTTTTAGCCTAAAACCATCTCTTAGTTTTACAGTTCCTCTGTTATGATAAACTATGGAATTTTTCCAGCAAGTAAAATGAGCATTGATTTAGATAAAACACAGTATGGATTCTGCATCTCATATGGCAACCAGGCCCCATCTTAAGGCATCTAAGAATGGACTCTTTAGCATGAACACCATAAGGTGGAAAGGGGCTTATCATGAATAAAATAACTTCCATCAAGGAATTCTAAAGACCTATATACCAGGAACTGGAATTGGAGACAACAAATACATCAGATGCTCTGTATCTACGGGATCTATACCTGTGAACTCAACCAACTGTGCATCAAAATATTAGGAAAACAAGAATGTTTGTACTGAACATGTAGAGACTTTTTTTCTTTTTATTAGTCCCAAAACAATACAGGATAGTGACTACTTGCTAGGTATTTTACATTATATATTATAAATAGCCTGGAGATTAAGTATACATGTATATAGGCATATGTGTGTGTAGGTAATATGCAAATATTATTGCCATTTTTTCCAGGAGAAAGAATAGAACGGAATAGAAAACTGAAAAACAGACTCCTACAAGGGACTTAAGCATCCATGGATTTTGGTATGGGGAGTTCTGGAACCAATTCCCCAAGGACACTGAGGGATGACTGTATATAGTTTTTACATACCACAATGATAGACTGCAGCAAAATGTTGGAAATCCTAAAGGGCTACACCTTCACTAGAAGCATGATATGGAAAAAAAATTATTCCACAATAAAGGGCAATAAACTGGACTGCCTTGACCTTAGTACTGAATGAAGGGGAAAATTTCCTCTAATAATCACCAAGGATAAAAGGTGCTTCATTTTATCTGATCGGGAAGGTGCCCAAAATGGTGGTGTCTTGGCAAACGTGGCATAGCATTTGACAGCAATGTCTGCACAGCTTTCTGAATCCAGAACTGGAGAGCTAGATACTGCAGTAAGGTCAAAGAAATGGAAGAATGTGATTGACTTAGCTTCATTTTAGAAACTGGTGAAGAGCATAGGGTTGATGTGAAATGTATTCTAATGTCACAGTAGACTCTAGTGAGCACTTTCCCAGACCTTCTACAATTCACTGAGAAAATTATGAAACTTTTAAAAAGACACCAAAGGAGCTTTAAAGAGATATATCTTGTTCATATATGAAGACTCAAAACCCCTGTGTATGCACGCATGCAGGGGCATGTGCATATGTGAAAATATGGGAAAGTGATTCTAGGAAGACACACAGAAGCATAAACAAGATAGGTAAGACAATCCTGAAGAGCAGCATGTAGGGAGACTTGTCCCACCAGATGGCATGATTTAAAATTAACCTATGGCAATTAAGTGTGTATTTGCCCAGGAGGAGAATGAATAGAACAGAATAGAGATCTAAAAAACAAGACTCCTGCATTAATGAACAATAGATCTAATGAAACTGACACAGTAAGTTGGTGGAGAAAAGCAATTATTCAATAGGTGGTAATGGGTAATGTTTTGGGGAAAAATTCTCATACCGTTCACAGAAAACCATCTAGAAGGACTTACATTTTTTGTTGTGTTTTATGGTCCTGGGGAAGGACCAGTGTTTCAAATGTCATTAAGTGATGGTCAATGAGTGCTGTTTTAAAGAGCAACCACAGAAGACATGACACTGCAGCCATATTACGTTAAATAGGATAAAATTTACCCTGGCTTTAAATCCTACTGTGAAAGCTTTGTACATTTTCACTTACAATCTGCGGGATGCAAAATCCATACTGTGTGTTATCTAAATCAATGCTCATTTTATTTGCTGGAAAAATTCCATAGTTTGTCATAACAGAGGAACTGTAAAGCTGAGAGATGGTTTCAGAGTAAAAGAGACCTAAAAAAAAAAAAAAAAGATAACTAAATCTAACACATGATCTTGGATTTGACACTAGAGTGGGAAAAACATTTTCATAAAAGATATAGATTAGACAACTGGTAGAACCTGAATATAATTATACACTAGACAATAGCAATAGTAATATACCAGCATTAAAAGTTCTTGGTTTTTTATCTATGCTTATGTAAGAGAATATCTTTGTTTTTGGTGGATAAACACCTAGTATTTAGAGGTAAAGGAGTCTAATGTCTTCCATTTACTTGGTTCAACACTAACAATGATGTTAATAATGTATACATGTCTGTGTGTGCACATGCACAAATGTGGGGTTATGGTTTAGATATGAGGTATTTCCCATTGTGAGACAATGAAAGAAAGTTTAGAGACAAATGATTGGGTTATGAGAGCCTTGACTTAATCATTGTGCATTAATACACTGATATGGATCAACTGGATGGTAACTGTGGGCAGATAGGGTAGAGCTGGAGAAACTGGGTCACCAGAGGTGTGCTTTGGGGCTTATGTTTTGTACTTGTTGAGAAGAGTCTCTCTCTCTCTCTCTCTCTGCTTCCTGGTACCATATTCTAAGCTGCTTTCTCCCTCCACGCCCTTCTGCCATGATGTTCTGCCTTGCCTCAGGCCCAGAACAATGGAGTTGGCCATCTATGGACTGAGACCTCTGAAACTGTGAGCCCCCAAATAAACTTTTCCTCCTCTAACTGTTCTTGTCAGGTCTTTCAGTCACAGTGATGAAATAGCTAACTAAAACATGTGGCAATATGTTAACAACTAGAGAATCTACGTAAAGAGTGCATAGGAAGTATTTGTACTACTGTGGTATTTTCTGTACATGTAAAATTATTTAGAAATAAAAATTTAAAACATATCTGAATTAACTTAATGCCTATCAAAGTTTTCTACAGGGTGAGTATACAATAAATGGCAAAAGATCATCAACAAAATATTGTAAAAGGAACTGAAAAACCAAGACATCGCAAGATATTTCTAAATGAGTTTGTACACTTACTTTAAATTGCCAGTTTCCCAGATGATCAACATCTTTAATATATACATGATAATGTCCTCCGTAGCAGCCACCTTTGTGTATAATGACTGAGAAGAGGTCATATATATATTCTAAATCATCTAATTCACTCTAAAGGAAAAAAGGAAAATAAACATGGATAGTTTAACATAAGATGCTAAAATATATGTAAGTAGAATGGAAAAAGAATTCCAAGTATTGAAATTAATTAGAAATTACAGTGAATATCACTGTCATTTAAAAGTAAGATAAATTTAAAAGACTGGCTTTAAATTAAAAAATTTTAAATTCATTGGTCAACTACTAAACACACTATATTGATCTATTTTGGCCCCTCACTTAAACGTGAACACATGTATCTGAAAAAGCTGTTAGTTTGGGCTGAGACATGTAAGCTAGAGGTTTTTAGCAAGAGAAAACCACCTTTGTACATATCTATCATGATGTTAAACACACATGTTCTATACTTGACGAAACTGTCCTATGTTCCAACCAGGCTGCCCCACAGAGTCAGAGTCAGATCAACTATTAACCCTCCAGACATTTCAGTCATCTGAACAGAATAGAAATTTAGCAATTGTGAACAATAGTTGTTCTTGTTTAGAGGCAATATGTAGAATGAAGAAGTTCTTTCCTGCTTTATTAATTCTATGATCAAACTTTTCTATAATTAATTAATTAATGCACTTTATATTTACATGTAACCCAAGAGATAAACTTCTACACTGGCAATTAAAAACAAAACAAATGGAAACAATACAGTAGATTAAGAGACACTTTAAATTTCTGATGCAGAAGAACAAGAAAGCCTTAGTTTTCACTTTCCAGGGGTCTGAAGCACTTGACATAAGCTCCCTTCTGATTGTGCCATCTAAACTAGACCAGTGTAACTTGTGATGTAAATGCATACATGGGTGTCTGCTGAGGGATGCTAGTTACCGGAGGAATGTATTTGATTAAAATATTATAGTTTTTGAGTGGACAGTAATTGAAAATGTCTGATTTAGGCAAAAGACAGGAGAGAGATACACAAAGATGCAAGGTGTTTCTACACTAATAGAAATTCAAAAGCAAGATTGATGTGGATGTCCTAGATAAGTGGTCAATTATATTACTTATTTCAGATCTGTTATACTGAAGTATGTTAAATCACATGATGAAATACTTTTTATAAAAAGAGTAGTGAGTATATTAACTAACCCTGGGAAAATCATTGATTTTGAGTATGCCAGTAATAGCCTAAGCATCCACAGAATACTAGAATCTCTGAAAATTCAAACATTCAAAAAAAAAAAAAACCCAAAAAGCTGAGCAATTAGGCCCACCTGTGAAGAGTTTGAATTAAATAATGTTAACAAAAGGATTACTTTTTTTTTCACAGAAATTGAATATCTAGCTAATAAATATTCTGTTCCTAATAAAATGATTTATAATAAGAAATATACCAGTCTCATCATTCTGATTTTAGCATGTATAATAATGATATAAAAACTATAAGTGGGTCATAAAGTAGTTTGTTTTTATAATTAACTTGCTTTCAACACATTTTCTTTCCTGTGTCTTAAGGATTACAAATTCTAGACTAGAAAAATTCCATTTGTCTGTTCACTTTCTAGACATGTAATTCATTATCACATCTAAAATAAATCCAAATAGCAAAGTACCAATTAATGGTAATTTTTCTAAAAGCAGGATCATTTTAAATTTTGTTTTAAAATTTTCATCTCAAAGATTTTTCAAGAAGAGTTTAATAGAGAACAGAGAACTTGTACACTTTAGATTCAAAAGGACTGTAAACAAATCAGAAGTTCTCAGCCCAGGGCAATTTTGCAACCCCATCTCCAGGACATATGGACTTTTGACCACTTTTGAAGACATTCTCATTGCCAAAGTGGGAGAGGAGTGGGGATGCTACTGTCATCTATTAAGTAGGCCAGGTGATTTTTTTTTTTTTTTTTTTGTGGTGCTGGGGATCAAAGCTAGGACCTTGGGCCTGCTAAGCAACTGCTCTACCACTGAGCCACATCCCAGTCTAAAGAGGCCAGGAATGCTAGTAGACATCCCACAATGTACAGCACAGTCCTCCACATCTAAGAATGACTAAATTCAAAATGTTAACAGGGCTAAGGTTCAGGAATTCTGTAATAAACTTCCATCAGGTCAATAAGATTCAAATATAGAAGGGGAAAAGAAAGAATTTAAAAATAAAATAATTCAAACCTGCTCACAAAAAGGCTTGAGATTGATCCGGAGAGGGAATGTGTAACTGCTAGTTTCCTTGTAGCGTTCACACTTCACAAAATCAAAATTAAATCTTAGTAATGAGACAGTAAGAAAAGGAGGCAACTTGCGCAATTTGGCCGACTGTTAAAAGAAAAATTCACAAAGTTTTTAAAAAGCAGTTATGTGAAAGGATAATGTTATTTAAAGTATGAAAAAAAAAACACCTGTAAGCTTTAGGAGAAACAGGTCCTTAACTCACATACAGTCATTAACAATGGGTTCAATAATATATCTTGAGGAATCTCATCTATTTTATGGGACTAAGGGTGATTGATATCACTCATTTATGCTCACAAAAGTTTCACAAGCTACTTTTGTTTTCAGAGCTGCCATTCTAAAATCCTACTTGATGAACATGTTGTAACTGCTCATTATCCCTCTCCATCTGCTCCTATTTTCTGCCCAATTCCTGGCCTTTTCCTTTGCTCCTTCATAATCATATTTTACCTGAGCTCTGAACACATGAATTAGGAAAAGTTTAAGTGTATACGTTTTCTCTAGGGAGAAGATCCACAGTTTAATTAGACTTTTAAAAGGACTGTAATCCCAATGGTTAAGATCTATTGATCAGAGTTTTATAGTTGCTACTTTAAAACTCAAAAGCAGATTAAGGTATTTTTGTTGTTTTAATTCCTTAGTTTAAAACTAAATAGTACATTAAGATGATTTTTATTTAAGAGTCATCACTTAGCTGGGTGCAGTGGTGGATGCCTGTAATTCCAGTGACTCAGGAAGCTGAGGAAAGAGGATTTCAAGTTTGAGGCTGGCCTCAGCCACTTTAGGAGGTCCTAAGCAACTTAATGAGAACAGGTCTTGAAATAAAAATTTAAAAGGGCTGGGGATGTGGCTCAGAGCCCTTGGGTTCAACCCCTAGTACCAAAAAAAAAAAAAAAAAAAAAAGTCATCACTTGTCCCCAGACCTCTTAGTAATGGCCATAATCATATAAACCCAACACTGTTAAACATATATTTAAAATAATAATTTCACAAATCTAGTGGGTAAAAAAAGTTAAATAAAAAAGTCCCAGCCATAAAATAACTTGGCAGATTTTCAGACAAGCTCTATGGATGCATCCAAAATAACACAGAAACTCTGCTACTATATGATTAGAAAAGATTGCTAAGGACAGGAAAATCTACATTTACTCAAAGAGCACACCAAACCTAAATTCAGAATGCAACAAATACATGGCAACTAGAAAAATACTCCACAATAGAGAAGTTCCACCAAAAAAGAATTAAACCAACAATATTAGGTATATAAAAAAACTGTATTTGTTTAGCAGAAGGTTAGGGTTAGCAAAGGGTTCCTGTTTTATTAAAATGCAAATTAAGTTCAACAAAAAAATGTTTAAGTAAGTATCTAAGACTTTTCCAAATGCTGAGATTTATACTTATCAGATAGTAGTTCTAACACCACAGGTGAAGTACAAAATGAGTAAACAAATGGTAATTCTCTCTCTAGGTTTAATAATGAGTACAATATATGAAAACATATATTAAACAGTGTAAACTTCATCCTGGTTTCAAAGACTGTTGTGAAAGCTATAGCCACAGGGTTTACTTTTTTATTACATTTACTTCTATCATCTCCAGGATACAAAATCAGTATTGTGTATTAAATTAATATTCATTTTATTTGTTGGAAAAGTTCAGTTAACTGTCAGCCATAGGAATAGTGCTACATGTCTTTGGCATTATGGATCCACTACACAGGTATGTTTTTTGTGGTAGCTGTTTACGATAATGCTCAATAACCATTGATCGCACTGAGCTCAAGTTTACAATGTTTATGAATAGTCTATCACATCATCTAGTAACAGTGGGACAGTTAACTACCTAGGTAAAAATTACAGCAGCAGGGTTGATGCTTCATTGCTCATAGGAACAGGTGCTGAGAGGAGAGCCAGAGAAGTGCAGAAATGGCACATTCAAGCCAGAGGAATGGGAAATGGCATTAAGAATTTATACACACACAGACATATCAGACATTTAGAAATAATCTGTAATAAGCACCTTTTATATTAATATTAGTGAATTACTAATACCTAGCAATTTATTAGCATTGATAATGTTTTTGGTGGAAATTGTATAAAAATGTTTAAAAAAAAAAAACAAAACAATTCTACTGGGCATGGTGGTGCACACCTGTAATCCCAGTTATTTGGGAGACTGAGACTGGAGGATCAGAAGTTCAAGGTCAGCCTGGGCAACTTAGTAAGGCCCTATCTCAAAATAAGAAGGGGTTGGGGGTATAGCTCAGGTATGTCCCTTAGTTCAATCCTCACTACTGAAAAAAAACAAAACAAAAGTTCCATATTGAGAAATCACATACAATTGTGAAAGAATGGTGAAAAGGAAATACATATGGTTGCTAGAAGGTAAAATGGAGAAATAAAAAACCAACTCAAATGTTAAAAAAACAAAAAAATGTTTTTCTAAAATCTGTCCTGTGAAAGACACCCTGGACTCAAAGGACTCAGCTAGTGAAGCACAGAGAACTTACATCAAAACTGGGACAAAATGTCAACATGTGGTCGATTTTCAGCAATGCCAAAGTGCTGATATAATAAATCACAGCCACATCATAAAGAAGCTGGAATGGGCAAAATTTAAGATGTATGAAAATAACACTGGGGAGGTCTTCCATTAAGCTAATTGGGAGTTGACTCTCATTTCACTTGTCAAAGCGGCTCTTCCTTCCTGGAAGCTAGGATAACTATGAATTATATCTACAAATGACTCTAAGTAGGAACATGACAAATTTGAGAAATATCAGAAGTCTACGCTAACTGACTTATTTTACTTTTCTCTCTTAGCTCACACTATAAAAGAAATCAGTTGCTTTCATCTTGTCTCTCCATCTTCTATTTTGCTTTGCTATCCTGAAAGAAATCCAGAAGTACTGTGCTGAAGACCATGACTAACAAGGTCAAGACCCACAAGTGGGAAAGTGCATATGGAATGTGCTCAAGCGAAAGAGGACGTATGTCAGGGTTAGAAAATAATTGCATATTGAGAAATTAAAGAGAGCCACCTATTTTAGTAGCAGGAAACAGAAAGGAATGCTCGGCAAGCTTCTTGATGGTGGGAATAAAAACAGAAATACTACTATCTCCTTCATAACAGCGATTTGCTAAAAGCAAGGAATTTATCCAAAAAAAGCAGCTTAAGAAAAATTGAGGAATAAAAAACATTTTTCTTGGGAGAAAAAGAAGTTCAGACAGCTGTTAGGATGAAAGATTTAAAAAATTCTTCACTGTAAAAAAATGAAAAGACAAGATAGTAAATAAAATGTCTTTTCTATTCTTGAGCCAAGAGCTTCAAGTGTATCCTTCAATCTTTATCACATAGGTGGCTTCCGGTGACTTGGCTGCCACCAAGTTCTCTGTGGGCACCCTGGAAAAAGGAAGGCATTGTTACCTTTGCTGCTTTAACCAGCCGGTCACAAGTTCCACAATGGTACAAGTTGTCATAGTCAAAAACTTCCTCTTCTACATACATGTTCCAGAGTGCATCTTCCAAACCAGATACGTTTTTGACTGCTACTGTTAGATCTAAGAAGTCTTCCTGAAGTATACAAGAATGCAATATTGAAAAAACAATTTCACAGATGTTTACAAACACACTGCCAACTCAAACATACACTGGGAATAATCAGGTGTATCTTTCCTAAAACAGTGTACATAGGAAGATGTCTTCATTACTATGACATTCATAACACAAAATTTTCCTTTCTAAATCAAGCTATCATTTAGTATAAAATGTATCAAGAAAACATTGATAAAGGAAGATATTTGTAAGTTTAAATGCAATAAAACATATAGTTGACTTAAATACAAAACACCCGCGCAAAGTTCATTAGCACTGTTTCAGTCTTTAGACTAGAATTAATAACAGCAAAGGCAGGGTTGAATTTTATCTCACATAAATTCTATTTCTTCAATTTCTTTTGCTAAGGTTGGTTTAAGATACACTGAAGAAGTTATATAAGAAAATAATTATGTACAGCCACGATAAACAAGTGTTTCTATGAAAATAAGGAGGGTGGTATTTTGCAAATAGGAAGTCTATCTATTCTAATATAAGAATATTTGAATTATAATATGTTTTTAGTAATAAGTGCTATTATAATTTGGCAAGTATAAATCATTTATGGTTCTCTGTGTGTATGCAACAGCATTATTTAAGGGACTATGAGGTCTGATAAAGGAGAAAGCACTATTTAGTTCATGGTAAAACTCTCGAGTATTAAAACTAACACTTTAGGTTTAAAATATATGTGTGAAAAATTAAAGTCCACAATTTATAATGTGCTTTCTATACATTGTATTTCACAAGTACTTTGTGTGAATTATTACATTAGCACTAAGTCAATCATACAATAATTCAAAGAAATATGATCTATTAATTATTTTCAAACCAGGCTGACCAAAAGAGCTTCTATTAGCACAGGCAATAAGGGCCAAGTAGCACTGTTTTTATTGTTCCCCAACTACTTCTTAGAAAATAAAAAGAGAAAAAAAAAAAAAAAAATATATATATATATATATATATATAAATAAAAAAATGTGCAGGTGTATGTGTACATATATACCTACACATACAAAAACACAAGTAACATATTTATATTTCCAAAAGTGCAACAAACACATTTAGAAAATAGCATTTCTCTCTCATACAAATACAGAAACTTTCTTTACTCTTGCCATAACAAAAGAAGATTTTTATTAGAGTTCAGTGATGAAATAATTAGCTATATAAGACTTGTAAAGCACAGAGATTATTATATTTACATGAGCAAACTTCTAATATCTAGTTTCCAATCATATTAAATGAACAATCAGTATTATTAAAAGAACTGAAGGTTACATTAGTAAAGAGAATTATAAAAGCTTTATATGTAATGAAATTTATATTTAATACATAAACATAAGCACATATGAGATAAACTTTCTGAAGGATATTAATAAACTAACTCTAATATTTAATTACAGATGCTTGTCAATTTAAATATTCTCAGTATTTTTTTTTAACCTAATTAATTTTATTTACAATAGTCTAACCATGATGATACTGGATTCTCCAAAGAGACCAATTTTTGTATTTTCAAACTTCCCCCCAAAACTCTTTTTTAAATAGTAGAGTATTGAGTAAAATATTGTTTTAAGATATTTGCTTCTTTCAGTTCACATGGGGAACTGTATTATTAACTGATGATTCAGGTGTAGTCAGAGTAAACAGAAAAAACTGATAAATTATTTATAATAATAAACATTTTTATCAGACTTAATTACATGAACTGTAATTTACAATATAATTTATTACTAACACTCTTGTGAATTCACCTGCTTCTCACTGATGTTCTTACATTCGTTACAAACAACCTGGTTAACAATGGTTCCATGATACAGACGATTGATGAGGTCATGGCCAGAGGTCCCAACCAAAGAAGTTTCCAAAGCACTGAAGAGAATTCGATTCAGTTCCTGCACATCATGTTGTCTCATTTCCTACAAAACAGGTAATTTTTAAAAAGTAATTTTGTTCTTCAAGTTTTTAAAAACAGATTTTAAGAATACAGTACTAGTTTACAAAAACCCAAGATCTATAAAGCAATTCAAAGATAAGCATTGATCAGATATAAGGATGACTAAGCAAAATAAGCCAAGAGCAGGTTAAGAGATCACTACCTGCTTTTACTTCTACTACAGAAATAAACGTGTAGGTTGTGTGGGTTGTAAACTTACAACTCCACTAAAAAGGAAAGTGCCCACATCACATGGGGAACTGCACACATGGCTGTGCCACAGGGAGACAAGACAGAAGCACAGCAGGTTTTGACCATGTTTCAGAGCTGGCAGCGAGTGCATAGGTGGAGCTCACTTAAGTCACAGTGGCTGGTGAATATGAGTAACTGTCAACATTAGAGAAGGTACAGAATTTATTGCTTTGAAGTATAAAACAACAAAAAATAAAACTAACATAATACTCAGAAAAATTCCACATGGAATGTGCTTAAATCTGAGCTAAGTGTTAGCATTCCTTAAGAACAATTTATGAACCAAGCCAAGGGTGTGTACTGCCATTTAAAGAAGCAGAGATGAGGAGAAAGATCTGCCAAGGAAGAAACAGGAGGGTGGGTCCTGGGAACTGAGAGGAGCTGGGGACAGAGAAGTGACTTCTGATCTTGGTATGTGGATATCATTGTTGACTTTGATAGGAAAAGCAGAAAGGAGGTACAGGAACATATGCAGAGTGCAGAGGAAGCAGTGAGGGAAGACAATAGAAAAACAAGTTTCACATGACCAGCAGCAGATGAAGGGGATGAAAGCTGGAGTAAGGGGTAAGGCTGCGATTGTTTTTTGTCTTTTCAAGTACAAGATACCCAAAGATATAAATCTGCCCTCTATCACTGACTCAAAGGGAACAGAAAACTTACAGCAGTTAAACTTCATTCTTTAAAATTTTACTTAGAAAAAATAAAATAGAAAAGGTCTTCCTAGTTTTAAGAATTATAAAACCAGTAACTTAGTAGATGCTCACTATCAAAAACAAAGGGAAGCCGGGCTGGTGGCACACGGCTATAATCCCAGGGGCTTGGGAGGCTGAGGCAGGAGAATCACAAGTTCAAAGCCAGCCTCACAAAAGCGAGGTGCTAAGCAACTCATTGAGAACCTGTCTCTAAATAAAATATAAAATAGGGCTGGGGATGTGGCTCAGTGGTTGAGTACCTCTGAGTTCAATCCCCAGTACCAAAAAACAAACAAATAAATAGGAAAAGCCATCAACAAAGGACTACATCATAAAACACCATGTGTAGTATCCACCGACAGAATATCATTTGACAGTAAGAAGGAATGAACACAAACTCTAGATGAATACACTGGAGAACATTATCTTCAGTGAAACAAGCCAATTACAAAAGGTCCCATATTGCACAATTCCATTCCCATGAAATGTCCTGAACAGTCAAATCCACAAGACCAAAAAACAGACTAGTGGCTGCCAGGGGCTAGGGGAATAGGATGATGGGGGAGTGACTGCAAATGGATATGGGATCTCTTTTTTGGCTGGTGAAAAGGTTTTTAAAAACTGATGGTAGTGATGGTTGCACAACTCTGTAAAAATACTAAAAAACAATGAATTGTACCCTTTGAAAGAGTGAATTTTATGGCATGTATAGCTCAATTAAATGGTTAATTTTTTAAAGGGAAGGAAAAGGGAATTAATTTGAGGTGGCAGCCCCATACCTCAAATTTAACACACTTATTTAGGGACTATCACGCCACTTCCCTTCAAAGTCCATGTCCTACCTCTTTGATGACAATGTGGTGTCACCTACACTGTGAGTATCCAAAAATACACTTGTGATTATAATTACTTACTGTGAGAAGGAAACATTCAAGCATGTTGAGACTCTAAGACAAAACTAAAGGAAGTCAGATAACATGACATACCAGCATTGACTTTTTTTCTCTACCGCTGGCAACTTACTCAGGGCCCTTCATACCTCATCGCTAGTCCACCCGAAGCTGTTGGTGAGCTCCACTGTGGATGCAGCTTCCTGGTCTAACAGCAAAAGCTGAGCAAACAAGCGCTGCAACTGCAAAGGTATGATTCGAACCTGGGGTGAGAAACGAATGCATTTCAAAATGAACTCTTTCAAGGGCCAAGTGAGGGTTCTTCAAAGAAATGCATACTAGTTTTCTCTTATTTCCTAGTTCATTTAGAACAAAGTTCATAAATTATTCATCTTAAAGAGAGAACTAATTAGAATTCAGTTATTTGAAAATTCTAATTCAAACCTAAAAGTTATGTTATCTGGAGTTCTCTACCTTGGCACAGTTCAGGTAAATATTTAAATTCACATAGGCCCTAATAACCACCCAAATAATCATAGATTGACAGCACTTAGAATTTCTAATAGTTCATTTTTTCTGTAAGATATCTTTGGAACAGATATATTCCAAAAGATGAAGGTAGGAACTTTCCAGGCACACATCTCTCACTCATGGGACAAATCACACCCTGCCTCCTTCTCTGCTGGCTCCATGCCTATTCCTGTCTTATTCAAGATAAGGAGGGCCCAGCAGACTGAGCAATGAATGATTCTCAGGGACCAGTGTGCAGGTCAGACTTTAAGGGCTAAAAGGGAGAATATGCATTTAGAAAGCTGTACAGCAATTTTACATTTCCATGACATTTAAAAAATATACTAGGAAAATATTGATTTGCAACAAACTGGGGGAAAAAAAACACAAAAAAATGGTCCTTTGCCACATGGTTGGAGAAGTACTGGGCTGCATCATGAAATACTATGGTTAAGTATAAATCTGAGCCTGAAAGTGATGAGAGACTTCTGTTTGAATGAAGTTTAAGCAGGAAGAACATCATTAGATCTGCACTAAACATGATTTTACTACAGAATATATAAAATAATAAGCAAATTCCTTATTTAATGTATTTTCAGAGTACCAAATTGAAATAATACTGGTCTTAGTTGTTTTCACTGTTGCAAGTAAATATTTTAAATAGATGTTTGGATGAGCTAGTGTGAGTAATTTGTAAATATCAGAAGTAAGAATAAACAACATAAATATAGCACTGTGAAGTATGTTTATAAAGCAATAGCAGCATTATATTTGGAAAAGTAGTTCTTTTTTGGAAGGAAAATGTCATTGCTAATTAAATATAGGCCACCTTATAAAAATAAAGACATACTTGGCAATAAATAAAATTAAGAAACATTTCCTCAATACTCCAAAATGCCCCAGTAAATCAAATTTATTACCTTTGCATCTGGTTTATCCTTATCCTCTAAAAAACCAAGTTCTTCTGGGCCAAGAGAAAATAAAGCTTCTAAAAAAAAAAAGTAGAATCAAATTTCATTTTAGAAAAATGTTTAGAAAGCCAAGACTACCATAAAATAAAAGGTTCAGAATATGATTGTTATGATATTTACACCCTTAATCTATACATTTTGTTTTCTTGTAATGTTTTAAAATCACTGACTTTAAGAAAATAAAGTGGTACGCTAAGGCTTCAGTATGGAAGATCCATTAAAAAAAAAAGAAAAAAAAAATCACTCATTTCTGCACATAGAACCATTACCAATCACACTGACTCTTTGTTTCCCATTGCCTATGGCAGTAGGACTGACAGCCAGGAGGAACCTTGAGAAAGTACAAATGTTGCAAGTCTGTATTTTCACATCACAGGAGTCTCCCAATGGGCCTTTCACTGGCAGGACCATCTTTTACCTGGAGATTGCTCCCTTCCTTTTATTGGTATAAAAACATCTTTTCCATGTTGAGGGTAATAACAGATGGTAGTAGTGATCCTATCTGGAAAAAGAAGCTGGCAGCCCCAGGCCAGGCTCCAGAATTTTTTATAATCCAACATGTAAGTTTATGAACCAATGGGGAAATATCTGAATTTTTTAAAAGTCTGTATACAAACTGGCAGAAATTCCTTCAGAGACTTGGCAACATTCCAGGGAGATTAGAGAGGGGAGAGTGTGTCTCTACTAAAAATCCCTGCTGCTCTAGCAATTACTGTGGTGAAAGTTAAATTCCTTACTAGTGATGGGACAAGGAAAACATTAACAACAAATCTACAGGTTAAAGCACAAAACCATACAAGGACTTTTATAATCATCTTTCACTACTCTATCTATTGTGGGAGAGTGTACCAGGAGGACAATGGAACCTAACCTAGCCTTACTCCTTAAACTACTCTTCCAAAAGTTCCGTTTTCTCCTCAGTGCTCTGTAGTTCTTATTGTTTCTAAATCGCATCCCCCTTCAATCTGTATCAGAACCATACTAAGCCATATAAGAGTACATTTTACACTATGATATCAAAGCATGTGCTTGGCCAGCCAAGTAGAAGCTGACCTGGGGCTTTCTGCCCTACTCCTACCTCCAGGTATTCTCCATGACCTGTTCTATCCCTTCACTTTCCTCCTCAGTCTCTCCTTGATGTTACTTTTCTACTTCAAGTTAACCTTTAAGTTCAACCACATAAAAACATGAAAAAGTTTTATCCCTTTTAGGAATCTGTTGTTTTTTTTTTTTTGCTACTGGGAATTGAACTCAGGGGCACTTGACCACTGAGCCACATCCCAGGCCCTGTTTTGTATTTTATTTAGAGACAGGGTCTCACTGAGTTGCTTAACACCTCACTTTTGCTGAGGCTGGCTTTGAACTCCCTATCCTCTTGCCTCAGCCTAAGCTGCTGAGATTTATAGGTGTGTGCCACCGCGTCCGGTAGGAATCTGGTTATTAATACTGAAAATTTCTAAGAGGATTCACTGACTTCAGCAAGGAGATCTTTTTACAGAAATGGGGTCAAGGACAAGAGGTACCACTTTTAAATCCTATAATGCAGTTCAATCCATTAAAACAGTCCTGGGAAGGGGTCAAAATTTCTGGAGGAGAAAGTCTTTCTAAGCTTAGAAGCAGAAGACATCATGAAGATTTGATAAATTTTGTAGTGGTAGGAAGAGGATCATATACTCAGATATAGGATGATTCGGATTGTCTATCCTCAGAATCTGGAGACCCTGTAGAGATCTGAACTACAAAGTCGTGTGACAGTTGGGAGTGTCCCAATTAGGGCCTTGTGAAGGTAAAATAATGCTCATACTGGAATCAAAGAAACACAGATGTTAAGAGTCATGTGGAGAAAGCTGCAAACATGTAGACACAGGCAAGAAATCGAGGGTCCAGTGAATTCAGAGTTGATTTCTGGGAGAGTTCTTTTATCTTCACAATAAATTACCTTTTAACATAGCTAATCCCATACAGTAAGACTTTGGATTTTCGGAATTCAGAATTTCCAAACTTTAAGAATATGAAGGAAGTGTTATATTCACCCAAATAAGATAACTAAAGACTCTGAATAGCTTCACACTGGTTATGGTTCTGAGGTTAAACAAATTCAAGTCAGATCAGATCAGGGTCAGAGCTCTCCGGAATTCAGAAAAGAAGACAAACAACTGTGAATGTGTATAAATAATGTGACAATCCTACCCACTTTAAAAGTTAGAATATAATTGTTTAGGTAAAATTGGATTAAGTGTTTGTTACTTTGGAGAAAGTTTTCAACTCAAAAATAGAAATAACAATGATAAATTCTACTACTAGAGACAGAATTGTCTTTATTTTGCATTTTAAACTGTGGAAATTAGGAAATATATTATCTTATTTTTAATTTTGTGATTAAACACTATAATCACACAGAATACATTTACAATAATTTAAGCCTCACATTTCTCTGTAGAGAGAACCACCAATTTGCCTTACATTTGCAATAATAAACACATAGCATGGAACACATCTTTAAGATCCTTTGTCTATTTGTGATTTTGTATAATTAATTACATGTAAAGAGGATGGTACATATTACTATTCAAATGTATGTAATACAGCATACCTCTGAATTCAGGTGTGAAATGAAGAGTCTGAAGAAGGGAATTGAGGTAACAGGTTCCACCCTGATTTCTGATTCCACTTAAATTGGTGAATTCTCTGGGAGCAGGTGGCTCCAAAGCTTTAGTCTTTAATTTCTTCCCTTTTCCATACTGATTATTTGACACACTGGAATAATCCTCTTCAAATAGGTCCCCAAACATTGTGAAACTAAATACTATCCTTTAGAAAGAAATGATATGTTATATAAATGCTTTAAAAAAAAAAAAAACAAAACACTTCCCCCAAATCTCCCTACCTTACACTTACAGTTGTCCATTTTGTTATGGTTCTTTTGAAAATATGTAATTTGTATTTTGGAAACAGCAAAATCTGAATTTTTTTCATCCCTGCCAGTATCCTAACTAACTTGTGTGACCCTTGGCAAGTTATTTAGCCTGTTTTCTCATAGGTAAAATGGGATACCATATGTCCTGTAGAGGTCATTTAAACAAATGACATAATAAAAAAGAGCACTTAATATGCAGAGTTTGGCCCACAAAAAATGAGGGCTGTTTTTAAAAAGGCATATTTGCATCATCATTGAAAGAAAGAAAACCCATCACCAAACCTAATCCACCCTCAGCGGTGGCAACGCCTAGGTTCTGAGAATTGGCAGAGGCCTTGGGACCATCATTCATTTACTAAAATCTCTGCCTCAGGACTTTGTACCCGAGTATATCTTAATGATAAAATGCATCAAATTAATCGTCTTTATAGCAGTTTAGGATACTGTCCTCAAACTAGAGAGCAGGGAAGAGGTCTCGGGGTAAGGAAGACTGCCATTGAAACGATGCAGTCTGAAGGTCTCCCGTGCACATCGGTGCACATCGGCGACAGCAATGTCAGCCCCGGGGACCCAAGTGACTTGCGCCTAACTCTACATCGAGTGTGGCGGAGGGTCCTTGGAGAAGAGAAATACAAAGCACCTAGCCGTTTCCAAGAAACAGGAAACCCGGAGGACAATTATCCTTTTCAACTCATTCCTCAGAAGAAAAGTACAAGAAGTGGAACTCGAGGGTCTGGCCTCGAGGTCAAAGTCTGGATTCCCGACTCCCTCAATCCACGACCGAGGTTCGGGCGTTCCTGCCCTCCAGCCCTGCACGGGACGCAGGCCCACAACCGGGCGCAAGTCCCCGCGGCCCGCAATCACCGACCCGATTCAGGAGCGCGACTCGACCCCGGGCAGGCCCGGGCCGCTCTTCGCTCGCCTTAGTCAGGCAGCGCCACACCACCGTCCCTAGTTTCCCACGTCCCTCTCGGGACCCGGGCTCTGGTCCCACTTGCTGCCTAAAGCCCAGACCCCGACCCCAGCCAAAACTTGAAGCAATCTGACGTGCCCCAACTGGGCGCCGCCATGTTGGCGAGGGCGGGTCTCCGGAAGCGCTGGGATGAACACACACCGCGCCTCCCAGGGTGCCCCGCGCGCCGAGACTCCCAGGTTGCCCCGTGTGCCGCACCTCCCAGTGTGCCTCGCGCGCCGCTCCTCCCAGGGTGCCCCTGAAACTTTGTACCTTCCTCAGTGTTTCATCTTCACGAATTGTAAGTAATGTACGTAAGAAGGCAGTAAAAGCAAAAACAAACAAACGAAAACTCTCAAAATGATCTCCTTTTCCCCCCTGAGGACTTTCTGTGGGCTCTTTCAAAGTTCGAGTAGGCTCCACTTCCGGGACTTTCCTTATCTAATACAGCTTCCGTTCAGAGGTGAACGTGGGAGACAGGAAGAGGATAATTTTGGCCTCAGCTAAAGCTCTGAGAGACAGAACAGGAAGTTGTAGCGGAAGCTGGAAGGGGAAAATCCAAGCGAGACTACCCAAGGAATTTCTTTTTGTAACGTTGGCGGGAGATTGGTGTGACTGGGAAGTCCAGGGAGCTTTGGCTGGAAGGAAGAGCCTGCCCTCAACTTTCACAAAGCCTGGCTACCTGCCCCCCCCAGGACCCCCTCCTCGTGACTCTACGCCTGGCTCCTTGCTGTTCTATCCTCACTTCTCTTTTGCTTGCTCTGCTTCGTCTCCCTCTTCCCAATAGATATTCTGCAGACTTCCATGCCCTGATCAGGAATGACCGCGGTAATTAAAGCTCCATGAGGACACAGGCTTTGCCTTGTAAACAGCCGAACCTCCTCAGTGCCAGGCACATTACCAGATATTAACAAGTTTTTATTGAGTGAATGAGTGGCCTCTTAATACCACATCCTTCCCCTCATCCAGGATACAAGTCTTGGGTATGTGAAACTTTGACTTGTCCATGAATCCCATACTCAAAAAAAGAGTATTGCCTGGATAATGTTTGCTCCATTTCCATGGCTCCTCTTCTCCCACAGAAGCCATACATTAAGATCAGATCGCTCAGCTCCATATATAACTTCACCCAAACCTGTCTTTCACAATAATGAGGTCAAGTATGTTTTCTTTCATTACTGTGAGTGTGGTGATAGAACAACAGAGTCTCTGGGCAGTTACCCCTCTAGCCTATCCATTGTGTATAACACCAGGAAGTGCATATAGACAAACTAATCAATAATAAGAAAAGCTGAGGACAAAAATAAACTTTTTTTTTTTTCCTTGAGATTTGAAGAACTGAAAAACATCTTGTGACTAGGTAATTGAGATCAGATGTGTAGCCAGGCATGGTGGTGCATGTCTGTAATCCCAGAAGCTGGGGACGTTTGGGCAGGATCGTGAGTTCAAAGCCAGCCTCAGCAATTTAGCAAGGCCCTAAGCAACTGAGACTCTGTCTCTAAACAAAATGTAAAAAAAGACTGGGGCGGGGCTGGGGTTGTGGCTCAGTGGTAAAGTGCTCACCTAGCATGCGTGAGGCACTGAGTTCGATCCTCAGCACCACATAAATATAAAAATAAAGATATTGTGTCCACCCAAAACTAAAAAATAAATATTAAAAAAGGACTGGGGATGTGGCTCAGTTGTTAAGTGCCCGTAGGTTCAGTCCCTGCCCCCCACAAAACAACAAAAATCCCAGATATATGTCATCTTACTACCGACCTCCACCTGTGAGAATGTACCCACCAGACTGCATCTCCTATATAGTTGTTCCTGAATCAGCTTTCTGGCAAGATGGTCCTTTAGGATGATCATTTGCCATCTTCCAATCAGCTGGTTCTTCATAATAAAGTTCTTTCTCTTCCACTCCCTTGCCTCTGCACTGTCCCACTGACTCACCTGAGCATTAGGATGACAGTCCTTTAAATGGACTCCCATTTTATCCATCCCGTCCTGCACATCACAAGGAGATCCATTTGATGTGCCCTCTGAGCTCAAACTTCCCTGCTAAAGAATCACCAATGATTCTCCACGGTCTACTGTAGCCTCTTCATTTTGATGTTAGTCCAGCTGTGGTCCCAACACTACTATTTATTTTACAACCCATTCTTCTCCAGTTCAAAACATTTCCAGGTATGCCACAGGCCTTCCTGTGTCTCTGGTCTCATCCTCGCAGGGTCTCCCTTCAACCCTGTTCAGCACAAAACCCATCTTGCAAGCTAAAAATTCAAAGAGGACATGTTTGTGTTTGAGAACTTTGGTTTGTTTGAATTTCACCGATTGGAGTATCGAAACCCCGCGGAGAGATGAAGTATTTAAACTAAGAAGACTGAGTTGTACTGGACTGTTTTAGGTCCCTTTAACAGCCATTGACCATCAGCTTTTGTGTCTGACCTAGCATTTTTGTGTCTACAGGATTAGCATATGCCACACTTGAGGGACCTCTGTCCTCTATTAAATCTTCAGGCTGGGAAGGAGATAGCACCTGACTTCTGTAGGAAATTTCCGTTTTTTTTTTTTTTTTTTTTAATTGAAAACAGCATCTGAATCTGGAAGATTCCCCCTTTTTTATGTAACTTGATTACCTGATGACCCTACCTACTTTGGGGGGATTATGAAAGACTTGCATGATTTCATCATGGAAGAACCATGTCCTTGAGGGAATCATGTCCTTGGGGAGCTTGTATTGTTAACTTGACTTTATGTTCCCAAAGCATGGTCATTGGGCTCAAAATAAACCAGTTTTTTTTAAAATTCAAAGTTGTTATTTTTTTGTTGACAATCTGAATTTAACTCATCCATGAAAACTTTCCAGATCTCACTAAACTATATATGATCTATTTCTTTGAAGCTTTTTGCCTATGTCCTTGGAGTCTCATCACAGTATCTCCGTGTTATTGGGCTTTATCTATCCTGTAGCCCTCAGAGCATTTAACACTAAAAACTATTCCTTTGTCACTAATAATAGTGGCATATGACTTTGTAGTTTATAATGAAAGTTTTAATTCTTTATTTAATCTGGTCCACAGACAACTAGAGTCAAATCTCCAAAGCTGTTGGATCCATGAAAGTTTTACCCAAGTATTCCTATCACATGAGGAACTATCAAGAAAGATTAGTACTGCTGTTTAAAAGGTGTGAGAATTTACTCTGTGGCAGGCAGATGCATAGGTTTTCCAAGCACTATTTCACTGAATTGTCATAATAACCCTGTAGAGTGGGAACTGATATTATTTCCATTTTACAGATGAGGAGGTTAAGGAATTGGGAGATAATTTTTACAAGGTTATATATCAATTAAGTCATAGAAGCAAGATATGAATCCAGGGTTGTACTCTTAACCACTGATTGTGTTCTCTCTAAAGCCAAGTAGTTGCTTGCCTGCCACCCTTCCTGTCTGGCTGTACATATACATTTGTATACGTGAGTGTGTTTGAACACTTTCCATGTATCTGGCACTGGAGATATTACAAAGAATTAGAGATGGTGGCCATCACAGCTACCTGCCCACCCAGTATGCATCGCTTCTACTAACAGACCCCTATTTTATAGGATGCACAACTTCCCTTTCAGCTCAGGTCATGTGCGGACTGGGCGAGGTTCAAATTTGTTTCCCAGCATTGCATTCTCTGGATGCTTCTGGTTAGGGTGAGTCACATGGGTATTTTGGTCTAAAAATTTGATCTTAAACCAAAGCAGGTGGAAGTTCAGGACAGGTGTGTTTGTAGCTCACATGCATTGTCACTCGTCCATAGGCTTTCCTCATGGGCACGAAAGAGCAGCTGGACCAACATTCCTCCACTTTTCCCTGGCTCCTTCCATACCTGGGACAGGTGTATGATTAACCTGTGAGGAAGGCTGCCGAATTCTTCCATGGGACACCCATACTGTCAAGGTTGCAGGCACTGAGAA